CGGTCCTGAGTTTAAATACTCTTGACTGTGAAAAGCTTTGCTTTCCACCATGTGGGCAGTTAAACACTTTTCCAGCTACATTGGTGGACAGAAAATCATCGTCATTGAAACACAACATCGGCCAGTGACCTTCTTTCCGCTTCCGGTCGGTAACAAGATGGCGCCTGTGCTTGGCTTAGCCGCAGTCACCGGCCACTTTTTCAAACTTTTCTCCACTAACCTCCTCTTTTCCACCTTGCACCTGTCTGCGATACTCTTCAGTAGTGTCCCTGCTACCATCTCCTATGATCGCCAGACTCTTTTGTCCTTCCGTTTGTTCACGATCGCCCACGATATTCTGGTCTGGTTGAACTCTGCCCGAGTGGTTATTATTTTCTTAGCCAGCCCCGGGGTTCTGGTCGTGGGGGAGGCCTAGCTGTTGTTTTCAGAGACCATCTTCCACGTAGCTCTACAACCTCTGGTCACTTTGCTTCCATTGAACTGCAGCTGATTAAAGTCGGGCGTAAGGACCCGTTCTACTGTGCTGTGGTCTATCGTCCACCTGGTCCAAACAGTTCTTTTCTTCAGGAGTTTAGTAACTTTCTATCCTCCACTGTGAAGCTGTCCAGACTGGTGATTGTTGGTGATTTTAACATCCACGTTGATGATCCCTCCCATCACTTTGCCATGAATTTCTCCAGCATTATGGACTCCTTCAGCTTTACCCATCAAGTTTCTGGCCCCACACACACCAGGGGGCACACTCTGGACCTTGTTTTTATTTCTGATCACCATTGCATTTTCTTTAACTTGTCAGTTTCTGCGTCCCCACCTCCTGCTCGCCGTATGGTTAGTTCTCGTTTTCTTAATGAGAGCACAGCTAGCAATTTTTCTGCTGCTTTTGATCCACCCTGTTCTTCTGATAACGACCCAGATTCCTTACCTTCTCAGTCTAACGATCACTGCCTCTCCATTCTGGACAATATCTGTCTTGTCAGAACCAGATCAGTTCCTGCATTGAACCCTACTCCCTGGTTTCATGACAGCCTGAAGCGCCAATGCAGAAAAACTGAGCGTTTGTGGAAGAAAACCCATCTCCACGTCCATCTGCTGCACCTAAAAGATCTTCTGACATCCTTTAACTTTGCAGTCAGAGATGTGAGGGTTTCCTATTTTTCCAACCTGGTGTCCCAGAGCAAAGGGAACCCCAAGGTGCTGTTTAACACCATCAGCAGTATCGTCTCTCCTGCCCAGGGACGAAATTTTGATTTCAGAAGTGGGGGGGACACAGCAGGCTTGTGCGGATTTGGGGTGGGGGGTGTTATGTAAAGACCCCTTGACACGTCACGTGCCCATCTCAATAATTTTTCCATCCTCAATATATATATATATATATATATATATATATATATATATATATATATATATATATATATATATATATATATATATATATATATATATATATCAAAGTTAAAAAATGTACAACTCTATTATTATTTTTATTTATTATCATTATTGAAGTGCAGTTTTGGCTGTTGACAATAGATAGGCCATTGTATTTATTGTTTTGGGTCTTTTTTTATTGTTTTTGGTGCAACATTTTCTAACAGGGAGTGAGATTCCTTTTTTATTTAATTTTTGTTTGTTATTTTTATTCATTTAGAAGTTCTGGTTCTGGACATTTCAATGTTAAATGAAGGTTTCTTTGTTGCATTTTAAAGGGTGTACTTGCATTATTATGATATATTAACATTATATTAGTGGTTATTTTGGTCTAGATAATGTTGACAATGATATCGTTTATCATCAACAATTTGTTGGACAAAATATCGTCCAGCAAAATGTGTTACTTTCCCAGGCCTAGTCAAAAGTATAAAAATTATTTATACATAAACGGTCCTCCTGAGATCTGGCCGTTTGTTCATTTGCTGTGTTAGAGGACATGCTGAACTAATGTTTTACACATGATCATCACCCTAACATTTGAGTGTATAAAAACATATTAAATATGTTTTTCCCCTTAAAAGTGTTTAAACAGTTGTTGCATTTCAACACACAAAAAATAAATGGAAAAAATAAGATAAATCTAATGAAAAGTGTACATCTTTGACATTAAGCTTAAAAAAATCTGTTGATGATGATGATACTGTTCATTTTTCAGAGCTTTTTAATGTGAAAATATGCATTGCAATAGATAAGTTTACAATAAAGTTAAATGATAAAAGTTTTGAAGTTACACTTCTACTACTACTACTACTACTAGTAATAATAATTATGATGATAATAGTAATAATAAAAAAATAATAATTATAATAATACGAATAAATTGTGTCTGAGGAGTCAGTTATGTGGAGGAGATGAGTTTGTAAAAGTTAGTTTTGAGTATGTTTGTGAAGGAGGAGGTGAGTCTGAGCTTAATGCAGGGGTGTCACATGTTCCAACTTACGTTTTGACTTTGAAAGAAGTCTCTTATATCCACTTTTCGTTTTCTTGACATGCTGCCTCCTGGCTGTGCCTAACTACCAAAGACTCACAAATGAACACTTATTCAAATGTTATGTAATGGAAGCTGGGCTGAGCTCTGATAGTACACAGCGTCTAGTTGACGATGTGACTCAGTACCGGTGTTCCCTAGCGGCTCCAAACTAGCAAAACAACGTGAGCACGTTCTGACTGTTTCCAACTTGAGTGACAGCAGCAAGTGCCAATAATACGTTAGCAAGTATCAGCAGAGCCAATAGATTAGCTTTTGGGCGGGTCTAATAGTAAACCGGTTTCCGTTTCGGTCCTAGTGCTCAACCCAATCCATTTGATGGAGCGTAACATTGTTTTTGGACGGAAAAAAGTGCAGGGGACCAAAACTGCCTTTTGAAAAAGTGGGGGGGACATGTCCCACCCGTCCCCCCCCCAAAATTACGTCCCAGCTCCTGCCTCTCCTACAGCCTCCATCCACTCTGTTGCAGACTGTGAGAACTTTCTGTCTTTCTTTGTGGACAAAGTCAATAAGGTCAGATCTAGCATCTCTCCTTCAGCCTTCTCGCTGCCTCTCCCGACTCCAACCAGACCCATCATCCTAGATAGCTTTGCTCCTGTTTCTTTGCCTGAGTTAACCAAACTAGTTAACTCTATGAAGACCTCTGCATGCCCCCTCCACATCTTTCCCTCATCTTTGTTTAAAAGTGCTTTTCAGTCCATCAGTCCCAGCATGCTTTCTATAATTAATGCTTCTCTGGTTTCTGGTCAGGTCCCTGCTTACTTTAAGAATGCTGTAATCCACCCGCTTCTTAAAAAACTGAGTCTTGACCCCTCTCTCCATAGCAGCTTCAGACCCATCTCTAAATTTCCGTTCATCTCCAAGATCTTGGAAAAGGTTGTGGCTAAACAACTCACAGCTGCTCTTGATGAACATAACATCTATGATAGCTTCCAGTCAGGTTTTCGTAGAGCTCATTCTACTGAAACAGCTCTTCTTAGGGTCTCTAATGACCTTCTGACTCACAGTGATGCAGGGGACTGTTCTGTTCTGGTCCTGCTGGACCTGACTGCAGCCTTTGACACTGTTGACCATCACCTGCTACTGGAGAGGCTGAGAGACTGGGTAGGCCTATCAGGAACTGCTCTGGAGTGGTTCTCCTATCTTTCTGAGCGTTCCTTTTCTGTGGCCGTCTTCAAGTTTAGGTCCTCCACCACCTCTCTTACCTTCTTGGAAAATGAACGGGTTCTTAACCTCTAACTGGAAGCCCGTTAAACATCAAGACCTCTTCATGGCTTGTGATAACCCTAGCGACATCACATGACATGCAGATGTATTGGCGTGAAGTCAAAGGTCTTTCTCGTGTACCCGAAACTGATAAGGATCTGATTGCAGACTCTCTTGCCAAACAAGGTGCAGCTGTTGGTACCCCATGGTCCTTTAACCCCTTGTGGCTCCCTGACAGTGTGTCTTCTCGGTCAAACCCACCCCGTGTGTGTGTGTCGTGACTTGAGCTCAGGCCGTTAACGCGTCCACCTCTTGACCGTCCGATGGTTTTGAGTCTGTTCTTCCTGTCTTTTCTGAAAACAACCTTGTCAGTCTTCAGTCCCAGGACTCTGATATCAGCAGGATGATCCTGTACCTTTCTGATCCGACAGCTCATCTGCCTTCTCCTGTCAAGCTTGACTCCGTTCCTGAGCTATGGTCTCTCTTTCGTGTTCGTGTCATTCCCTCTCTAGGTGTTGTTAACTACAACGGCGCTGTCAGAGTGACCAGTCGATCCACAGCCTCCAAGGTCAGTGACACCCACAGAGTCTGTGTCGTCTCTGCAGCAAGATTGCTTCACTCGGGGGTGAGAAAACCACCTAAAGCTTGGTTTATGCTTGACGCATTCACTTTCCGCTTGGTGATGCGGCTCGCGGATGGAACGCGCTTCACAACTTGCAGCGTTTATGGTTCATGCTGCTTGTCTCTTGGCTATTGGCTCTACGGCATGCATCCAACACTACACCATAGTAGAAGTAAAAATTACTGTTGTTTACAACATGTCATTCCAGCATGTTTTAACAGCGTCCTCGTCTTTTCCGACAGTGCGAGCTATTTCTCTCCAAGAATTATTAACAACGTGTTGATCGCGGTGATCTTTGAGAGCTGAATCATACAAATGTCTGTATTTACGAACCTCTGCCATACTAGTTCTTGCCAGTCCGCCATGTTTTTCCGCGTCCGACCGTCCGCATGGTTAGAAAATTTCCTAGGTGTGCGGTGCGGAAATTTTGGGCCGTGCGGAGGCGCTGTGGAGGGGCGTGGTTGTTAAAATGACGCAACCTCGCGGATGCGTCAAGCATAAACCAACATTAACCTAGGGGAGTTTGCAGTGGCACTGCACCTGAGACTCCGCACCCTGGAGTGGGAACACCACCTGCCGAAGGGGGAGTTGATGGTGGCGCCGAGACTCCAGCTGAAGCCCAGTACCTTGCGGTGGGGATGCCACCTGCCAAAGGGGGGGGGGGCTGACAACATCACTGACCCTACTCCTACAGCTGGTGCTAGTGACCTCTAGACCTGACGTTGGGGACTCGCCTACCACAGGGGGAAGGTTGAATGCCACCCTGTGACCACACTGGCTGACCCTGATCTCTGACTGCACCTGCGAGTTGTAACGTCAATAAACCATTACGCTACAGCGTCGACCGAGGGCCCTCCAGAGAACACACCTGCGCCAGACACGTTCTGAGACATTGCATTCACCCGCAAACAAACACTTCATATTAGATTCATCCAAACACAGGGTTGCTTTTTAATACCAAAGTCTTTTTAATATCAAAGTCTTTTATAAATTGTCATGTTTTATAATTGTTTAGTAATAAATTTCTTAACCTTCTTAAACTTGACTCTTTCTTGAAATAAACACAGAGTGGGTGTACATTGATCACTGAACAGGCAAAGATCTTTAGATCTTCTGAATTAACAAATAATCTTTGCTATTAAATTGAATCTTTAAAAATAAATATTATAATCTTTTGATTAAACATAGACCAAGCAAGTTGGTGTATGAATTTATATCTATCCATGCTTTTATCATCTCTCGACTGGATTATGCAAATTCCATTTTAATTGGTTTACCTGCCTCCGCTCTTAACAGGCTTCAGGTCGTACAAAACGCGGCAGCCAGGTTTTTAACAAACACTCCTAGGAGAGAACATATCACACCTGTACTGGCGCGGCTCCACTGGCTACCCGTAAACTTTAGGGTCAAGTTTAAAATCCTGATTTTTGTTTTTAAGGCCCTGAACGGTCTGGCACCGGATTACCTGTCAGATCTTGTCACTAGATATGTGCCAAACCGGGCGTTGAGGTCTGCTGATTGCCTGCTGCTTCGTGTTCCATTAATGAAATACAAAACGCGGGGGCAGCGCGCTTTTGTCTATGCTGCTCCGACACTATGGAATGCACTTCCTCTTTCGGTGAGGCTGGCACCATCCCTCCTCCGGTTCAAATCGCTGCTGAAGGCTCACTTTTACGACCAGGCATTCTTAAATCCCTGACTTTTATTATGTGTCTTTTTATTGACTGTAATTATCTGCCTTGTTGTGCATTTTATTGTTGACTGTGTATTCTTTTATATTGTGTTTTTACTTTTTATACTGTACAGCACTTTGGTCATGCCGTTTTTAAATGTGCTTTATAAATAAAGATGGTATGGTATGGTATGGTATTATATTTATATATCCATATATAATCTCATTCGTCAATTTGTTTGATCTTAGGAATTAAAATATAAGCTGATAGCAACAGCCTTTAATTCCTATGTTTAGGTCATTAACCCTACAGTAACATTGAATCATCTCTGGTTTCGGTGTTTAACTGGCTTATGCAACATGTGGTGATCTCTCCTCACATCAGCATGGAGCCATAAAAACTCTTCCAGACAGAACATCACTTTATTTAGAAGTAGGGAATATAAAAACATATATGGAGTAAACTAAGGAAAGATGGGCAAAGTGGGCAGATCTAAAGGCTCCTTATGCTAAATAAATGGGACTTGTGGTGTAGCTAGTTTGTGCTGACACCCAGCGGTCAGGGTTGTACAACAGCTCTTATCTATAGAGGGGAAGCCAACATACTCACACTGCTTGTAAACTTCATTGACATTTGAGAAATCATTGATGTCAGCGAGAAGCACGGTGGTTTTAACAACTGCCAGAAATAAAAGTAAACTGCATGAAGAACATCTGCAGAACAATGGCTTCTACACAGAGGATCGCCTCACCGTTCTCATAAGTGCATCCAGCCATTCGGAGGATCTCCCCCATGTTCACGAGAGCCTAGGAATAAAACACAACAGACTGTTGCAACACATGGACCTGAACTTTGTCCCATGAAGAGCTAACATGATCCTGGTGACACTTTAAAGCCAAAGCACAGTCAGAGCAGCTGCTACGTACTTAGCAGATTATTTTGTTAATACGGCTGAATGTTTGGATAGTTTTACATCTGTGCAGAGCAGCTGTTGTGTTGTTTTAGATCATTCATTCACTCATCATTCATTGGTTTACTGTAAAGAATGTTTTCCCACACAGCTGCTGGTTAACACTGGTTATTAAAGTAAAGTCATGCTAAAAAAGTTACTTTCCAGAATACTAAAGTAACTATAGCCACATCTCAGGTGTGCGGGTGTGAAATCAGCAGATGGACGATGACACCTGTCTGGTTTGGGCCTGAACACCGCCTCCCACCAGCTGGCCGCTGACCGGATCCATCCCCAGCTGTCCTGATACATACACGCTCCGATCAACCACCACTGCTTGGCTTAGAGACACAGACTCAAAACAAGAGTTTTAGTTAAAGGTCTAAATATACTGATCAGGTGAGCATGTCTGCTCAGCCAATCACAGGGCAGCGAGTCAATGCCCTTAGTCGTCTAGGTAGGTGCTTTACTGGACTCCAAACTGAACATCAGATGGATAAAAACGTGACACTTCAGTAACTTAGTACTGGTTGAGTATTTCAGAACCTGCTGGTTTACTGGGATTTGAACCCAAAATAATCTGAAGGGTTTGTGGACGGCAGCAGTTGAGTATTTCAGAACCTGCTGGTTTACTGGGATTTGAACCCAAAATAATCTGAAGTGTTTGTGGACGGCAGCAGGAGGTAGAGTGGGTTGTCCAGTAATCAGAAGGTTGCAGGTTCAATACCGGTTCCCTCCAGAGACTGCTGTTGTGTCTTTGGGCAAGACACTAAACCCACCTTGCTTACTAGTGGTGGTGGTGGTGGTGCCTGCCAGCGCGCCCCAGGCCAGCTGTGGCTAATCATCACCACCAGCGTGTGAATGGATGAACGAAAGATAGTTATGTGAAGCACCTTGGGGGGGCTATTAGGGATGAGCGAGTACACCACTATCTGTATCTGTATCTGTTCAACCATCTAAATTATCTGTATCTGTACTCGGAGTGGGCGTGGCCTAACCCGGAAGTGGGTGTAATTTAACCGGAAGTGGGTGTGGTTTACATCAATACCTTATTTTAAGTTTGATCAGAAGTTGCTATGTGTATCGTTTATTTGAAAACTATTTACAGAGCAGCCTCAGAGTTGAGATTAAATGTTTTTGATCACAATAGTAAAGGAACTATTACAGAACAAGTTTTTCAATAAAATCAGAACATTAATATTTAAGTGCATGAATTAAGAGAGAGAGAGAGAAAAAAAGATCTTTTCTATAGCGCCTCTCAAGATAAAAATCACAGGGCGCTTCACAAAAACAAAACATGTAAAATAGAAAAAAGAATTTAGAAAATGATTAAATTAAAATGAGCAAAAAATAGACAATTGTGATTAAAAATGTAAAGAAAGAGAGAGAGAGTGAATAGGAAAGAGGGAGTGGATCCTCCTCAGGAAGAGGAGAGAGAGAGGGGGGGGGGGGGGGGGGGAAAGAACCCCGACTGGAGTGGAAGCAGTGACATAAGAATTAAGTCACACAACGTTTTCCACAAATGCACACGTTCATTCGGAAAGCCACACTCTTGTGTTTCACAAATATAATTCGGAGGAACACAAATGCACACGCTCATTCGGAAATTCACACTCTTTGACTCATAAATATAATGTGAAAAAATAAGTCATGCAACATTTTCCACAAATGCACACGCTAATTCTGAAGTTCACACTCTGTGGTTCACAAAATTTATTTGTAAGAACACTTGTAATATAAACTCACAGATCATCCGAATTGCTGAACGTGCATTTACGAAAAGCTTCTCATTTGTGAACCTTTCTGCGTTTGTGAGTGAAATCTGTGCGCTGAATTTTGGGGGCTTGTCTCCAGCATGTGTTACCATGGTGAATGGGAGGGGCTTCAAGCTAGCCACATTGGTCTTTAAATTATTGTTGGCTAATGTGTTTCGGTTTAAACAAACAAACATATAAACTGAAATAATTTACACAAATTCATCTTCGAGTGTTTTCACGGTCATGTCCTTTTATCTTTCTAGAAAAGGTTAGATGACCAGGATCCAATTCGAACAGCTGCTCGTGTTTGATTCATCATCCTTAACATCGACCATGCATGCGCATCAATGTTCGATTGTTTCAGACTGTGGTGAGCGCTTAGCCCAGTGGCTAATGCTAAGTGCTGATTGTTAGATCTAAACGAGTTCGTTTGAATGAGTTCGGATTTACTTTAAATTAGTATAAATTAATCGGCACAATATGGCGGAAGATTCATTCAAACTGTCAAAAAACCTGCTGCGGATGAAGGTAAGCGTTAGCTGCTAGCTCTGCGCCGAACGTCATTGACTAAACAGAAATGAACGTTTGATGTGTGATAAGAAGACGCTAGTTTCCTCCCAGATGCTGACTCCAAGCAGCGTTTATCACCCTGAAACTGAACTTGAATTCGGGGTAAAGCAACGAGACGAAGCGGATTTAGGCGTGTTTCAGAGATGTATCTGATCTCTGTGAACCCGTGGAGGAGCGGGATGTGCCTCCTTCATCTGGACCACTCTGAACCAGGACCGAACCTGAGAGAAGATTCTACCAAAGTCCAAAAAAATCCGAACCACAGCTCACAAAAAGCCAGAGCTTCTGGTGCAATGATTAGAATCTTCACTCCCAACACGTCCTCCATCCTGAGCAGCACCACGCAACGTCCTACAGAATCAGGTCCAGGATGGACCGACTGGTTCTGGGAGACCTGGTGGCCGCCAGAGAGGAGCCTGGGAAGGGAAAGCTGTGCCTCTTGTTTTACTGTTAGAACCTCTAGGAAGGAACCAAACTTGCTGCTGCCTGAGAACCAGGAGTTGTGGGAAGAGAGAAGATTTCTGATGGAAGTCAACTTTAGAAGTTCTGGATCTTCCAGGAAGCTGATGATCTTGGCAGCATTGTTGTGGACCTGGCTAACGGTGGTTTTGGTTGGGTCCAGATTGAGTAAATGTGTGCTTTGTGTTTCAGTTTATGCAGAGGGGACTGGATGCTGAGACAAAGAAGCAGCTGGACGAAGACGAGAAGAGGATCATCAGTGATGAACACTGGCACCTGGACCTGCCGGAGCTCAAATCTAAAGAGTATGAGAACAGGAATCCCACTAGCCTGGCGAGCCACGACCCATAGACAGATCTAAATAATGGGGTGGGATCTACGTTTTTTTTTTGTTTTCCAATAACATCCTGCCTACTTAGTGTTGCGATTGGCCCATGAAATCTATATAGCGCCATGATTGGACCACTACAGAACAGCAGCCATCTTTATTTGTAGTTTACCTGGCTGATACCTGTGTTTGGACAGTTTCGAGCGGCAGCCATGTTTGTTTGCAGGGACATCCCTCCCACCTCGCTAAAAGAGCACTGTGATTGGCCCAACAAACCAGTAAAACACTGATTGGAACGCCACGGATGTCAGTCAACGGGGCAGCCCGCCGTTACATTCAAAAAAAAGTAAAACAGCGCGCCAGCACTAGCCTGGCAAGCCAGACTAAATAAATGTATTATTTAGGCAGGATGTTGTCTGAAAACTCAAATTTTATTGATCCTATTTATCTTAATAATTCCCACAAAACTAGATGGTACTAGACTAGTAGTAAAAAGTATTGGTATTGGGCGGCAATACTAGCCCCTGTATTTACTTGGTATCGGATCGATACCAAATTTTGCAGTATCGTACAGCACTACTGACTAGTCGGCGGTCAGCCGCTCGTTTGAAATGGCTTTGGCGTCAAGTTTGGACTATTATGACTTTTTAGCTTTTGTTTGAGTCAAGATCAGATAGAAGTACTAACGTTTATTTAGGAAAAGGATGTGTTTTGCATCTTCTTTGACGGAGTTTGGTGGACTGCCTCGTTGACCGACATCTGTAGCGGTGAGTAAATCAATGCTTGCCAGGCTAGAAGAAACGGAATCGATACCATCACGCAGGTATCTAGTAAATACTCAATACCAACGTTAGATCGATACTATCGATATCTTAGCTCGATCCGCCCAGCCCTATTTGTCAGTTTTACTGCCTCGACGCTCCGCAGCTACAACATGGCCGCCGCCTCCTCTCTTTCCATTCAATGTTTCTGGTAGCAGCGGTAAACAAGGCTTTGAAGTATCGCGCAAATTCATTGTGACTCGAGACATGTGAGGTTTGTCTTATTTTACTTACTGCATTATGAAAGTAAACAGCGTGTGCACACACACACACACACACACACGTTTATTTGTCAGGACGGCTCTCCTCCTCACTGCACCTTCACTCGGCCAGTGCTTCTTCCCCGGCTCCTCGGGCCCCGCCGCCGCGCTGATTTGTTTTAAAGAAAAACAACCTCAAAAGTCATTAGATGGTTACAACCTGTCTGTGTCTGGTCATGTGGGGCCTTTCCCTTTTTTTATTCTGTCATGAGACTGTGGCCTAGTCCACACGTAGCCGGGGTTTTTTAAAAACGAATATCCGCCCCTCCAAAAACTTGCATCCACACCACCTCGTTTTAAAAACAAACTGTCCACACGTACCTGGATAAATATGTTGTTAAGGACATGCCAGACCTGTAGGCGGCAGTACTTTCCCCGTTCTTAACCTCGTCCTTCGTCTGTGGTCTTCCGCAAGGAGCAGTAATTCCTCTTGCAAAAACAAACAAGCAGAAAGCGCTTGGACAATTGATAAAGCGAGCGCAGCTCTGAGGGCATCCATGCTGTCGGCTAGTGTAAACACAGGTCGCACACGTGATGTCAGCATTGCTTTGTCGCAGAAAGTGACGTTGCGGACCTTAAAACTCCGGTTTTGTCCGTCCACACGCAGACACCCAACATGGAGAAAACGCACATCTTCACTTTGGCCGGAGTTTTTAAAAAGATCCGTTTTCGTGTGGATGACAGGCCAAAACGTAGAAAAATATCTACGTTTTGGCAGATCCCCGGCTACGTGTGGACAGGGCCTTTGTCTGCCACAAAAAGGGTGGTTTATTCACTAGAATTCTCTCCGTGGTCGTCAACCATGTCCTTCAGTGTATTTTGTGAGCTGGACACCTTGATGTTTACTTGTGCAGCCTACAGCTCTACGTGTGTAAACATGCTGATGGATTGAGCTCTGTTTATGATAACTAACAGATAAACGCTGGTTGTCAACAGAGCGGTGCCGGCTTCTTGCCCTCCAGTTGGGCTGGGGCGTGGGTGACCTCACGTGTCAAGGGGTGCCGTTTTAAACGAGCCACCACCGTCTTGTTTTGCTCAGTCGCATCACCCCGCCTACCAAATGGAAGGAGCGTTATGATTGGCATAACACAAAACTGTTGAGGCTCCTGTGGAGCGTGGCGAGATCCACATGCAGAGCAAAATCCTTTTGCTTCACCGGTCTGTCTAGATGTCTAGGTTTGACTCCTGCAGCTGCGGATCCAGAACTGCTCCACCAATCTAAACAGAATGTTGATGCTCAACAGAAATCGTATCGTGGAGGAAAAGAGCTTTGGGCCTTGTGAGGAGCTGCTGTTTGGACGCCTGTCCTTCAGAGGATTTAATCCAGAAGTGGAGGTCAGGTTCTGGCCTGGTGGGCTCCGAGGTAAAGCTAAATGCAGACCATCTCTGGTTCTGACCCAAACACGCCTTGTGTCGCAGAAACTGATGGCTCTGATGAACCCCAAAGATGAAGTGGAGGAGGATGTGAGCCAAATGCAGACAGATGTTACTGATGAAGAGATGGCTCTGAGGTAAAAGCACTCTGGGTTTCAGTGATCTACTGCTTCTGTCTGACAACCTTCCTCTCGTAAGCTGATATCTGGACTGATTAGTCAGCTGCAACCTTTTTTTTCTTCAGGTATGAGAGTTTAGTGGGAACCATGAAGAAGAAGTTTGCTAAGAAGCGTGAGCGGCGTGGGATGGACGAGGATGACCAGAACCTTCTGGAATCAAATACAAAGAGAGTGTTTCTGAAACCTCGGGACTGAGCCTGGACTCAGGTGTATGTGGGCACCAGAATGAGCTAGCTTTAGCCAGCTAACAGTTCCTACCTGCCTCCAGTCTCTGCGCTAAGCTAGCTCACTGCTACAAACAACTGCAGCTTGAGCAGAGCACAACAGGAAGTGGAAGGTTGAATTCCCGGTTTAATGCTCTAGCAGAACAGAGTGTGTTGATGCCATTTCACTTTTAAATGTTTATTAAACCATTTTAATAAAATCCACAGACATGTTTTTAAAATGCTGCTGAACACATTTATCAGACATTCTCAAAAGAAAAACTCGGGAGATGCTAATTACACGTGTGTGTGTGTGTGTGTGTTTTATGGACTAACTTTCAGGTTTGCCTTGTAATACATAGTGTCCCCACTAGATGACCTCGTTTCACTCTCTTAACTGCTTTAAAATTAAACTGATAACACACTCCCTGTCTGGCGTCTTTAAGCGATGCCACTATATTAAAGGTCAACACTAGAGGGGGATAACGAGTTCGGAGATTGGTCGGATGAAGGTCTTCACACTTCCTTGACGTCCAACTTTCACATCCACTTTTCTCACCAATCCATCTTTGCCCATTGATACCCATTGGCCACTCATTGCGGTTGGCATTGAGTCCTTCAGGAGGACCACATCTCCAATCTTGAGGTTTGGCATCTGTGAGCCACTTTTGCCGGCCTTGTAAAGCGCAAAGATACTCTTTTCGCCATCTTGACCAAAAGTTGTTAGCCAATACTTGCACTCTCTTCCACTGACTTTTAAAAATGTCTTTGTCCGAAAGGTCGTCCGGAACAGAAGGGGCCGTCCCTGTCTTCTGTGTCAGAAGCATAGCTTGCGTTAAGACCAAAGGAGCTTCTGGGTTAGTGGAGACCAGTACAAGGGGTCTGGCATTGACTATAGCAGTGACTTCAGCCATAAAAGACTTCGTGAGTGAGTTGGGAGTGCTTCCCATCTTGGTGTAAGGCATCTAAAATACAACGAGAAACTCCAACCATGCGCCCCCATGGGCCACCCATGTGACAGGCATGGGGTGAGTTAAACTCCCAGGTACACTTCTGTTCAGTTAGATAATCCTTGATTGTTGGATCATTATCTTTTGGTGACAGCTTCAGCTCACCACAGGCGCCGACAAAGTTGGCCCCTCTGTCAGACTTTTTTTGTTTTGCAGGTCCACGGATGGAAAAGAATCTCTGGAGAGCATTGATGAAGCTGGAAGCGTATGGTCTCCACCACCTCAATGTGAATGGCTCGAGTGAACATACAAGTGAACAACACAGCCCATCGGCTGGGGGGATCCATTTTGAGCCTTTCTTCTGGTAAACCGGATGTTAGTTGCTGTTCACACGATCCACGTGGCTTACTACAGTGAACGCATTTGTGACTGACACTACTGATCAGTCGTCTGCCTGCAACAAGCCACCAGCCGCACCTTCTGATGATGGCGCACAAGCAGAGTTGCCAAATGATGTTTATTGGGGATTATAACAGGGTTTGTTTCATTGTTCTGGAGCTGAGACTGACATAGACGGCCTCCAACTCTTAGTATGCTCTCACTGTCCAAGAACGGATTGAGCTTGAGAATGTTGCTGTTCTTTGCCAGACGTTCATTCTTCTTCATGACTGCCACTTCCTGATGGTAACATTCTTTTTGCACTGTGCGAATAATCAAACGCTCTGCACTGTCCATCTCGGATGGGGAGATAATATTACAGTTGTAGCGATTAATCTACACACTAGAATCAACACTGTTGCTATTCAGCTGGAGATTCTGAAAATAACCAATCAGATTAACCTATGAGGCTTAGATCATATATAAATATCCCGGATACTTATATAATCGATCTAAGTTCATACACCAACCTGTTTGGTCTAATTTTAATCCAAAGATTAATGTTTAATTTAGATAATTAAATTTAATAGCAAAAGTTTATTTTGAATCAGAAGCTAGGGATCTTTGCTTTCACTAACCAGAAACGATTACCCCTTTTCAATAATGAGGCAAGTTTAAAAATGAAGAAATTTTATTACTAACAATTTTAAACTTAAAGATTTGAACGACAATTCATGGATGACAATTTAATGACAAATTTTAACAGCTTTGATATTAAATTTGTTTTAAAAGGACAAACCTGTGGCTGGATGGAAGCTAAATTGGGAATTAAGAGTTTGGATGCGTGAATGGAATTCTCAGAAGATTTCTATCAGAGAGAGAAAAAGCGTTCTGGATGGAAATGATGTTTTGCAGCTAACTGAGTTTTTAGAGAAAACAGCATCAAACACATTCTGTCGAAGTCTACCTCACCCAATCAGAAGACCCCCTTTTTGGATCCAAAGTGTCCAGGTGGAGATGGGTTTCCTCCAGGCACGAGGTTGGTAGAAAACCCTCTAGCACGACCATATCGGTCCTGAGCTGTCTCCTTGGGTCACTCGACTGGTGGAACTGTTTGCTTCTCAAAGTCCCCCAGACTCCTCTGGCCCTCCTTCCTGGTCCCCCTCCTCCCGCCCTGCTCTGGTTTCCTGGGGGCATCTGTTATCGAGTTCTGTCATGACTCCCATCTTTCAGCCTTCGTTCAGCTCACCTAATCCCCTCACAAGCCCTGTTTCCCCTGGCAACCATAATCAACTCCATTCATCTCACCTGTTCCTGTCATCAGCTTCATCCACTTCACCTGCTCCTACTCCTCAGCTCATCTCACACACCTGCTCCCCCTACTACATAAGAACCAGTCAGCCACCAGTTCTCTGCCAGATTATTGAAAGCCTTTGCAAGTAAATCTTCCAGCCATCCACCCTGCCTGACCTCAGCCTCCGGACCTCGTTTTTCGCTCCTGACACCTGCCTTGTATTCTGCCTGCCATTACGACCTTCGCCTGTCTCCAACCTCTCCTACCTCGGGTAACTTCACTGAAAATAAGATTTTTTAAATCTATTTTTACTGTGTTTGGCGTCTTCACAGGTCTTCTGAGTTCTGTTTGTGACACCATCACATTAATAATAGGTTAATTTAAGCCACAAGAACGTTCTTGTACGAGACTAAGCGCTGTTTACAGTAGTAACAAGCAACAAGTAACTACTCCAATAGGGCGGACATGTCGGTGATGACATCACGATCACAAGCCCTACACATACACAAGTAAAAGGCTCTTTATATATGTATATCGGAATGTATACGTATAAAATGTAACGTTTTCTCCCGTGTCACGTGAAGTTACGTGACCGCCGTGGAAGCTGCGGTCATGTGATGCAAGTCTGTTCCATTTAATGGTTTTCTTTGACCAAGGAAGACAGTGTCCTCCTAAGCAAGGCGCCTGGCCTCGCAAGACATCGCCTTGCAAGTCTCATCCCTTTCCGGTTGGCTCGTGAGTCCCTGGAAGAACAAAAAAATAAATAAATGAATGCATGTCAGCCAGGCTAAAAGAACTTTTCTAATCCTCTTTGCCTTATGCCCTGAATCACACATATGTTGTACTCCAATTTAAGTCAAAAGTAAGGATTTGTGTTTCGACCACGCCAGTCACGTATTTTGAGATTTATCAGCTTTTAAAACTTGGTAGTTAGCATGACTACAAACCAGAAATTGACACGCTGCAGATGTGACGTCACCACCAAATCTCCTCCCCCTAGCGTAGCTACTTACCACGACCCGATTTTTGGTGGTTCTTGTTCTTTCCTAGTGGAAGGATTTGAAGTTTGCTAAACTTAGCGCCATTTTCGCTCAGTTTTCTCCGTGTCTCGTTGGATGATGTTACTTTAGTGATGCGCATTTGTAGTCCTGGACTTATTTTCACATTAAACCTAAATTTTAGGTTAGGGTTAGTTTCCCCTCATTCGAAAATAGGCGCGTTGTTATCAAAACGTGTCTTAAAATTCACAGACATATGTGAAATCCATGGAGCAGAACAAGCAGAATTAGAAAATTGTGTTTTCACCCCCACTGACTTGCATTCATTTTTTCGTTCTTCTGGGGACCTGTGGTCCAGAGGTAGATGGGCATGATTTAGGCTCCCTGTACACAGGTTTGGACAAGTATGCATATTGAGAAACAGTTCTGTCACCCCTAAAAGAAACATACTCCTCCCACTTCATGTTTGAAAAACGCAACAAATGCTGTTGCCTGGCAGACCGAGAGGGTAGAGCCGCTAATATATACACACAAACAGGCTCACAACAGCATTGTGACATAATGTACCAGCCAACATCATTGTGTACCTTTTAGCCAACCGCGTTGGCAGATTTAAATTCAGTGTGTAGTGCAGTTTTTACCTGACAGCGCAACAGTGACAGTTTTAGGCATAATATTTCATTTTAAATAAGATGCACAAAAGTGCCAAATTATTGACTACATGTGTCTACAGCAAGATTAGATGCTCGTAGTTTAATCAGCAAAAAGTTGATTTGGTGGTGACTTGCTCTTTAACTCTAGGAAAAATAGGGTTAATCTCAGTTTAAACTAGTTTTTCTTTTTCTAAATAACTGAACCATAACTCTCCACACAACCGGCCAAGAACATCCCCTTCAACATAAAAGTCCAACCCTAATGAATTGTAACCCGTTACACTATGGTAAAACAATGTAAATCATAAGATATATAACCAATATTTGCACACTTATACTAACCATAATCATAGTTTGAAATGAATTTGAATATCCTTAAACGTTTAAATGTTTTACTTTATTTTGAAAAGCCACTTGCTTCTTCCTGTCTAGCTGTGGTGCATCGGTGTGGTGCACATAAGAGACAGTCCGAAGTAGAGGAGAAAAGTCTGTGTCCCGCCTTATTGACAGTCTCCTGTTTTGAGTTCAACATTTGTATAAACTGGATAAAGCAGGAGGCGGGACTTAAACACAGATTCGGAGAGCGTGGAGCACGCTCACGTTGAACCTGCAACGCAAAAATGAAAGGGCAGGATGTGGACAGACAGGGCTTTTATTGTGGAAAGTCACAGCTACAGGTGCATATTTGATCAACACAATATCAAGACATACAGGAAATGCTAGTTCACACGGAGCAGACAACATTCAGCCAATCGGAAAGGAGAAAGAGCTTAGGCAAAGTTCTTCTTCAGGAAGTTGATGAGTCCATTGGTGGACGAGTCGTGGGATGAAACCTCAGCCGAGTCTTGCAGCTCCGGCTCGATTTTCTTGGCAAGCTGCTTCCCGAGTTCCACCCTGAGAGGGCCAAATCAAAACATCAGGTCCAATAAACCATGACATGACATAAAACATCAATGCAGCTGTTAATAAAGATGGCTCTGTACTAGTGATGTACCGATATGACATTTTTGGGCCAATACCAATATTAATATCACTGTTATGACCAATTAGCGGTATTTGCCAATACCGATATACTGACATTAATGATTCTAAAATCTGCATATTTTGCATAGATTGAAAATTATTTAAGCTGAATTTACATTATTATGTACACACATTTACGCTTCTGAGAGGATTACAATCATGATCACATGACTAAAGAAAAACACACCACCCCCCTCACCCTCTGAAGCAGATGAACAAATGGAAACAAGATGGGAAAAAATATTAGTTATTAGTAGTTTCATTTATCGGCCCGATACGTTCAAAAATGACCAACATCGTCAGATACCGATGTAGGTGTCCGAAATTTTGATAACGATATATTTTCCATTTATTGCCCAGCTCTATTTCCTCATGTTCCCTTCCAAGGGTGTCTTTCCCAAAGTGAATATTGCCATACACGTTGGGAAAGTGTTTCTGAATGGTGAAGGTCCAAACAAACAGCTTAGTAATGCCACTTGAAGTTTACGTCATCAGTTTTAAATTAGTCCCAGTAAAACTGCACACCTTGGTAAAATATGAAGGAAGCCAGATGGTATTACAATTTGGATATCGCCCAAGCCTAGTCCACATCACCCAGACCTAACCGAGAGCTAGCTTTTTTTAGCCAAGGATCAGAGCTCCGCCTTCAGCCACCACCCAACCCCTTTGGCCCCTCCTACGAGTGGTAAGCCCCCACGCGTTCAATATTTATTTATTTGCCACGTGTCTAGCCTGGCCTGCCAGACTCATCCTCTACACAGAAAAACTACTCTGAAAAAGACAGAAATACCAACTGTAGTTTTTTTTTAGCTGTAGTCAAAGATGGAGTCTGTCGACGGAACAAACACGTTTCTTCAGAAGAAAAGCTTTTATCTTCTCGTGGTTTTAAAGACACGTTCAAGTCAATTAGAACAGAGGAAAGAGCCGCAGCCAACTCCGCTTCAGATGCCATGTTTATGAGAAAATGAGCGTTGTGGTGTGGCGTACGCTGCTCAGCGCTGATTGGCTCAGTCAGAAATCTCAGGGGGTGGAGTTATCCCACATGAGGCTGGCTGGTCAGGCTAGCACCTGTCACCCTCCATACATGATCATACTGAAAATATTTAAAGCATTTATTTTACTTTCAAATTTCATCCAGCGGGTTACTTTGAGCTCTAGTGGGCCGGGGTTGGCCCATGGGCCTTTTATTTAACCCTCCTGGTTACTCACCCCCACTGATCATAGCTGTTGATGTTCCACATGACTCCTTGGACGAAGATCTTGTGCTCATACATGGCTGAAAAACAAAACATGCTGCTTAAGAATACAAGCTTCAGACCTTAGTTCAGCGACTGACTACACTTTTGTGGTGCTGTGAGCTGATAGGCTGATGCTCTGGATGTTTCAGGCAATCGCATGCTATTTTTAAGGTTTCAGTCACTTTCTAGAGCCATGTGGAGCTTCATCACTCAGAGGCTGGAACTTTTCCAGTCCTCACCACCCAGAGCTCCCAGTACTCACCAATCAGAGCTCCCAGTATGAACGGAGTCAACTTTCTGAAAACAACTGAGTTGCTTGGCTTGTTTCCTTCAAAAACCTTTAAATGAATAAAAAATTCTGGTTATTAATCAGAATGAAAGGTGGGGAGGGATGACAGACAGGTGGGGAGGTGAGTTACCTTGTGTGGCAGCAGCTTTTCCAGAGCCTCTCCCGTCTTCCCGCTGGCCTCCAGCTCTTTTCGAGCTTCTTCTGCAGTTTTCCCTTTCATCAGAGCTTCCGTCTGAGCCAGGAAGTTTGCCATGAGGATCTGAAACAAATGTTTATTGCTTACATTTATAAACCGCTGGAAGGATTTTTAACATGCTGCTGAAAAGGCTGGACAGCACCCTTTGGTATGGTTTAATTAGGCTTTGGGCCATTTCCAATCTTCCTTTCTGTGCAAAGACTCGATTACTGTGTACTAGCAGCTGATCTCCTTTCTAACTGTGCATCAGACTTTAGAGACACTTCCGTGTTTTTTTAAAGGTCTCATGATGCACGTGTAGTTATGGAGGCTGGGGACAGGGTGCTGCTCTTGTTGGTGGACCCAACAGCAGCCTTAGATGTGGTCGAACATCAGGTCTCAAGGTAGCGGGTGGGGTTGCCTGGGGCAGAACCACCCCAAGTTAAGGACATGACTTACTGTTTGTATGCTGAAGCGAGGAGTTCCTCAGGGGTCAGTACTGGGCCTTTAGTTTCCTGCATCTCCTGCTGTTCGGATGTTTCTCCAAATGCACAATATTCTGATCTTTTTACTAATAATTGTCAAATTAATTTGGCTGTCCAGCAGGGGTCTGAGGGCAAGACTCAGTTGTTAATCAGACAGGAGTACACGTGTGGTTAGCGTCCAATGTCCTGAGTTTCAACCACAACAAAACTGAGGTATGGAGGTCATTATTTGCCAAAATGTTGTCTTTGTTGCACATGATGTGAGCTTGAAAATTGTGTAGTAACATATGAGAAGCCACACACACACACACACACACACACACACACAGGTAAATATGGAATTTTAAATAAAACTCATCTATATACATATATATCAGGGTTTTCCCCAGCACTTTATAAGCCTGGCGGCCCACCCTCCATCAGTTGATATTGGTGAGAAACAGCAGTGAAATGTGTGCAACCCCGTTCACCCCTGCTCTCACCCCCCCCCCCCACACACACACACACCCAAAAGCCACCAGGCTTAACTCATTTTCTGGGGGAAACTGTGTGTGTGTGTATGTATATATATATATATATATATATATATATATATATAAGGGATGTGTATTGGTGAAATTCTGGCAATACGATACTTATCACGATACAGGGGAGACGATACGATATATTGCGATGCATTCAGTTGGACGATATTAGCGATTTTTTTTTAAAACTAGAATTATTGTAGGAAAATTCAATAAACGGACCAAACTGATACTTAACATGATTAACATGAGGTATCTGAACCATAAGAGGGATTTACATTTCAGTGGTGGAAACAAACTCCATTGCACACTACTGCTGACTAGCGGACGGCATTTGATTTGCACCATTAGAAAAGAAAATACACAAATGTTTGCACGTAAATTCTTCAAAAAAAAAAAAATCGATACACAGCTTTTGAACATCGATATAATATCGCAGGAAAAAATATCACGATATATTGCTATATTGATATTTTCTTACATTACTATAATCTCCATCCAGTTGTTATTCTACCACAAGGTGTGCCCCATAACTAAAGAGCAGACATGACAAAGATGATGAGTATTAAACTACTCTAGGGGGGCCCAGTCCGCCATGTTTTTCCGCGTCCGCGTGGTTAGAAATTTTCCTAGGTGCGCGTTGCGGAAATTTTGGGCCGTGCGAAGGCACGGTGGAGGGGCGTGGTTGTTAAAATGACACAACTTTTCCGCACGGCAAGCATAAAGCAACCTTAACCATTTTCTTTGACCCAGGAAGGACAATGTACTCGTAACCACAGAGAAACACCCCGGTTCTCATCCAGGTGAGCAGGAAGTGTCTTTACCACAGGGTTGTTACCTTGTGGTGCAGGTTGTCTCTGATTGGATGTTGAGACTGAGCAGGAATCAGAAAATCTGCAGGAATCATCCGAGTGCCTGTGGATATAGAGCTCAGTCAGAACCAGTAGAGCCCAGTCAGAACCAGTAAAACCCTGCAGAACCAGTGGTCACCTTGGTGAATGAGCTGGTAGAAGGCATGCTGCCCATTGGTTCCAGGTTCTCCCCAAACAATCGGACCAGTGTGGTAGTTCACACGGGTGCCGTCTCTGGTGATGGACTTCCCATTAGACTCCATGTCCCCCTGGGAGACACACACACACAAGTTGACTTCACTTCCATTTGATCAGAGGGTTTGGATCAGAACCAGAACCGGACCCACTGACCTGCTGGAAGTAGGCGGCAAATCGATGCATGTACTGGTCATACGGCAGCATGGCATGAGTCTCAGCCTGGAAAAAGTTCACGTACCAGAGCCCCAGAATCGCCAGCAGAACCGGAACATTTTGATCCAGAGGGGCGCTGCGGAAGTGGTTGTCCTTAGGATGAGAAGAAAAACCGGTTTGGGTTTGACAGAACACAGGTCCAGCAGACCTTAGATGATACAAACTGGTGTAATCCCTGTCCCTCCCCTGGTTCTAGTCCCAATCTAGGAACACCCCCTTGGATCCTGGTCTTTGGGGCAACTGGACTGAATATCAAAGGTGTGTTTGGGTTCTGGTCTCCTACCATCCAGTGAGCTCCTTCCAGAAGCTGCTCAAAGTTCTCGAACCCTGAAACACAAACAGAAGTGGTTTTGGTTCTGGTCAACCACCCTCAGAAGGTCCGGCTCCTCCCGAACATGGAGACCTACCCACATGCAGAGCGATGGACAGACCGATGGCGGACCACAGAGAGTAACGACCTCCGACCCACTGAGGACCAGAAAACATGACATCATAAACAGTGATGCACCGATATGAAATATTTGGGCCGATACCAATAATCTGACATTAATGCTTCTAAAGTAGCAGATTTTGTATAGAATGAAAATGACTGAAGCTGAATTTACTTTAAGCACACACACACCGCACTCATTTACACTACTGAGATGATTAACATGGCTACACACATACACATTACCCCCCACACCCCACCCCCACCCTCTGAAGCTGATAAACAAAAGGAAACGAGATGGAAAAAGTATTTGTTGTTAACTCATTCACTGCCAAGTCGTCATTGGCACGTTTTTACTGTGTGGGCATCGGAACGAGCCCCCGCACCATGAGGACAATCATCTCAGCTCTAAAGCCTATCTTCATCCGTATATGTCACAAGTCACATGACCAGAAAAAAAAGCAGAAAATTCATGTGTTAGGAGATCGTTTTGGGCCGCTGCTGTACAAAAAAGTGAGGCGCGAATCGGAAAAGCTTCTGACGATCACAATTCAACAACGGATTACGAAAGAACGGATAACGCTCGGAACGCGCGGATTCTTCCTGATGTAAGAGGTGAGTCTCCGCTTTGATTTGGTTGTTTTGGCATCAACATCATCCTAGCACACAACGTTCTGTGACTCTTAAAAAAAACCGTAAAACGGTGAGAAATGCCGGCAGTGAATGAGTTAAAATCAGCCCGATTCCGATATGTTAAAAAACGACTAACATCGGCCGACACCGATGTTGATGCCGATGTATCGTGCATCCCTAATCACAATCATTCCACCAATCAGAGCACAGCTGAACCAGATCCCGGGGCGGGTCCGGAGGTCCAGGCTCTACTTACATCCCAGAACTCAAACATGTTGGCCGTGTCGATTCCAAAGTCCTTCACTTTGTCCTAAAGATGAAAAACGGACAATCAGACATGTTGGAATCAGACGAGATAATTAAATCACAGATAAACGAGTCACAACTTACAGCGTTGGTGGAGAGAGCCACAAAGTGTTTGGCCACTGCAGATTTCTGAGGAAGAGTGGACAGAACACGTTAAGAACACGCTAAGGTGTCACGCCGTTGCGTTCGTGTTCAGACTCACATCAGCTGCCGTCTGCAGGAACCAGTCCTTAGCCGACTCGGCGTTGGTGATGGTCTCCTGGGTGGTGAACGTCTGCAACGGATCCCAACACACTTTTACTCTGTATCCTGTATAATCCCTGCTGAAGAACAGCACCCCCTAGCTAAGGTCAAGCATGTGCAGGAAGACCCGGTTCTGGAGGGCCGGAGAATCAAGAACACCTGTCAGAATTTCCCCCCCCCCCCCACCCCCCAACCCCCGCAAAGTGAATTAACTCCACCCACCCCTGGAGGCAATCAATGAGGGACTAAAGACTTGTTCCATCTGGTTCCAGTAGAGAACAGTTCCGATCAGAAGCCGCCATGTCACACATCACATGACCAGAACTGGTTGGGTTTTCTGCTTACAATAAAAGTTAGACTGAAGTGAATACTTCCCCTCTTACCTAGGTTTGGTTCTGCAGACTAACACACTAAAGGTTCTGGTGGACCATCAGGAGTTCTCTAGAACTCTGCTGGTTCTATAAGAGAACAGTAACACAGAACCACCAAGAACCCGAGCCACAAGCTGCAGGAGTGTGTGTGGTGTGTGTGTGTGTGTACCTTAGAAGCAACGATGAACAGCGTGGTCTCCGGGTTGAGCCGGGCCAGAGTCTTAGCTAGGTGAGTCCCATCAATGTTGGAGACGAACCAGACGTTTGGACCACCAGCTGAGTAGGGCTTCAGAGCTTCAGTCACCATCAGAGGTCCCTGAATGCACCATGACATCACACGCATCAGTGAGCTCCAGGTGAGACCAGCAGGTGTCTAACCTTCAGAAGGTTACAACGATGTAAACAAAAAAAAAAAACAATCCCAAGAGCCAAGCTCTCTCTGAAAATTCTCACATTGGGTTCCAGGAACGAGGCTAGCCTGAAGCCCCTCCCCTTCACCATGGTAACATGCTGAAAGACAAACCTGCTGGCTAGCAGCAAGTATGCCTCCTTTTCTTCTGTGATGCACGTCGGTGTGGTGCATTAGCGCCACCACTGGCCTACAGCGGTAGCAGCAGCTGCAGCTTTACCTTTGGTAGCTAAATTACGAGTCACACCTGGGTGGAGACTTACTTCCCCACAGTTCCCGTTACAAACACGCTCCTAAAGGAGGCGTCGCCTGGCGGACCGAGACAGCGGCACAGACTTAACAAGGGTGTGCACACGAGCAGCAGACTGGAGGGTTTTCTCTCCACCTTGATCACTACCAGGAAGAGAGGAGGCGAGCGGCTCCGAGCCGTAATGTTTCACATCGGCAGGCGAGTGGCTGAGCCAGGTGGAGGTGGAGTCCAGTGCAGCCAGGTAGTACAGTACAGACAACGCAATGAAAACTGTCCAGTGAGTAGTCGTCGTTCACGTAGGAACGGGACTAACCGTGACATCATGACAACTAAGAATCACTTTTGCAGCCAGAGGACGGTGACCGGTTGCTAAGCAGCAGAAAGCAGCTCAATAAGCCGTTTTCATGGACAGGCTCTGATTGGCTGGTTGAGAGGCTACTCTGCTTTGTGAGCATCTTGTTTTGGTCTAAATGAAATTATTGTGAATACTAATGATATGTTTATAACACGTTGTGTATATATAACCTCTCTCAGGCCAGGATGCTTTCCTCATTTTATTTATTTATACACCAACAATGACACTACGGATTAAAGGCTAAGAACCAGACACAGTAAAAGCCAGAGGTGAAGGTTTATGCATGTAACACTAATGAGCATCAGTGCTGCTGTAAAATCTGATCTCCAGTCAGAATCATCACTTCTGTCTCATGAGCAGCAGCCGTTGTGTTTTTCAGCATCATGCCAACTTTCAAGTGAAGCCCACTCCTCTTCTGACGTTTTATTTCTTGTGTTTGCTCACAATCCATATTTCCATTGGTCTCATCTCCACGGATCTACCCATCTGTCGGAGCATTTACCCACTGCTTACACGTTCCCTCCAGAGAGCGCCATCTGTTAAATCCTCCAATAACAGATCAGCCATGATATAATGTTAGATTCCCGTTGGGCACGGGTGTCTTTTATAGGTTTTAGCTCCAATAATGAGACCGGAGTGAACTGGTACGCTGTTTCAAGCGAGGCTTTTTCTGAAGAGTCTGTTTTCTGAACTGGTTTTGCAGAACAGCCTCACGCACCAGCCGTACTCACACACCTGTGTGTAGGAACTAACTACACACTGTGTGGTAGTCATCATGTTGTACCTGTGTGTGGAAATGTTCCTTAACACCAGAAAACCTCAGACCACGTGTAGGAACAGCATCTAGTGGTAGAACGGGGAACCGCACCATCGAAGGTCTCAGTCATCCACTCATTATTTTATATTTCAGTGAAAAACAGCTGAGTCACGACTGGTGCTGAGTCACGACTGGTGCTGAGTCACGACTGGTGCCGAAACACCTGACGGGAATCTGACTTTATAGAACGGATGTGGTGTTTTTGTTACTCTTCCTGTTTTATGATGTTTTATTTGTTTTAATAATTAGTATTAATTAAGTTTTATTGAATTCTATTATATTTGTGTTTTTGTGAAACTCCTCGTGATGCTGCTTCAGACGCCTTCGATAAAAGAACGTTTCTATATTATTATGAAGGATCTGTCAGAGTTCCTCTGGAGGAAACTCGTCTCCGTGAGCGCTGACAGCAGATCCGTCTGGAGCGATGCTGGGATTTGGGATCCTTTGTGGAGCGACAGATAAACCGCACATATCCAATTCCAGTCTATGTTCTATCTTATACGAGAACCTCCTCCCTCCCCATCACACAGGCGTTGCCATGGTAACCAGACTGAATGACAGCTGCGAGGCTGCACTCAGACATTCCCTAGCAAAACTAAGTCCATCCAGAACGACTCCTTAAATGTAAATGAGAACCCGTTACTCTACGGTTTATCAGACTCAAGTGTTTATTTATCCCTGAGGGAACCTCTCCTCTGTCCCGACCTCCTAACCTAACGTGTTTGGTTCTTTTGCACTTCAGCAGAAAGGGTCTCCATCTCACAACATTCCTTCTTCTCTCTGGGTAGAACGTAGGAATCCCCTCACGAGCGGAGGACGTAGTGTGACCAAATATGGTTAAAGAGGGTGTTTCTGTGTGTAAATGACTGAGAACGGACACGAGCACCTGGGTAGCACAGGTGGGATTTATCATCAGACGAGTGCGGAGGAACGTGAGTATGAGAGGCCACCGCACGTTTCGTAGATCAGGACTTTTACTGTTCTTACAAACATTCCAGATTTTGTTCATAGGAACGAATTATGGAATATTTCTATGAACATTTGATGAATGAGGCCCCTGGACTCTGGTCTGCTTTGGGAGCGTGCCAGGATGTAAAGGCTAGACCGACCTGAGTCCTGAGCAGGTCAGCACAGTAAAGATGGCAAATTAAAATGAAGAATCAGGCTGTGTGCCACACCTGTACTGGTTTTCCCACCTGCTTACAAATCTGTGAACTCTGAAGTTTTCAATCAGCACACAAACCCAGAGCCAAGCGGCAACTGGATCGTACCAGCAACAGATACGAAGCATGTTTTCCCAACTTTAGGAAAAATCATGGTTAGGATAATTTTCATGAGAGACTGCTCAGTGTGTGTGTGTGTGTGTGTGTTCACCAGGTCAGAGCCTCCAATGCCGATGTTCACCACGTCCATGATGCTCTTTCCACTGAACCCTTTCCATTCACCACTGCGCACTTTCTGTAAAGAGCATCAGAATGTACATGTGACACACACACACACACACACACACACACACTAGGGTTGTCACGGTAACCGATGTAGCGGTAAACCCCGGTAAAAACGTTGACAATAATAATAACCGTCTTGTTTTTTAAAAACTATATTATCTCGGTGGATTACCGTGGCAGCGGTGTAGGCGCCATGACCCTTACCATCCACCGTATCATCTGCTGAAGTTGCCTGCGTCACATGCGCACTTTGTTGTTTACAACAAAAACTTAGCTCAGGACATTTATTATCCCTCAAAGAAGACAAAGTGGGAAGTAAGTGCATTTTTTGGATATTTGAAGAATGCCGAGGGACAGTTTATAGAAGACGGCTATCCTGTTTGCAGCACGTGCAGAAAAAGTGTCTGTGAAAGGCAGCAACGCTTCAAATCTCATGACACATCTGCGTGACCATCACCCACAACTCTACAGTCAACGCAAGGCAAGTTAACGTTAGCGTTTTAGCTAAAATGTGTGATCCGAGGATTTAGGTTGAGGGAGAATGCAACGAGTCGTTATATAAAGCAGCCGCAGCGCCGCTACCTGCATATAAACCGTGTCGCGGACACCGCCATGTTGAAATGACGCTATGCATTACGGGGCTCCCAGGGGCAGATAGAGTTGGTCTCTCTCTGAGAATAATAATGAATTTAACAACGATTACTGCCTGATGACATTTTCCCACATCTGCAAAGCTCACTGGAAGGACACAAACCGAGGACAATATTTTCCTGATATAGGGTTTATTACTCAAGTAAGGGTAAAAAAGTATCTGATCAGAAGGCTACTTGAGGACTGAGTATCATCTGATCTAATATTTTTTAAAATGATGACATCAAACAGACATAAAATAAGCTATAGGCAAATATTGGTATTTTAAAGACTAAAGGGGAAAAATGTAAACAAATAAACAACATAATTACAAAATAACACATTTTAGGCTAAATTTAGACACAAACTGAGGACAATATTTTCCAGATATACAGGGTTTATTTAGTTGTCTGAAAATGTAACACGTTTAAAAAAATACCACGATAATACCGAAAACCGTGGTAATTTTGGTCACAATAACCGTGAGGTTAAATTTTCACACCGTGACAACCCTAACTACAGACACACACGCACGCACACACAGACACACACGCACACACAGACACACACCTGACAGAAGGCCTTCATTTTGTCCAAAACTCCGTTGACATCTGGCATCACGTCTTTTCCATCAACAAGGATGGGTGAGTTTGATCGGTTCCTCAAAGCCACATGAAGCACAGATCGGTTCTGGATAAACCCACGGGACAGATCTGGTCAAAAACACATATGTAATACAGAACGTGTGTGTGTGTGTGTGTGTGTGTGTAATGATTGAGGTGGTGATGACATTTGTAACTCTTCAACCACCACTGCTCCCAACAAAACAAGTGACAGTTTATGCTTTACTGCATTTGATAGTGTGTGTATAACATACCTGTGACACACAGTTCCTTCCCTCACTCGTGAACAAGACCCGGAGATGCTTAACCCCCCCACTTGGGGCAGGACCTCATCCTGACCTGGAGAAGACATTCTACTCTTTTCTGACTCTGGACCAGGGTCTCAGAGTTAAGAGGAGCTGCGAACCGCTCCAGAGAAAGCCAGAGATGACGTTCTGATTATCAGAACTGCCATCTAATGAATAAAAGAGTGCTTAAATAATGGAGGTATTCCATCTTTTATCAACGTTTTACACACAGAACCAATTAATCAGCTACAGCCTCCGAGTCGGGTTAGCTTCTCGGTCTCCACATGTAGGCAGCTGCTTATTTATGCGTTCATAAATAACTAGGCGAGATCTTCCAACTTACACCTGGTCTACACTAGGTGTAAACGGTACACCTGGGTCTAACGACAGAAGGGCCGACACCTCAGTGGTGCACTCGTCTTATTGAGCTGGACCCAACTTTGAAATCTACGTCGGACTCAACGTTACACCGGAGCGTACGACCAGCTGGTGCACTCCGCTCCAGGTGAGTAAAGCTCCGCACCTCAGTGAAGTTGATCTTCTCCCCAGAGAACATCTTCTCTCTGGCCTGCTCCACCCCTCTGGACTTGGCCTGAACAGAGAAACAAAACCACAGTCAGATGACATCAGAACCAGAACCCACAGCAGTAGATGGTTTAGGATGAACTTCTGAGTCAAGAAAAACCATAACAGCTGGTTCTGATCTATGGGTTCAAGAGCTGCTGCAGAACCCAGAACCTGGCCTCTGATAAAAACTGAGAGATGAAAAACCAAACAAAAGCAGTTTGGGTTGGTTCTGATGGAGACCACATTTTAAAATGAACCTCCTGTAGAAGCTTTCACAATTATTTACTCTGCACAGGATGATGAAGAAAGCCAGTTCTGCATCACCTCCTGTGTGGGGAACCGGGTCGGTATCAGCAGAGTTTCCTCATTCACACACGTTTCAGAACCTCAGTGTGGCTCAACGTGTGTGTAAACCTGGTGTGTTGTAACTTTCCTGTTTCCCGTTTGTTCAGCTTCTCAACCCGAGTAGATACCCCACGTATCTAAAGCATTTGGACCGGTTCTAGCTGCAGCCGGCCTGACCGGGCCTAACCGGCTATGGGATGCTCTCACCAAGGCCAGCAGCATGGACATCACATCCTGGTTGATGAGGTTCTTGGAAAAGTCCAGCAGAATGTCTCCGTCCTCCGTGTTCAGGGTGGTGCTGTCAACCAGAGCGCCAGTGTTAAATAAAACTTTATTTGTACAAACGGTTAGAGACAAACAAGAACAGCATTCATCCATACAGAACCTCAACCCGAATCACAACCACTGACCTATGCCACTGACCCAAATCCAGTTCATCCCCGAGTTAAGTCTTATCTGTCTTAATGAGTCAGTCAAAAAATATATCTTCAAAAAATGTTCTGGTGCCGATCTGGTAAGGAGACTGGATCACAGACGTTCTGGCTGCAGGACCGGACCGAGAGTTCTGGACCAGCAGCCAGGATCATGAGCTGTGAGCGGTAGCACGTCATCGCCTTCATTACCAGACAGTGCTCAGTCACGTCCGCTGCCCCGGCTGGAGGTCTGACCTGGACCGGGTCTCGGGTGGGGTCAAAACAGGACCGTTAAATTAAAGGCCAACTACAACGAAACCAGAAACTGGTGGCTACGTTACGTTTGCTAATGGTCCGGGTTATCAGACACAACTCCGATAGGATGAGGTTCCGGTCCACATGACCGTAGTTCAAACACCCGAACTTTCATTCAGACTGAAGCCAGATGCTAGAAAACGCTCTTGTCCGATAATGGGCGCAGTGACTTTAGCACGCGGGCTAATGCTAGCGCTGCAACGGAACCCCTTAGATAGCGGAGCCCGCCGCCCGGGTTAACCGAGTCATGGCTGGGAAGAGAACGGTTGGCTGCAGACAAGTAAAGCCCGGTGAAGGGTTCCAGCGGGGAAGCTTATAACGACGCTGAAGAGAAATGACCTTGCGGCCAACGGGGATGGGGGCACGGAGAAATAACCCTAACCATACCCACCCTGCTGGCACCCAAAAATTATGTTTTGCATAGATACAATTTTTGAAAATATTATGTGTAGCACAATTTTTATGTATGTTTCAAGGTTATGGTTAGGGTAAGAGTTGCGGTTAGGGTAAGGGTACACACATTTTTTTGCGAGTGGGTGGTTCAAACTCGCAGCTGGGTGCAAAAGAAACAGATCCCGAGGGGGAACACATATCAACGTAACACCAGTAACCACTGAGAATACCTAGCCGTTAACATTTCGTTCAAACTTCGTGTCACTGTGAAGAAACCGTCCGCCGGAGGCCGGACGGCTTCAGCAGAATCCTGGCCACTTTTTGCCCACCTGTCTGTCCCCGGGACCTGGTCTCACCTGAACTTCCGGAACCGCTCCGGGTCGCTGTCAAACATCGCCCTCATATTCAGACTACCGCCGTTAGAACGGTACCACTGCTCCAGCTTCTGGAAGTTCGGGTCTGCGGTCAAAGCCATGATGCTGGTGGCGTGACGATGCTGAGAAACGGCTGCTACCTCCGGTACGTGTTTACCGTCCGCGCAAGGTGCTGGACTGAAGCGGAACTGGAGCAGGGGGCAGGCCCGAGGGGAGCTGCACCAATCACCACACAGCTATAGCCACACCTTCAAACAGAGCTCTGCGGTGGTTGGCTGCTTCCCAAAGAGTCCAATCAGTCGTTTCTCTTCATCCAAGTCCAATCTCGAATCAGTGAGAACCGAACGTGATTTATCCGTCAACCAATCAGCGCGCACGCACTAATTAAAGTATGCTCGATTCTTTTGACTGAATCGAGTTTAATGATTCACTCACCAAAATGAATCGTGTTTTTGAGTCAGTCAGGTACTCGGAGCGCGAAAAAAATTGCGTTTTTAATCAAACTTGATATGCTTCATTTATCACGTAAATCCTAATCCACAGAGTTTAAATGAAGGCTGGAATCTGACTGGGGAAAAAATCTTATCAATTTTTTTTACACTTAAGTATTTTTTTTTGTTTGCGTACCTTAGACGGTGACGTCATACTATCAGGGTTCAGCTCAGGTGATTCTGCCGCTGAGTGCCGGGCAGGAGTGACTCAGCTTTGCTTCCAGCCCAGAGAAGGTAAGAAAAGGATTTTAACAAACTAACTCATCATTCTCATGACAAGCTAGATAAGATTAGTTTGCTAACAGTAACAGGTGAGTCCGTTGGTATATTGAATCGTGATTCACAAGTTAGTAAAGCAATTCTCCAATACTGAATGATTCATTTAGAACTCGCACGCTGAGAACCCAGCTGAAACTAAAAACATCAAAATTGAGAAACAAGATAATATTTCTGCAAATTTAGTTCTTTTATTGATTCTCATTTAAAAGCTCGTGTTTACAGACGTTTCCTGTTTGGATCAGGGTCCCTCTCAGAACCTCCATCAGGACAGTTCCACCCTTCTGCACCAGTGAGTGGTTTGGATCATCAGAACTTCTGTGCTGTGGACCAAATTGGGTTGGACCCAAGTCAGCAGCAGAATCTGTCTGGGCTGAATTGGGTGTTGCTCCTCTGTGCTTTTAGTTTGCAGATCTGTTTGACTTCCCATTAGCTGAATCCCATCTTCAGCAGCATCGTCATGTTCATCTCATCCAGATTCAGTGCTGAACTCTAACCTCCTGGACAAGCTGACTGATTTGTTAGAAGACTTATTCCGTTTTGTTCAGTGTGTGTGTGTGTGTGTGTGTGTGTGTGTGTGTGTGTGTGTGTGTGGGAGAGAGACACACGACAAAACTGAATTTCAGGAGATGAGAAACAAACTCAAACTAAAGAGGAAGCCAACAGGATTTAATCCTTTAACGTTTAATCGTCACCATGAGTTCAAAACTCAGTCATTCTGCTGAAACGGGCCAATTCAGATGTTCTTGATCATCTCAGCAGCTCATTAACACAAGATCTAAAATCATCCAGAACCGGGAGCCAGAAAAGACCACAGAAACCAGTAATGTAGTGGGATGGGAACAAGGAGCAGTGAGATGGAGAAGACCCGGCCATGACAGGAAGCATTGGAGTGAGCCAGCAGAGCTCCAGGACAATCCTCCACAGCCAACAACACAAACTACGCCTTTTCTAAGGAAATTTCTGGAGCCACTGATGGAGATGAAACGTTAAGCTGCATCCATGACGTCAACTCTAGTGCTGGTGACAAACTCTGGGACAGGCTTCGTCCTTTAGGGGACAAAATAAACTCAAGAGGTTCGTTTTCTTCCAGAGCTCAAGAAGCATCTCCCTCCTTGTGCAACTACGCAGCCACTTTGTTGTCCTTCTGCAAGAAAGACAAAGACACACACACACACACACACACACACACACACACATGAAAGACCAGAACAAAATTAATTTCTGCTAGAAACCCAGTTCTGTCTCACCCTGTACGGTAAGTTGGCAAACTCCTGGCCAGCCTGGTTTCCACGGTAACCTCCCCTGAAGCCACCACTGCCCTGCAGGGACCCAAAGGACCCTCGCCCACCAGGGTGCCCCCGGGCCCCACGAAAGCCAAGAAGCCCGCGTCCTCGATACCCCCCACGGCCTCGGCCCTGCCGCAGAGGAATGCCGAAAGTCTCAGCGTTCATCCTCCTCTCCTCGGCCCAGGTCTGCCTCCGCTCCCTGCAGCAGAAAGAAGGAGCACAAATCCAGATCCAAACAGGTGGTGCTAAGGGAATCTACTGAGCCAGGCTGGACTCTCTTACAAACAGCTGACTGAGTCATGTGACACTCACCGGGGAAACGCGGAACCACCGGACTTCTCATTGGCTTTCCTGAAAGACAACAGCGAATGAGTGATCATCACATTGATGAGCTTGTTTCTACCCACCCCCCTGCAGCAGGAGCGGGGGACCTTTACCCCAAAATTCCACCATCTCCGCTCCGCCCCCGCTTTCCACTGCCACTCGCTTCTGAACTCAAATTATACTGTACCCGCTCTACAACGGCTCCGCTCCGGTGCGGAGACCTGAGGTGCGCAAACAAGCATGCGCGGGATTTTCGAGATCTTGCGATACAGTCCGAGCAATAAACACGGAAGTTAGATCCAAACACCCGTTGTATGGGAGAAGCATCGAAATGAACTGTTTAATCTGCCCATCATTTGTGTAGAGAGATCAGCAGTGTTTGAATCAACAGAGGGTGACTACTTTGATAGTGGAAACTGTATTTATGGCTTATTTTTGTGCATTTAAAGTTCAACCGCCATTGATAGTTGTTAAAAGTTGTTAAAACTGTGCATATGAAACAAAAAACGCTTTTTGTTCATCGATTTATTGTGAAATAACGGAAGTTGTGCTTGCTCCCTTTCCTGTTGGGCGGTTGTGATTTCCGTCCATTGACTGCGGAGGTGCTCCGGCGTCCGGCAAAAATAGGATCGATCCCATTTTTGCCGGATGGCGGAACAGCGGGCGGCGCACTGCGCTGCACGGCCGCAGTAGTGGAACAGCTCTGACTGACTACAACGGGACCGTTTTTGCTGCGGAGTTCGTGCCGGAGCGGAGCGGAGATAGTGGAATTTTGGGGTTAGTGTTGGTGGAGGTGCTCGCTCTCTAACCCGTTTAACCTGAAGACCATACCTGGTGTCAACACAGGAGATGTTGTCGAAGAATGACTTGGACTTGTCATAGTAGCAGTTGGGTCCAAGCGGGTCAGCCTCATTGCCGGCGTTGCCCTCACTGTTGTGGGTTTCCTGTCCAGAGTGAACTTTGTCCTCTCCGTTCAGAGTCTTCTCATCTGTTCGAGGACAGAGGACAACCGTGAGTCAAGGGGCAGCCGGGTCAGGGTGGGACCCTGATTCAACTGGTGCACCACCAGAAGGTCATGTTCTGAAGACAGAAGGGTTCTGGCTGGAGTGTATTTAGATACCAGGGATGGATGTAACCAGGTGTCGAGCCGGACAGGGACTTAAAGATGAAGTAGGGCTGGGCGATATGATATTTTTAAAACATCAATATCATTTTTAAACAAGATACAAGATGACTGACTTTATATCTTCATATCGATATAACTGGTCAAACTGCTATGCTAGCGATAAGTCGCTATGCTAGCAACATGTTGCTCCGTCTCTAAGCGGTTATTACGTGTATTCTCACAAGTCTGCTCAATCTGAGAGCCTCTGGGTAAATGTGCTGCTCTAAACTTGGCACTTGGCGTTCTGGTTTTTAATCATTTGGGGATGTTCAACACCAACGGAGTTCTGCTTGTCCATCCTGCTTGTGCGGACCGACGAGCCAAACCCCTCCCTCCCCTGTGTAATCAGGAAACATCTATGGATAGCAGGAGTGGCCAAATTACCTCCAACGTATTATAAGGGTTTGAATAGTAAACTATAGGGTTACCATTTTATTTTGAAGGCGAGCTCATGCTATGCTAGTAAATGCTCCGTTACGAGCGATTCTGTTGAAGAAGTTAAGAGTTTGTAAGGCGTGGGCTACGGCGACAGTAGCATGAAAATAATACTCATAAAGAGCAACCAGAGACTCTGAGTCATTACAGTATAATCGCTGATATGAGCCAATACTGTTAGATTCCAGCCATGTTTGCCCTGATAACTAATAACTCCACGGTGCGCGACTCATTTGACCTTCAGTAGATGCAATTAAATCATCATTTATTTAGCTTAACATGATAGATTTTTTTTCTCTGGACAAGAAAAACGATATGGCCACCTCTAGATGAAATTTACATAGTTTTACATTAATTATTATTAATAGTGCAGAATCCAGTTTTACACCCAGATCTGTCTTTTCAAGTAGGGCCAAGGATGAAAAGTCCACACCTTGGTGGTGACGGTCACAGGGGGGTGAACACGACCACCTCTTTTTTCTCTCATTCCAACTGAGGTCGTTAGCCACCATCCACAATTGCATCTGGGCTAGACAATGCTTCAGAGTCTAAATGTTACACCTCCTGTCCCCTGTTGGATTGGGAGAAACAGCTGACAATGGTCAGCATATAAATGAAACCCTGTGCCATATTTACATAGGAGCGATCCCTAGGACAGTAAATAAATGGAGAACAGGGGACCTAGCACCAATCCCCGTGGATGATTGATATTTTGCTCGTCCCCTATGAGGTTATCCAACTGTTGAAGCCGCACTCGGACCCAAAAGTACTAGAACCGCCCACACAGCATGTGTCAACATGGCTCACCCATTTTCATGTCAACACACGTTTCTTTTTTTTTTCTTTTTTTACACTTTTCTCCACACATTATGACAAGGGTTGTCAAGAAACAGTGTTTTCTGTGTTTGTCAAATTAAACTGATCCCAAAACATTGTTTCACTTTTTTTCTCTTGTCTTTCTTTCTCTGCTACATGTGCCACCGTGCCCTACACGTGCTACCGCGCCCTACACGTGCTACCGCGCCCTACACGTGCTACTGTGTGCTACATGTGCTACCGCGTCCAACACGTGCTACTGCGTGCTACATGTGCTACCGCGCCCTACACGTGCTACTGCGTGCTACATGTGCTACTGCGTGCTACATGTGCTACCGCGTGCTACATGTGCTACCGCGCCCTACACGTGCTACTGCGTGCTACATGTGCTACCGCGCCCTACACGTGCTACCGCGCCCTACACGTGCTACTGCGTGCTACATGTGCTACCGCGTCCAACACGTGCTACTGCGTGCTACATGTGCTACCGCGCCCTACACGTGCTACTGCGTGCTACATGTGCTACCGCGCCCTACACGTGCTACCGCGCCCTACACGTGCTACTGCGTGCTACAAGTGCCACCGCGTCCAACACGTGCTACTGCGTGCTACATGTGCTACCGCGCCCTACACGTGCTACCGCACCCTACACGTGCTACTGCGTGCTACATGTGCTACCGCGCCCTACACGTGCTACTGCGTGCTACATGTGCTACCGCGCCCTACACGTGCTACTGCGTGCTACATGTGCCACCGCGTCCAACACGTGCTACTGCGTGCTACATGTGCTACCGCGTGCTACATGTGCTACCGCGCCCTACACGTGCTACTGCATGCTACATGTGCCACCGCGTCCAACACGTGCTACTGCGTGCTACATGTGCTACCGCGTGCTACATGTGCTACCGCGCCCTACACGTGCTACTGCGTGCTACATGTGCTACCGCGCCCTACACGTGCTACCGTGCCCTACACGTGCTACTGCGTGCTACATGTGCTACCGCGTGCTACATGTGCTACCGCGTGCTACATGTGCTACCGCGCCCTACACGTGCTACTGCGTGCTACATGTGCCACCGCGTCCAACACGTGCTACTGCGTGCTACATGTGCTACCGCGTGCTACATGTGCTACCGCGCCCTACACGTGCTACCGTGCCCTACACGTGCTACATGTGCTACCGCGTGCTACATGTGCTACCGCGCCCTACACGTGCTACTGCGTGCTACATGTGCCACCGCGTCCAACACGTGCTACTGCGTGCTACATGTGCTACCGCGTGCTACATGTGCTACCGCGCCCTACACGTGCTACCGCGCCCTACACGTGCTACTGCGCCCTACACGTGCTACTGCGTGCTACATGTGCTACCGAGTGCTACATGTGCTACCGCGCCCTACACGTGCTACCGCGCCCTACACGTGCTACCGCGTGCTACATGTGCTACCGCGCCCTACACGTGCTACCGCGCCCTACACGTGCTACTGCGTGCTACATGTGCCACCGCGTCCAACACGTGCTACTGCGTGCTACATGTGCTACCGCGTGCTACCGCGCCCTACACGTGCCACCGCGCCCTACACGTGCTACTGCGTGCTACATGTGCTACCGCGCCCTACACGTGCTACTGCGCCCTACACGTGCTACTAGGTGCTACACGTGCTACCGCACCCTACACGTGCTACTGCGCGCTACACTTGCTACCGTGCGCTACACATGCTACTGTGCGCTACACATGCTACTGTGCGCTACACATGCTACTGTGCGCTACACAACCAGCTCAGTGACCTAATGGTAGAGTGTCCGCCCCGAGACTGGGAGATCAGGGGTTCGATTCCTGGTCGGGTCATACCAAAGACTTTGAAGAAATGGGACCCAATGCCTCCCTGCTTGACACTCAGCATTAAGGGGTTGGATTGGGGGGTTAAACCACCAAATGGTTCCCGAGCGCGGCTGTGTCTGCAGCTCACCGCTCCCCCAGGGGATGGATCAAATGCGGAGAACAAATTTCGCACACACATCACTGTGTGTGACACCTAATGGGACTTTAACTTTAACTTTAACTTTTACTGTGCGCTACATAAGCTACCGTACGCTACATAAGCTACTGTATGCTACTGTACGCTACATATACGACTGTGTGCTACATATACTAACATGGCTGTAATCTAACAGTATATCAGCGATTATATTGTAATGACTCAGACTCCCTGGTTGCAATTTTACGGGTGTCTATTTCGGGCTAATGTTGCCGTAACACACGCCTTACAAACTCTTCAATAGAGCATTTTCTAGCAATAACAGTAAAAACATCTTCTCCCACTGAACTAGGAGCTCAGACATGGACCTCCTCCTCTGCGGGGTTAACTTCTCACTCTGAGGACTAAGCCTCCACAAGCAGCACCAACCTTTCAGCTTCAGTTTGCTCTGAAACTCCTGGTCAATCTCCTTGTTGAACTGGGCGTTGGCGCTCTCAAAGTCAAAGTCTTTATCAAACTTCATAGGTCCATCTCTGCGAAGGTTGAAGCGCCCCCGGCCACGGTGTCCTCCCCCTCGGCCGCGGCGTTGAGCTCCAACAGCTGAGTTACAGAACAGAAGGTGGTGTTAAATCATCAGCTTATATCTCAAAGCCAAACAAACAAAGCCAGATGAAGAGCAGTGGCTCCACCCTCCTGGTCTCTGGCGTGAATCGAGGTGGAGCTGCTGTTTGCCGTCTCACTGGAAGAGGACAGCATGCAACACGTCTTCAGATAAGTGGACGTTAACCTGTTGGACATTTAGTGGGATCCCTGCCTTCTCCTCGAGCCTGCTCTCCTTCGGTTCTGTGGGGGTTCTGGACTTCTGCTCCTGGAACAGCAGGTTATAGTTTTAGTTGCGTTCAGGAAAGAACAGCAGCAACTTCTGCTAGTGCACACCATATTCTACAGCATTGCTGATTGATTCTCACCTCTCTTCTCATCCAATCTGTCCTGCTGCTGAACCTTCTGGTTCTGACCTGGACCTGGGGGCGCTGTGCAGCCCACTCCGGGAGTTGACGGTGTTGCAGATGGCCCTGAGGTAGATGGGCCGCTCTTGGTTGCCTGGTCCAGGATGGAGGTCTTCCCTAAAGGGTCTACGTTTGGGCTGCTGCAGGCTGGACCGAAGCAGAACAGAGTGTAAGGTTAGGAGCGGACCACCCACATACCAGCCAAGACTTGTTTCCAATACCAGAAGGTGCTAAACAACCCAAACAACGTAATTACCTTATAGCGGACGGTTACTAAATTTTCAACACCATTGTAACATACAAAAGGGTCCATTTTTCACCATCTAAATGACATAATATAACCTTTCATGGCAACACCATCAGGACTCCCAAAACAACCCTTTGCTCACTTATTGTTCCTCAAAGCAGACAAACATTCTCATCCAAGGTCCTGCACACTGCGTAAAAGCCAGCCTGCTGCATTCCTGACCATCTACTCGAAGCCTACATGACTTTTACAACTCATAAGCTTACATAATCATATGTGATGAATGAACAAAATGTTTAAATCAAATGTTTGAATAATCTGTGCTTACATCAATGAATTTAAAATGAATATTGTTCTTACAATGATCCATTTATATCACAAATCATTATGTGTCGATATAACAAGTTAATCATTGTTTACACTCATACACATTACAATAATATATGTATTAAGTTATTGGTGTGTGTGCGTGCGTGTGTGTGCGTGTGTGTGTGTGTGTGTGTGTGTGTGTGTCTGCGTCTGCTCTGTCTTCTCCATCCCCAGTGAGTCGTGGAGGATGGCTGCTTATGATGAGCCAGGATCCTCTGGAGGTTTCTTCCTGTTAAAAGGGAGTTTTCCTTTCCACTGTCGCTATATGCTTGCTTAGTATGAGGATTGCTGTAAAGTCACTGACACTAGTCAGTGACTCGATGCAACCTGCTGGGTTCCTTATATAGTGTTACTGATTGGCTTAAGCTTGGTTTATGCTTGACGTGTCCGCGAGGTTCGCGCGGCAAAATTGCGTCGTTTTAACAACCACGCCCCTCCACCGCGCCTCCGCACGGCCCAAATTTTCCGCACCGTGCACCTAGGAAATTTTCTAACCACGCGGACGGTCGGACGCGGAAAAACATGGCAGACTGGCAAGAACTAGTATGGCAGAGGTTCGTAAATACAGACATTTGTATGATTCAGCTCTCAGAGATCACCGTGATCAACATGTTGTTAATAATTCTCGGAGAGAAATAGCTCGCACTGTCGGAAAAGACGAGGACGCTGTTAAAAAATGCTGGAATGCCATGTTGTAAACAACAGTAATTTTTTCTTCTACTATGGTGTAGTGTTGGATGCATGCCGTACAGCTCCATGCTGCCCCATTCAGTTTGGGAGAATATTGGCTCACCGCAGAGACAAGCCGCATGACCATAAACGCTGCGAGTTGTGAAGTGCGTTCCATCCGCGAGCCGCATCACCAAGCAGAAAGTAAATGCGTCAAGCATAAAGCAAGCTTAAATGACCTGACCTGTATTGGAATGTTTACTGTGTATCAAGGTCCTTGAGACGACTCTGGTCCTGATTTGGCGCTTTATAAATAAACTTGAATTGAATAAAGGTTAATATTCACCTCACATAAGAGTTTTGAACATTCTCATTCACAAAGTGTTAAAAAACCTCTTGTATCTGAAGAAGGCGTGGCTTTCTGATGGATTTTGGTAAATACTCAAAAACATGTCAAATTCAGAAATCATAACATTGTGGTTTATTAAAATGAACGAGAATTACTTCCAGATTAATTCAATTTCCAGCTGACTCCCGATTCGGCCAAACTGGGAAAGAAGCCTCTTTTGAAACCATCTCCTTTGACCTCAAGTCAAAAGCCTCTCTGCAACGCTGCAAGTGATTACAAACACAACAGCTTTTCAGAGCTACTTCACACCTGAGACATCCAACCCGCAGACCCGGGGTTGCCTCTCATGGCCGGGGAAGCTCAACTCAGAGGAAGCTACTAGTCTCTGAGTATCGTGGTTTCGACGTCCAGTGACCTCACCACTCTGACCGCAAACCTCCGGCCGCCGGGAGCAACTCATGCAAGGGTATCGTAAGCCTGCATACTAAAGTCTGATGAGCTTTTTAAATAAATAAATCTGTAGTTTACTAAATAAACAGCCAATTCACTTTTATAACCCAGACTTCACAATTTCTCTCAGAAACAAAGAAGGGTTGTGCTACAACATCTAGCTGCCATCACACCACCTCACACATCACATTAAATCACTTCATATCAATTACACCACGTCTCATTCATATCTTGTCATGTATAATCAATAGTTTAGGAAAATAATTAAATTCATTTTATAAACTACATACTGACTGTCTGAATTAACACGAAGTGTGTATATGGTGGGCTGCGCAGTGGCGCAGTGGTTAGAGCTGTTGCCTTGCAGCAAGATGGTCCTGGGTTCGCTTCCCGGCCTGGGATCTTTCTGCATGGAGTTTGCATGTTCTCCCTGTGCATGCGTGAGTTCTCTCCGGGTACTCCGGCTTCCTCCCACAGTCCAAAAACATGACTGTTAGGTTAACTGGACTGTCTAAATTGTCCTTAGGTGTGAGTGTGTGCGTGTATGACAAAAGTAGCAAACGCTGGGCAGAACTAACTAATGCAGTGACGCATTGTTTAACCAGGGATATGATGCCCATTCAGAGTGTGGAAATAGGTTTCACAAAGATGCTTTAAACGTATAATTCACGCTACAAACTGCCCACCAAGAAATACTTCTCTAAAGTCGCTTTGCCTGCTTTATATGAAGGTTTGTACTGAGGAGTCACATGACATGCATTATCCTCGCTGGAGTTTTTTGCGTTCACCACGGACATGTGGTCAAGCCGAACATCAGACGCCTACATGAGCCTCACGATACACTACGTGGACAGAGACTGGAAGCTACAAAACAAGAGCCTTGAAACAAGTTTGTGTGACGACAGACGGTGAAAGCTGTCGCACTCAACAACTGTACGAGGCTTTCAGGCTTGGGACATCACCTGCACATTACCATAGGGAATAGGGATGTGTATTGGTGAAATTCTGGCGATACGATACGTATTACGATACAGGGGAGACGATACAATATATCACGATATATTGCGATACATTCAGTCAGACAATATTGGCGATTTTTTAGACTAAATTTATTATAGGAAAATTCAATAAACAGTCCAAACTGATACTTAACATGTTTAACCCGTAACAGAGGGATTTACATTTCAATGGTAGAAAACCCATTACACACTGCTGCCAACTAGTGGTCGGCGTTTGAATTGCACCACAAGAAAAGAAAATACACAAATGTTTCCATGTAAATTCTTCCAAAAATTAGATACACAACTTTTGAATATCGATACATTTTTGCAAGAAAAATATCACGATATATTGCGATATCGATATTTTTGATGCACAGCTTTTGAATATCGATATAATATCGCTGGGGAAAATGTCACGAAATATTGCCGTAATTGACATTTTCTTACATCCCTAATAGGGAAGTTAATTATAACGTCAGAGTAAGCATTTCTTGCACTGGTTAAAATGATAGTAGTAATACTGTTTTGTATCAACATTTAGATGTCTTTAAAAATGAACAGGAACTTAAATGTCACACATTCCCACTGCATTAATATTGGTGTTGAGTAATGAACTGCTTCCTTTTCAATTTGTCTTTTTTAGAAAGAAGTGTGAAGGACCCAAGGACTGATCGAGCAGTTGGGAGTGGGAAAGATGATTGTTGGCGCCTCTGGCCACAGCTGAAAGCCTCCGTGAGCTCTGCAGGCTGCCCAAAGGGAACTGGGCCCACCAGAACACAAACTACTTGTTGGGATTCAAAGCAGAGAATGATCCAGCGCCTGTTTGAACAAGGACAGGCTATAACACAGGTTTTAGCTGGTGATAAAACCACACAGCGATTTATTTTTTATTTCTTAAGATTTTTTGTTCTTAAGTTGCAGGTTTTCGCCTAAAATGTTTTTTGAACCAGGCTGTAAACATTTCTGCTGTGAAGCTGGTACTTTTAACATGGGAATCAATGGGAACTTGCAATTTTTGTCACTTTCCCATTTACATCACAAAGTTTCTCCAGGCTAGAGGTTCTGGAGGATCAGCACAGACCAGGACATGTTGGGGAGACATCAAAGGCTTCTCACTGAAACCACAACCCGACACCTCCTCACTTCCTGTAGCATGATGTTTGTAGTCCAGTGCCACAAAGGCCCTGAACCCTTGGATATCATGCAAAAAGGACCACTACTCTCACACAAAGTTACTTACTCACACCGACGGCTCCAAACTGGGGCGAGACCAGTGGGCTGGTGCTGAACTGGTTGTAGGAGGGAGCCTGAGCTCGGCTGAAAAGGCCGTAGGAGGTGGCGGACTGAAACGGAGTTGGAGCTGAGGCAGTCGATGATGAGCTGGAGCTGATGGAAGACTGGAAAAAAAAGAAGAAATAATGTTCTACTGTGGGACCGACACGAGTCACAACCAATCACTGGCATGATTCCATCATTACATCAGCCTGAGGGATACCTGGACTATGGCCGGGTCCTGGGGCAGGGAGCATGTTGGTTTGGGTGGCTCACACACTGTCAGATCTTTGATGTCGCTTCCTCTAAAGATGATGTATTCAAAGGTGTCGTCTCGTGGTGGGATGGGCCGGTCCGTGGGACGATCCTCTGTGCCGAAGGAGCGGACTGAGGAGGAACCAGGAAATGCTCATTAGAATAACTGTAAAGCTATTGATTCAGGTGTGCTGCACACTTCCTGGAGGGAGTGAAGAACACACCTGTTCCAGCTCAGAAACCCAAACCTTTAACTGATGCTGTTCTGATCAACATAAACGCATCACCATGACAACAGGATGTGAGCCGTCACACATGGGCTACACAAGTGCCCTGGGGCACACTGACAGAGGGTGGGTTAAGTGTCTTGCGCAAGGAGTCCTTGGCAAGGACACAACAACAGCGACAGACTGAGCGGGGCTCACACCTGCAACCTTCAGATTATGGGGCGAGCCCTTAACTCCTCCGCCGCCACCGTCGCTACTACTGACATGTCCACACCTCAGTGGACAGCTACCTCAACGTTACCTTCATGGACACAAGTCAAGCTCCAGAAAACTCAACCACGAGCCTTAACTGCCAGAATTCACGTTTTAAACAGACTGAACCAAGTCCCGAGACCCGAATCCTGGGGCACCAACCAGGTCAGGGCCAGGTGCGAAACAAACAAATGTTATTGACTTTCATCTGTAGGTGAACGGAAACGTTCGATGACGTCACACTTACCATACAATTCCAGTTTACTTTTAAAGAAAAAAACTTATAAAGTACATTTAAAAATAGCATGGCAGCTAACCAAAGTGCAGGAGAACCAAAGACTCAAACACAACAACAAAGACAGCATAGGAGTAAAATATAACGCTAAAAACATAAAACACACAAAAGCAGCACAAGGCATAAAATTACAATAAAAGTTAACCATAAAACAAGTGAAAGCACCAAGATGAGATAAATGAGAAACAAGTAAAAACTAACTGAGCAACGCTAGCGGACTAAAAAGTACAGAAGACTGTTGAGTTAACGTTCAGGGTTAGCTTCCGAGCTAACGCCGTAGCACAACACTAGATCAGCCGTAAAGCTGTTTAACATCAAAGCTTTATTGGCACCAAGGGAACACACACGGTGACCCTACAGATTTCCTCAAAACCCTGAAAAAAAATTCTATCGGGATTCCCAAAAACACACATTTACTTTTTACTTGTTAATAGAAAACAAGCAAGTAGCTTAAATGAATATCACGTTCCTTTGAGTTTGAACCGCAGGTCATCTTCAGGCTGTTACCTGCTGAGCCGCCGGGCGCCCACTGGAGCCGTTACTGTAAACGAACCCAGGCCGCTAGCCCTCACCTTTAGCCAGAGCCACCGTGGAGTTCTCGGTGTCAATCGTGTACAAGATCCCTTCATAACGGATCTCGGCCTTAGAGATCAGGCTGATTTTGCTGCCAAGATAAGGAGTCCCGCCGCTCATGGTTCCTCTCCCGCAGCTCCTAGCTTAGAGCAGAAAACAGGAGGAACAGCCCGAGCCGTGCGGACAGCAACGCCGACTTATCCCTACTTGTCCCGGGGTGCTTAGGTTGGTCTTTCCAAGTCGTATGGTCAGTGGAGCCGATCTGAACCGTTTCTGTCAATTTTACTGCTTCGACGCTCAGCGGCTACAACATGGCCGCCGCCTCCTCTCCCTCCATTCGATGGCTGTGTCTCAATTCAGGGTCTGCATCCTTCGAAGGACCCAGCCCACCCGGCCGACGTGGGCTGCGTCCTCCGTCGGCCGGGTAGACCGGATGTTAACGGCTGTGAATTTGGACAGGCCTAGCCTTCATGAACTCCCTCGGCGAACGTTCCGTCGCCTAGCAACCGTGGAACCGCTGGGCAGAAGGAACCTTAAACGATGGAGCTCGACGTTTTATTTAGCTTTTTAACCCCCAGAAACCCAAATTTAGAAAACAACTGCAAAATATTTTTAACCTTTCACATGTTGTTCTAGGAGGCCAGATAAACGGGCCTATTTACACATTTTAACAGCCAATAGTGTTGCAGAACTGAATAGGACCTATTAGCAATGTAAATGTGGTTTTAAAAAGAAAAAAAATGGGGAAGGTTTATTTTTGTAGACTTAAATCTGATGTTGTGATACTACAACCGTGGGTCTCTGGGGGTTAATCATTTCCTTGACTGTTGGAGAGCTAATTCAGAGAAAATACTTTAGACTAGCTGAGCCTGAGCAAAGATGTGATAATAGTTTTTAATACTTTCTAAGGGTCTTAATTTGACCAAAACCGATTTATCACCTTTTAAAACTTTTTAAGACCCAGCGGATACCCTCTAGTAAACAATTCTCATTTGTAAACAAAAATAAAATTCAAGAGTTTAATGCAGAACTGATTTTATTTAGATATTTCTTTTACATGTACATGTTTAATCTTCATTAACCATTTTTTTCTAGCAAAGTAAAAAGCTGTCAAAGTTCTTCCTTCTCTCCTGTGCTCTCTGCTGCTCTGCAGCCTCATGTCCTCCCAGATCAGCTCCAGAAGCTCATCGCTGGCACCTTCCCCTGGATGCACATTTTCTCCAGAATAGTCTTAACAAACATGTAAGAAAAGAAACAGGAAGAGAAAAGAGGACAACGGGTTATTCCTTTCATGTTTTCGCAGAAAAAAAATATACTCAAACGAGTTTTTAAAATATGAGATGTTATTGTACCTCCATGCCACAGCCGCCGAATACTTTGCTCCGGTGATCATGTGGTCCATCTCCGCCCTAAGCTTAATAAATTCCCTGGTTTTCTCTTTTGGTCCTAAAATACAAACTTCTATTAAAATCAGGGGGAAACGTAGTGGGAGAAGTACGACACCGAGCGCGGCCGAACATACGAGCCGAGACCGCAATACAAGCACTTTTACTGTAACATTTCTAACTAAAATAACGTTCATGTATCACAAAAAGTCCTTAAACTGACAGTTTTCAAGTTTATACTTACATTTATATGCGCAATCCTCTCCGACAGCTCCCGCTTCACTGTCCGCCATTGTTTTTAAGTTTTTCTGCCGGCCGGCCCGCAAGGCATCTTGGGAAATGCTACCTATTGAAGGATACACCCGACCCATCCTTCATTCAGGCGAAAAGAAGGCCGCATTCGTCGACCGCATTTGAAGGAGTCTTCGAATTGGGACAGGCCGAGTCGCGGCGCTGTGACGTAACCGGCCGACGAATCCGGCCGAGGTAGGATGCAGACCCTGAATTGAGACACAGCCGATGTTTCTGTGCACAGCGGCAAACGAGACATTGAAGTATCGCGCGAATTCATTGTGACTCTAGACATGTGAGGAATAGAAATGACGTGTAGAAATTTCGTTTGTCTTGTGAAGCCCTTTTATTTTACTTACTGCATTATGAAAGTAAATAAAACTTAACTCGCAACATGCGCGCGCACACACACACACACACACACTCACACACAGGGCAATAAAAGTCAACAATGGGAATTAGTTTTATTTTAAGCTCTTGTGATTTTACTCTTTGTGTGGCAGCGATGAAATAGTTTAAAGGAGGATATTTTGGCTGTTTTTACATCTAAGAAAATCAAGAACAGATCCACTTTCAAATAAAATCAGTTTATTTCTAAAGCGCCAAATCAGGACCAGAGTCGTCTCAAGGACCTTCACACAGTAAACATTCTAATACAGGTCAGGTCATTAAGCCAATCAGTAAGTTTCCTATATAAGGAAACCAGCAGGTTGCATCGAGTCACTGACTTGTGTCAGTCTTGACAGCAATCCTCATGCTAAGCAAGCATGCAGCAACAGTGGAGAGGAAAACTCCCTTTTAACAGGAAGAAACCTCTAGACAGAGAATCCTTGCTCAGTATAAGCAGCCATCCACCATGACACACTGGGGATGAAGACAGAGCATGCACGCGCGCACACACGCACACACACACACACAACATTTATACCAAATAGTGTTTTTATTACTACATTGTGATTTTTTTAGTAGATATTCTATTTCTCATGATTAACACGTGTAATGAAAAATAACAGATTGTGACATTATTTTACAAACATGGTTTAGCGACTTGTTGGATGCAGTCATTTAATTCAATTCAATAAGCTTCCACTGATGTTCACTGAGCGTCTAACTGCAGGTTACACACCAACAGGTGAGCATTCCGTCAACAGGGACAGAAAACAGAAACAGGTAAAATGCACACAGGCGTAGGAAGAGCATCCCTAAAGGAAGAAACTGATGTGGGCAAATTCCAATGTTGCTCATCGAGGAGAAAACGTTGACATCTTCTAATTATCACATGTCTTGTTTTGTTACGTACAAATCTTACATTCTCGTGACGCAGACTGGCTCCTGGCTGCTATCTCTTAACCTTTCTAGTTTTACCTGCGGACACAACTAAACTTTTTACATTTATGATTAATAAAGCACAGATCAACAATACACAAACATGTCACTTTCAATAAAATCAAACACCTTAATCAGACATGAATGAAAGATGAAATGAGAATAAATTTATTTTGTAAGAGAAAAACCAAAAGTAAGAGCTAAAAAGTTCACATTCAATCCTTTAAAGCTTTAAAAGCTTCTCTCCGTTAACGAGAGTGAGGAGAAGAGTTTCAGTTCATCGCAGAAGTTTTGAAACTGAAGTTTACACTTTAGAAAAATACATTTGGAAATGAAAAGAGAAGACCGAACTGTAGACTTATGTCATATATTGTCTATGTTTCTACATCTATGCTTCAAATGCAGCCTGATCGGTCGCGCATGCGTAGATTCCAGAAAGCGATTTGCACAACGGCGTAACAGTAAAGATGGCGGGAGCCTCCGACCCGCTGGAGGACGTGCTCTCAGACGAGGTGGACCAGAAGGCGGTCAGCGACCTCGTCGGGTCTCTGGAGTCGCAGTTGGGCGACAGAAAAACTCCCGCCGGTTCTTACACGGACGAGAACCGAGACGCAGCAGCGGCCGCTGCCGAACATTTCTCAGGGAAAGTCTTCGACCAAGTGGGGTCCGCGGAGCAGCCGCAACAAGGGCATCCGAACGCGGGGTCGACCCGGGAGCCCGTTCCTGGCCAAGCTCTCCCTCCATCCTCATCTCCGGGGCTCGCCGGTGCCGTTAACGCATTGGGAACCATCTTACCGGCGGCGGGCGTTCCGCTCAGACCTGGACCCGTAACTTTAAGCCCACAGCTCCCCGCCACCGCTAGCTTCCACCGGACTCCTGTTCTGGGTCCAAGCGCGGCTCCCAGCGTCGCGGAGACGATCCGTACCTCGTCCCCCGGATTACAGGGCTTGAACGGCAGCACCGGAGCTGGAAAGTTAGCGAGCTCACCCGGTGGGGTCAGCGCGGGGAGCGCCGCTGTCATCGGGTCCATAGTCACACAACCCGGTGTTCCTGCGCCCCAGTCCCCGGTGACTACAGCGGCTCAGAACGGGCTAGAGCCCAAAGCTGCACCCTGCCCGTCTGCCTCTCAGGTCCTGAACCACAGCAACCCTCTGATGCACACTAAGGGGCTGGTGGCCGGCCAGCCCCCCTCCGGGAGCTCTGTGATCCTGACCAGCACACCCCCTCCTGCTCCATCCCAGTCTCCCATCATTCAGGTCCAGACTGGGACCAGCACACCTCCAGCTGGAGTCAAGCCTGCTATCAACGGGGTGGTGCAGCCTGCTGTGGCTGTGGTGAGACCGCCCCTGGTCCCTGTGGAGGGAGCTGCCTCCATCCAGCAGCAGAGACCAGGACTGGTGGCCAGTGCGACCCGAGCAACCGCCCCCCAGCCCGGGCTGGCGGTCCGGCCTCAGCAGCAGGCCACCATCCAGCTGCCTCCAGGTGAGCAGACACCTTCTGTGGGGTCACCTGGGGTCAACCTGCAGGTCAAGCTGAGTATATGTTTCAGAACCAGATTGGAGCTAGTAGAAGTTTCACTGGTTGCTGTTCATTTTATTTTCCCATCTTATTTAACCTCTTTGCTGCTATGGTCTACTCACAACTGATCACTAAGCCTCACATCTTTTCACAGCTAGTTACTGTTTCACCCACTTTCTCTCTATATACATCCTTCTGTGCTTTTTATTGATTTTGAGGAACGCTTTGGATTTTTTGCCTAGATATGTTTAGGATGCACCATGGCGAGGTTTGTGGTTAACGTTCTTTCTTATTAACGCTGTTCTGTTTGTTGTAGGTAAGAGGACCCGCTCAAAAACCAGATGGAACATCTCAAACGTTTTAATCCTCTAAATAAATCTGGGGTAGCGCTGCATTTAACGAGCTGCCTCCCTCTCTGTCCACACACACACACACACAGTCTTACCCTGGTGCATCAGCCTTGGTTTCATTAGCATCCTCAGGTGACCTCTCCATCTTAAAGCGGGACCTGTGTTGGGATCCGTGGCACCCCAGACCTATTTCAGGGCTCTGTTTTGACCTTCATGAATGTGATGTCACTGGCGCTCGTCCTCTGCTTACTGCAGGTACGGTTCTATTCCGGACAGAGACGGGTCAGCTGTTAGTGCTCCCACAGCAGTTACTGGCTCAGGCCAAGATGCAGCAGGGCCAAACTGCTGTCACTCAAAGACCAGCTGCATCAATGGCCGCGCCCACCATCCGTGTCAGCACGGCGACCACGGTGAGTTGGTACAGTCACAACTGTCTGCAGAACCTTAGTCCAGCCGGATCTTTAAAGCTCTTTTTTTTTTTTTTTTGCCCTCTCTGTCGTCTGCAGGCGCCTGGAACCCCTCCAACTGTCCGCCTGGCGTCCCCCCCCCCAACACGAATGGTTCAGTCTCCCTCCACCCCCCCGGTCCAGGTGGGTCTAGTGTTGTTTTACTGACCTGTCCATCAGTTCTGGTTCTGTTCCCTGTTACCGTAGCCTTCCCTACCCTTAGGCTGTTGTTTGCACTAGCCTAGCTTTGCCTTCTGCATTTGTGACCTTTGACCTTTGTATGTGCCGCTGTAACGCTGCGTTTTAAAACGTGCTCTGTAAATAAACGATGGCTGGTGGAGCATCCAGACCTGGGGCCTCATTTATAAAGCCTGCTTACGCACACAACGGGGTCGGAAAACTGCGTGAGTAACTTTCCACGTAAACTTTGGGATTTATAGAAGAAAACGTAGCGGGAAAATGTGCGCAACTTTAAGTTTACTAAGGACCCTGGCTTACGCACATTTTGGACATGGAGAGCACCTGCAGTGCTGCTGCTGAGAAGGATGCGAGTATGAATCCCAGCAGCATTATCACTTGTAAGGATTCTACTAGTGATGCACCAATATGACATTTTTTGGGCTGATACCGATATTAAGATCACTGTTATGGGCTCGACACACGGGAGGCGACATCGCCTCTCCTCCATTCATTTTCAATGAGACATGCGCGACAAAGCGATAATCGCGGGTCTCCCTCCTACCAAGCGAAACGAGAAAAATGTGTGTGTGAAATTTTGCGCTCGTGCACATGTCGTGCACGGACGACCCAGCGACGCCATCCCAGAAAGTTGAAACATTTTCAACTTTTCATCGCTGTCGCTCGAACGAGGACCAATCAACGGAGGTTTCATTCACTGACCAATGAGCGGACAGGATGCTCCGCACATCTCCGAGCAAACATGGAGAAGTTGATTATTATTATGTTTTATATAGTAAAATCAGAAGTAAGATTTCACATAACTCTAGCAGCACCTTGTGAAACATCATATCTATCGCTTTTTAAACTCTGAACCGCTTAAATGACCTTAATTTCCTCCAACCTGACACAGCCAAGCAAAACAACGGAAGTTTCGATTTCGCCATGGAACAGAACGCGTAGACAGCTTTGCTGCTGCCGCGGGTTGCCTCCCGTGTGTCAGGTAATAAAAGCGATAGCGACAAATTTCGCTGATCGCGGTCGTTTGTCGCCTCCCGTGTGTCGAGCCCATTATGGCCGATAACCGATATTTGCCGATACCGATATACTGACATTGATGCTTCTAAAATCAGCAGATTTTATATAGAATGAAACTTATTATAGCTGAATTTACATCATTATGTATGCACACACACACACGCACACACACACACACACACATGCACACACTTAACGCTTCTGAGATGATTTCATTCACTGTCACATGACTAAACAAATACACATAACACCCCCTCCCCCACCCCCCCTCCGAAACAGGCAAACAAATGGAGACGAGATGGAAAAAATATCAGTTGTTAATATCGGCCCAGTTTTATTTATCGAACCGACACTGATGTGTAAAAAATGACTAACATGGGCCGATACCGATATTGATGCCGATATATTGTCCTTCCCTAGATTCTACGCAATGTTTTATAAATGAGACCGCTGCTCTGAAGGGTCGCCTGTAGAATTTAGAATGTTCTTTTTTCCGAAGCTTTGGACCAGCTCCTCCCAGATGTCCACGGTCCTGGATCAGGATGTTCAGGGCCAGAAAGTTCTGGGTCACTCAGCTGATCCAGTTTCTGATTCTGATGGACAGATGCTGATGATGGTGTTTGTTGTTTTGGAAGGCGCTGACGGTTCCCTCCACCACTGGAACCATGTCTGTGAAGATGGGGACTCCTCAGAAGACATCCACAGTGATAACAGCGGGGGGGTCACCTGTCACAAAGCCCACCCCCTTGGCCAACACTGCCGCACCCCCTCCTGCAGCCACGCCCATCACCAGAGTCACTGTGGTGTCGCAGGTCAACTTCTGTTGGTTCTGACAGGTTTTGATGGCCTCTGCTGAGTTTTCACACAGATCTTTGTGTCTGACAGGAAATGCAGGAAAACGTGAAAAAGTGTAAGAACTTCCTGGCCACGCTCATCAAGCTGACACCCCAAAATTCCACCTCCCCGGAAACATCCAAGAATGTGAAGGCCCTGGTCCAGGACCTGCTTGTAAGGAGCTCTCCAGCTGCACGTGTCCTGATCCCGTCTTTAGTCCTCGTGTCCTCCAGATCTCAGCTGTTGGTTTGTTGTTGTGTTCAGGATGCAAAGATTGAGCCTGAGGAGTTCACGTCTCGGCTGCAGGCTGAGCTGAAGTCCTCCCCACAGCCCTGCCTCGTCCCCTTCTTGAAGGTATGGTTACACGTCCTCCTCTCCTCCTCACATCTGCTGCTGAGCTGATGTTGACCTTTTCATCCTTTCCCTAGAAAAGCCTCCCTGCGCTGCGCCAGACTCTGCTCAACAGCCAACAGTCTTCGGCCACCGCTCCTCCCATCACCTCAGCTACCCCTGCAGCCACCACCACCACCACCATCATCAGGCCACAGCTGCCTGGCAGCGCCGTCCGCCTGGCTCCGCCCATCACAAACGCAGCAGCTGTGGTAGGATCAGCAGCATTACCTGCTGCACACATACAAGCAGTTAGGGTGGACCCCTGACAGATCAGAGAAGAGTCACGGTTCAGAACATGATGATGATGATGATGATGGTGATGGTGTCTTCTCTCCAGGTTGCTGGCAGACCAGGAGTCCAACCGATTCAGACTCACTCGCCTGTCGTCATCAGTCAGCCGTTCAGACATCAAGGTGAGCCTGGATGGACCGACCAGAACACACCTGCTTGAGTTTGTGCTTCTGAAATATTCTCAGGCAACAGAACAAAAAACATTTACTTTCCTATTTCCTCTCGTGCATTTCACTAGTATCACTGTCCTCTCAATGCGAGAATTAGAGTTCTGATTGGCTGTCAACCTTTGACTGGACAACAAAAACAACTGTGATGTCATCATGTTGAGATTTAAACACACGTGCTTCAAACGACTGTTGCTTAGATACGTACGCTCAGATCAGTGTGACTGTGGTGGCACTGGTCTGGAGTGTGTGCACGTGTGTATTACACATGTCCACATTGTGTATCCATACATTCAGGTGTGCTTTCTCCTGCAGCTTCACTCCTACGAGGACCAGCCGCTATAGCTGGCAAGAGTTCTGCCCACCTGGCTGCTCAGGCCAATCAGAAAAAACTCAACGACCCTGGGGGCGGGACCTTTAGGTGAGTCTGACAAGATCTGAGAAGTACGGGTTCACGTGCTTTTCTCTGTCAGAACCAGAGAAGTGCTGATGGATCTTTAGCTTAACCCTTATTACCTTTTAATTTTCTAACGTTTGTGGTGTTTGAGCACAAAAAAATGCACATACAAAACTTCCTATAGAAATATTGTGTAGTATTTCATAACTCCCAATTTTGTTACATGAATTTCATCCTTGGCTTTAGCGCTAACAAAATATAATAAAATATTTGTGCGTTCCTGAGATTTAACCCATTTATTTCCCCCTTTAATGGCAGGTGCATGATCATAACCAGAAATGTAAACAAATGAAAAAACACACATTTTTTGTGTGTTATGTCGAGATGATTTGTTTTGGTTGGCGAATTTTCAACACATTGGAGTGTCATAAATGTTCATGAAAAATATTTTCATTGAATTTTTTTATTTGAAGACCGCGTTAGTTATTTCCCCGGTATACATAATAAAAATGTGCAGTCTATTGGAAAACATAAAAAACTCAAAATTGAGTCTATAATATCATAGAATATTCATAACATACTTCATACCGTGTACATTATAACATACGTAATAGATTCATTTCTGTAATATACTTACACATCTATATTATTGCTAATATATATTATAATACATCTATATCATGGCTAAAGCACTTCTGGATAGATGCAAACTGCTTTTCGTTGCCCTGTACCTGTACATGTGCAATGACAATAAAGTTGAATTCTATTCTATAACTGCCCTGAGAACCCAGACAGAATAAAAAAAAAAAAAAAATATATATATATATATATATATATGCGCGCGCTAATGTTTAGGCTTAATAGAAAAATGTTTTACATGGGAGTCAATGGCGCAAAAAAATGCACTACGGGCGGTAACGCTATAAAATAATTTCAGTGTTAATTTCAGTAGGGGAATTTTTAAAATGATTTTTTTATTTCCCCCAAAAATACCCATTCTCCCCCAAAAAAGATACACTGCAGTAGCATAGCCAAAATTAACCACAAAAATCCACCTGTCTGCACAAAAAAATGCACTTAGGACATATAAGGGTGAATGAGTCTGATCCATCAGCTGAGGAGGTTCTGCTGAGGTCCTGGGCTTCCTCTGACCGCACTGACATGGAACACCTGCTGAGTCCACACGGTTTGGTCAGCTGATTCCTCACAGGAAATGTTCAGATTGAGATAACTACAGGTAACCCCTTAAACTGACCCTGTATACAGCCGAGTGGGCACCAGGTGAGTTCCACAAGTTACCATGGTAACGTAACGCCCATCTCACTTACCGCAGACCAGCTCAGCACTTTCTGGTTGGGACTCAACACAAGCTGCTTCAGGTAGCAGGAATCCAGCTGGTCACAGGTCTGCTCATGTCTGAGGTTTCCTTCATTTACAGAGACGATGATGACATCAACGACGTGGCGTCCATGGCTGGCGTTAACCTGAATGAGGAGAATGCTCGTATCTTAGCAACCAGCTCCGAGCTTGTCGGAACCAAGATACAATCCTGTAAAGATGAATACTTCCTGCCTCCAGTCCTCCTGCACCGCCGCATTCTGGACACGGGTCAGTCTGTCCCTCGGGTTGTTCTGATGTCACCGTTTACCTTTAGTCTCATCCTGAGACTGTTTCTATCTTTTATTAGCAAAAAAACTGTGTTTAGTGTACGAATACCGCAGTACCATGTAACCAGTACTGCGGTACTAATACCACAGTACCATGTAACCAGTACTGCGGTACTAATACGCAGTACCGTGTAACCAGTACTGCGGTACTAATACCACAGTACCATGTAACCAGTACTGCGGTACTAATACGCAGTACCGTGTAATCATTACCGCAGTACTAATACCATAGTACTGTGTAACCAGTACCGTGTAACCATTACTGCGGTACTAATACCACAGTACCGTGTAACCATTACTGCGGTACTAATACCACAGTACCATGTAACCAGTACTGCGGTACTAATACGCAGTACCGTGTAACCATTACCGCAGTACTAATACCATAGTACTGTGTAACCAGTACCGTGTAACCATTACTGCGGTACTAATACCACAGTACCGTGTAACCATTACTGCAGTACTAATACCACAGTACCATGTAACCAGTACTGCGGTACTAATACGCAGTACCGTGTAACCATTACCGCAGTACTAATACCACAGTACTGTGTAACCAGTACCGTGTAACCATCACTGCGGTACTAATACCACAGTACCGTGTAACCATTACTGCAGTACTAATACCACAGTACCATGTAACCAGTACTGCGGTACTAATACGCAGTACCGTGTAACCATTACCGCAGTACTAATACCACAGTACTGTGTAACCAGCACCGTGTAACCATTACCACGGTACTAACACCAAAGTACCGTGTAAACAGTACCGCGGTACAAGTACCACAGTACAGTGTAAACAGTACCGTATGACTAGTACCGCAGTACTAATACGCAGTACCGTGGTACTAATACACAGTACCGTGTAACCAGTACCGCGGTACTAATACGCAGTACCGTGTAACCAGTACCGTGGTACTAATACGCAGTACCGTGTAACCAGTACCGCGGTACTAATACGCAGTACCGTGGTACTAACACCACAATACCGTGTAACCAGTACCGCTGTACTAGTACCACAGTACCGTATAACCAGTACCGCAGTACTAATACGCAGTACCGTGTAACCAGTACCGCAGTACTAATACCGCAGTACCGTATACCCAGTACCGCAGTACTAATACCGCAGTACCGTATAACCAGTACCGTGGTACTAATACGCAGTACCGTGTAACCAGTACCGCTGTACTAGTACCACAGTACCGTATAACCAGTACCGCAGTACTAATACGCAGTACCATGTAACCAGTACCGCAGTACTAATACCGCAGTACCGTATACCCAGTACCGCGGTACTAATACCGCAGTACCGTGTAACCAGTACCGCAGTACTAAGACCACGTTAGCACATTTTTTAGTAAAGTTTTGCTAATACCAGCTGTTAAGCAGGTGCTTCAGGACAACACAGTACTCAAGTACTCAGTTGGATAGAATACTCAGTTACTAATTTATCCTAAAGTTACAGCTTTCATCTTCAGAACCATGAATGGGTCCAGGTCTGAGTGGCCCTCATGAAGACATCCAATCACTCACATCCATCTGAGTCTTTATAGTACCGGAGATCCTGGTTCTGATTCTGTTGGTTTCTCGTCTTCAGCTAAGAGGCTCGGGGTCACTGAGGTTCCGCTGGATGTGGTGAACCTGGTCTCGCACGCCGCTGAGTCCAGACTGCGCTCGCTGCTAGAAAAGGTTTCCATCATCGCCCAGCACCGCTCAGATGGAGGAAAGGTATGGACCAGACACAAAGAGCGGAAGAAACGTGGATCAGATTAGAGGCCGACCGATACTGGTCTTTCTATTGCCGACACCGAAATTAGCCCGGACATCCGATTTAAATGTAACGGGTACATCTTTGATTACTGGTAATGTTGGCCCTGTATCCCTGTCCGCCTTTTCTGTTCTAAATTGGCGCGAGGGCAACACAGTGCGCATGTCATTGCAACTCTGTCCCCAGAAGTAATTATAAAACCTCAAAACTTTATTGTCCTCGCATAGACATAGACCAGGGGTCGGCAACCTGTTCCCATCAAAGAGCCATTATTACCCGTTTCCCGCAGTAAACAAAACACTGGGAGTCAAAGTTATCTTTCATAAGGCGATAATCAATAAAATGATGTATATAAAGTGGATCCAGAAGTTGTAGCCCATCTCTGCCTACAATATTTTGATATTTTTCACCCTGTTGGTGGTTTTACTGAGCAGGTGCCACTTTTGTCATACGTTTCTTTTTAAAACATGTTTAGACTGTTCAGAATACAAATCCAGGCTCTGTCACGTTTGATTGTTGTAATTAAACTTTGTAGGTGGGGAAGGTCAGAAAAGGATCCGATCATTTTGTTTTGCCCTCATTTACAGTGACGGAGATAACGGCGCAGTGCGCCTGGCTCCAGTGTTAATCAAGTTTAATTATATCTCTTTGCAACAATTTTCACAAGAAAACAGAACAGTTAAAAGCAGGGCTTGTGTTGTGTTGACCGGACAGTTCCCGTATTTAACTGTTTATTTTGACGGAGAAAGAATAGAAAGAATTACCCCGACGCATGCAGACGAACTGACACTTTATTCGTTTCGCACATCGCAGATGTAGCTAAATCACTCAAGAAATGATTCCCATCTGAACATCTGAGCTGGACACTGAGCTCAGCGCAGCTCGCTGTCAGCGCGTACGTATGGCGCACAGCGAGCTGAAGATGTGGAGAGGGGCTTGGAGCGCGTCGCAGAACCAGAGCGCATGCAGGAAGATTCCTCCGACTGAAGCGAGACTTGTCACTTAGAAAATGTTCCCTGATTATGAAACTTTGGCTGAATAGTGCTTGTTCCTGTCTCCAATGTGGCGACACATCCAGGAGCCGTCTGAGGAGAATCCCAGAATCTCACGTCCTCGTCAGCTCAGGAAGCGCCGATATGATTACGCACAAGCGTGACGCGTCAACCCGGTCTCACAGTAAGACCAGGTTGCAACTGTTCAGGTTTACGCAGACAATCTTTACATTTAGAATTGGCATACAGATGTAAAATTAATGCATTAAAATATAAAGCATTTTATTTAAATATCCATTCATTATTTTACAAGCACAGAGAGCCGCATCAGATGGATGGAAGAGCCACATGCAGCTCCAGAGCCGCGGATTGCCAACCCCCGACATAAACACAGGGAGGGAATCTCATTATGTCACGTTGCTGCATCGATGCGGAATCATGCACGGCTGAATCGCGATGCATCTTAGAATCGATCATTTTTCCCACCTCTACTCTAAACCCAGTAAAGGTTTCATCTGGAAGCATATTTTTCACAGTGTTGGAGAGAAGCATGGGTCTGGGAACTCTACCATCCAAATAACCCCGCCTCCTGAGAATTCTAACCGAGCCAATCAGCGCTGAGCAGCGTACGTCACACACCGTGACGCTCATTTTCTCATAAACATGGCATCTGAAGTGGCACTGGCTGCAGCTCTTCCCTCTGTCGTAAATGACTTGAACGTGTCTTTAAAACCAAACCAGGAAGCGCTAAAAGCTTTTCTTCTAAAGAAAGATGTTAACGCCGTCGCCAGACTCCATCTTTGACTACAGCTAAAAAACTACAGTGTCGCGCGGTTCAGTCAGCATTTCTGACTTTTTTTCTGATTGGTTATTTTTGAGCTGGCCAGTCCCGCCCCCCCATGTGCCTCTCTGCCTGTGAGGAACCAGACTCGTTCTCTGTGTGGAGGACCAGTCTGGCAGGCCAGGCTAACAGGAGAGAACTGGCCCTGTTCGAATCCAGAGCTGCATTGGTTTTCTCCCAGTTTAACCAGTAAAAGTCCTCCTTTCCCGGCAGGATGAGGAGCGGTACGAGCAGACGTCAGACGTGCGTTCCCAGCTGAGGTTCTTCGAGCAACTGGAGCGGATGGAAAAACAGAGGAAAGACGAGCAGGAGAGGGAGATTCTGCTGAAGGCTGCTAAGGTACCACACAGCCATCTGTCCCTCTAGCCTCTGTTGCCATAGTGACCAGATTTTAGGAGCTCTCCCAGGACACATGGTGGTCCTGGTACTGCTGATCATCTTTAAACTGGACCAGTACCACCTCAGAGGACCTGTCCTGAGAGCTGAAACCAATGATGGACATGTCACCTATAGGTTACATAAGAATAGTGGTTGGTTCTGATCACAAAAAGATGGAGCTGAGAGCAAGGCTCTGAGGATGCGAGTCAGCCATTACTCCCCCAGCTTTGAGCTAACTGAGCTAACCAAAGCAAAGGGAGCTTGGTGAGCGCTTTTAGCCAGAAAACTGGTTAAGCTAAAGCGAAGCACCCATCAACTCACCGAGCTCAGGAGTTCCTGCGGTCTCCCTCAGAAAGCTCCACAGGTAGCCAGGACGGCTACAGCCTTGCATGGGAGCCATGCGTTCACGTTACATTAGCTTCTATTAGCTCACGTAGCTCAAATTTCCACCAAGTTATATTTCAACCCATTTTTGACCGAGCAGTGTTATATTAAATGCCCAGCCTTCTACTGCATTCAACCAGCAACTGAAGGTGCAAAAACAGAATTTATTTACCGATTAAAAGTGGAGCAGAGACTTCTTGGATGGTTTGTTAGTGCCAACACCACAGCTAGCCCTCCTGTTACGAGCATGAACACACAGAGGACACAACTGAAGGTCCAGTTCAGAGAATCAAAAGGGCCCGATTAGGGATGTTCTGATTGATCGGCCACTTATCAAAGTTGTCTGATCTCTGTGGAAAAACACTTGATTGGCAAGTTCCACCAGACCCTGTGTGTTCCATTATTCCCACATCATGTAGTCTGTAGCGTTGATTATAACTACATAGAAAACTGATGTCCATCCATGTGATCGGTATGGGAGCATCCCTCTCTTAGCGTGAGGTCGAGGCTGAGGCCTGCTCTGGAGCTAGCTGCTAGCTATAGCTCTGAAGCTCATGCTACCCGCCAATCAAATGTAATTTATAATTTCAAGCATTTAATTACATGTAAAGAATTCACCCCCTCAGAGTTGTTCTGGCTTTAAACATGTCTTTTGCATGGGAGTCGATGGAAACGAGCTCCTTTCTGGAGCCAGCCCCTAGTGGATGAGAGGGGAACTGCAGTTGACCTCCCTTTGGCTGAAACCGTTGTTCCTCTTCCAGAGCCGGGCCCGACAGGAAGATCCGGAGCAGGTTCGGCTCAAACAGAAGGCTAAAGAGGTACTGGTGCACACTCGCACACACACACACGCACGCACGCACGCACACACACACACACACACACACACACACACGTATCCTCACCTGTCTCTGGTCTCCAGATGCAGCAGCAGGAACTGGCTCAGATGAGACAGAGGGACGCGAACCTTACTGCGCTCGCCGCCATTGGACCTCGAAAGAAACGCAAGATGGATTCGGGAGATGCCGTCACAGGTGGAGGGGAGGTACGAAACTCTGGTGTAGCTCCGCCCCAGAGTCGGATACCCACTGAGGTCCGGATCAGGTTCTGTCTCCTGATCACATCCAGGAAGTGACAGGTGACTTCCTGGATGTGATTTCTGGTTACCAGAATACAGATCCTCGGAACCATTTCCTGTTTGCGAGGTCACAACCTGGTGGTTCTTGAACAGTTGGTCCTGAACCACCAGGTTCTGGATTCTGACCCATTGTTATAAAGCTGTGATCAGAAACTTCATTCAGAACCGCTGGTGTAAAGGACCTGGTAGAACCAGTCCAGAGTCATCAGCAGATCTGGGTTCTGATCAGTCTGTCCTCCCTCAGGTGGCTTCTGGTTCTGGTTCCTGTGTGACCCAGTCCCCCCGTCAGCAGCTCCGTCAGCGGATCACCAGAGTGAACCTCAGGGATTTCATCTTCTGTCTGGAGCAGGACCGCAGCTCGGCTCGGTCTCTGACGCTCTACAAGGCCCTGCTGAAGTGACCCGGTTCTGCTGTTCCAGCGCCTCTGGTCCAGTTTCAGACTGAACACACCCTAGTCCAACTAGAACCACACACGTTTGGACTTGAGTCAAGATCCTGAACCAGGACCTTTATCGAAACAGAACCAGAAACGTTTTCAACCCTTGTTCAAACCCATTTGGATCAGAACCAATGACTGATGATCCGTTTTCTCTCCACACTCAGGGACGGTTCTTTTGGTTCTGATACACCAGAATGCTCCACATCTGGACCTACAACAGGGTACAGGTGAGGTGGACCTTTGACTGGCTGCTACATCCCCCCCACCGCCCAATAGCGCTGTACCTGAACAGGTGCCTTCTGAGTGGCCCCGCCCCTCATCAGAATGCCAGCTTGCATCTTTAGAGGTTCTGGTTCTGATCAACTCATCACACACAGGAGAGAGAGGCTGTGTCAGTCGTGTGTGTGTGTAAACCTCAAAGTTCCACTTCCTGCTGGGAGTCCAACAGCCAATCAGCATCATTTGATCAATCAGCTGACAGAAGGAGCAGAACCGTGTCAGCAGAACTAAGCAGACAAGAACATAGTGGATCAGAATCATTTCTGCATCTAATGACCCACAAATGTTCTGACCCGAACGGTTCAGATCTGACCTACAGTGATGACATCATCAGGGTCACATGACTCATTGACACAGACACTCCCTCAGGTTGGATGTCCTCCTCTTTATCATGGTTGTCATTGGACTGGACCTCAGATGAAGTGGTACTGTCTGGTTCTGATCCAGTCAGAAGGTTTTTAAGGCTTTAACATGTTTGGGTTTAGCTCCAGATGTTTTACACCTGTTTGTACCTTTGCTACAAAATCTAATAAAGTAATGAAGAAGCTTCATAACTCATCACTAAACACACGCCAACAGAACCGGGTCTGGGTGCAGGTCCAGACCTGCTCTGAGACCTGTTTGAGTCGTGACCCAGAACGCTTAAATGGGCAGAGCGGGAGGCTTTGATGCTACTGGAGCAGGAGAGCCAGGTGAGATGTCCAAATGATACCATATTTGGTTCTGAACCCAGCCCATCAGAAGCACCTTCCGAGCATTTAGACCTAAAGTTCTTGTGTTGGACCACAGGGCGTTTCCGTGGTTCAGAACCAGTGTGAGAAGCCTAGCTGCACTCTGATTGGCTGATGGTGTGAATCAAGCATTCTCCTACAGCTAGGAGAAATACTGGAGGTGTGACAGATGACATCAGCAGGTAGAAAATCCCAAATGCATCAGATCAGCTGTTACAGAGACCAGATCGTTCAGAACCGACTTCATTAAAGCTGATGATGAGATGAAAGGATGATGCCAGATAAATGGATGGATGGATGGATGATGGATGATGACAGATAACTGGATAAACAAATGGATGGATGGATGGAAGAATTTGTCACAAGTTTCAAATTTAGATTTTTTTTTTATTAAACCAGAAATATGAAACAAACGCATGGCACAACACAGGAGCCACTGTTCCGTCTATCCGTGCGTCTCGTCACGTGTGCAACTTCAGGGAAATACGCAGACCGACTACTACACTCACCTAAAGGATTATTAGGAACACCTGTTCAACTTCTCCTTAATCCAGTTATCTAATCAACCAATCACAAGGCAGTTGCTTCAGAGCATTTAGGGGTGTGGTCCTGGTCAAGACAATCTCCTGAACTCCAAACTGAAGGTCAGAATAAGAAAGAAAGGTGATTTAAGCTATTTTGAGCGTGGCATGGTTGTTGGTGCCAGACGGGCCGGTCTGAGTATTTCACAATCTGCTCAGTTACTGGGATTTTCACCCACAACCATTTCTAGGGTTTACAAAGAATGGTGTGAAAAGGGAAAAACATGCCACAGTCCTGTGGGCGAAAATGCCTTGTTGATGGTAGAGGTCAGAGGAGAATGGGCCGACTGATTCAAGCTGATGGAGCAACTTTGACTGAAATAGCCACTCGTTACAACCGAGGAACGCGGCAAAGCATTTGTGAAGCCACAACACGCACAACCTTGAGGCGGATGGGCTACAGCAGCAGAAGGCCCCACCGGGAACCACTCATCTCCACTACAAATAGCAAAAAGAGGCTACAATTTGCACCAGCTCACCAAAACTGGACAGTTGAAGACTGGAAAAATGTTGCCTGGTCTGGTGAGTCTTGATTTCTGTTGAGACATTCAGATGGTAGAGTCAGAATTTGGCGTAAACAGAATGAGAACATGGATCCATCATGCCTTGTTACCACTGTGCAGGCTGGTGGTGGTGGTGTCATGGTGTGGGGGACGTTTTCTTGGCACACTTTAGACCCCTTAGTGCCAACTGGGCATGGTTTAAATGCCACAAGCTACCTGAGCATTGTTTCTGACCATGTCCAACCCTTCATGACCACCATGTACCATCCTCTGATGGCTACTTCCAGCAGGATAATGCACCATGTCATAAAGCTCCAATCATTTCAAATTGGTTTCTTGAACATGAAAATGAGTTCACCGTACTACAACGGCCCCCACGGCCACCAGATCTCAACCAGATAGAGCATCTTTGGGATGTGGTGGAACAGGAGCTTCATGCCCGGGATGTGCATCCAACACATCTCCATCAACTGCAAGATGCTATCCTATCAATATGGGCCGGCCAACATTTCTAAAGAATGCTTTCAGCACCTTGTTGAATCAAGAATTAAGGCAGTTCTGATGGTGAAAGGAGGTCAAACACTATTAGTGTGGTGTTCCTGATAATCCTTTAGGTGAGTGTACGTCACAGGCTGTTTACCTGACAGTTAGCTTGTAAAATGTCGTTATTATACTGTAAACAAGACATTTCTCCCATTGCTTACCATCTTTAACGAAATCCTAACAAACACGTTGTGGCTGACACGAGGAACCGGCCTCTAGCGCCACCTTTATTGATATTATCCATGATTGTCATCTTGGGCTCCCATCTCTCCACCTCGTTTCATGGTTTGTTTCTTATTTGTTACGTCGGCTGTGATCGTTTCATAGCTTAGTCGCTCAGCCTACAGCAGCACGGAGCCACTCGAAGGCCTACGTCACGCCCAAGAGCCAGGACTCCCATCCTGGTTGTCATGGTTACATGCCGTGGACAAGCAGGTTGATTTCTATGCACAATATTCATACCGTAGTTAGCATCGTCCATTTATGACACAAGTTGTGTGTAGGAGGAGGGATGTGATCCATAAACACCTGAGCTCATCTGCAGGACAGGTGTGGATGTCACCTGCTGAGCTGAAGAAGGACTTAAGTCAGGACTCTGCACAAGTTTTATAAAGGTGTTCAGACCCAACATTACTCAACACCTAACACAGCTGTGAGGCCTCTGGTCCTGGTTCCAGATGTTTTCCTGCTTCAGCAGGCCTGATTACATCATCAAGGTCCTGCTCATAAAAAAGCGGGGAAACATCTAAACCCACAGGACCAGGACCCGGTTCACAGGTGCAGGTCAGTCCAGGTACTTGGGGATGCAGCCCTCCAGCTGGACCAGCTCGGGCCACTGGTCGTACTTGTTAGAGGCCTGGTCGTTCTTCACATGCTGCAACATAAACACAAGGTCCATCAGAACCGGGCCAAAGTCTGTTTCAGTCTGGTTTCTTTTCTGGGCTCACCTTCTCCATGCTGCTCTTCACAGATGTTCCTTTCCCACCCACGAACACCCACGTGTCCCTGAATCCCAAAGTCTGGATGGCGGAGCTTCCCAGATCTGCGATCAGCTTTCTGGCTTCGTCGTTCAACCTGTTCAAACACAAAACAGAGGCGGTGAGAGAAGAACCAGCCGACGTCTGAAGGATTCTTCTGGCTGTCAGATCCTTTACTTTGTGGCCGGCTCATCGTAGGATGCCATCAGAACTACAGAACCCGTCTCAATGGACTTCAGGAACTTGATGAGCGTTTCCACATCTGTAACACACAACACTCATCAGTCACACGTGAAGTTCTCAGGAAGCGGATCAGAACCTGCTGGGACTTACCACCACCGTACATGTCAAAGTGATCGGTGTTCAGAACCTCTCCTGTTTTACCTGTCAGAGAAGATCCCGGTGAGTTCAGCAGCAGAATCAAACCCGACAGCTCACTTCACAATAAAACTCTAAAATCCAACAACAAAATAAAACGGACGCTTTTATATTTAGTTCATTTCAAACAAATTTAGAAAAGACATCAAATCTACGGTCAGCATGAGCTTCCTTAGCGCTGCACGGACTCCTACCCTAGTCCCCACAACCCCAACTACAACGCACACACTAGTGCTTCAATCCTACTGCAGCAAATCTACAGAACAAGCTAGGCTTTAAACGCAATCACCCACCCCTCCCCTTACTGGGCCATGTCCAACAGAACCAGAAACCTGCATTTCCAGGAGAAACGAGAGAGCGCTAAACACAGTCTGAAGTTGCAGGTGTGATATTCTGGCCACAGGGGCCGATAGGGGCTGGGTGGCCTTTCATTAACCCTCTAAAGGCTCATTTTAGCACAAACTGGCTCAAGAAAACAATTTAAAAACATTAAAAAGTTGCATAATAACGCTTTACCTGAGCAGACAGGTAAGAGCCTCCTATTGGATAATTACTGCAGGTTATTTAACGCAAATGGTGCAACGAGCTGCTTCTCATTTCTTAAAACAACCAGGTGGAAAGACACATCCGGTGGTGAAGATGTTAGTCTGTGTGAGAAGGGTCATGTCATCGGCATCGAGCAGAGAAAACATCTAAGGAGATGCAGAAACGACTAAAACTGGGTTCAGAACTGTCCAACGCTTTACAAAAGCTGGTCTGAGGAGTCCAGATGGACCCTGGTGCAGAGTGATGGTGCACCAGGGTAAGAAGAGAGGCAGACCAAGTGATGCACCATCATGCCCAGTGCCTACTGTACAAGCCTGTGGGGGCAGTGCTATGATCTGGGCTTGCTGCAGGTGGTCAGGTCTAGGTTCACCAACAGGATGTGCTCCAAGAATGACCAGGTTAGTCCATCTTCCCTGACGGCACAGCCATGTTCCAAGATGACAAAGCCAGGATTCATTGGGTCAGATAGACAAAGACTGGTTCAGGGGGCATGAGACATTATTTTCACATCAGAGTCCAGACGTTAACCCCATCTTTGGGATGTGCTGGAGAAGGCTTTGTGCAGCGGTCAGACTACCGTCATCAATGCGAGATGTTGGTGAGACATGGAACATGGATGGAGACAAACCTGGTGAAGCTTATGGTAACACCAGCACAGCGAGTGTTAGGGCTGCGACGATTATAAATGTTGGTGGTATGATTATAATCTGATATTCATGGTTTCATGATTATTTCACAATAATTAATTTCCCATCTGTACTAACACATGAATCGCACATCCTATAAATGACTGATTAAAGCCACGATAAAGGCTTTGAACCCCCGAAGTATCTGTTGATTTTCAGGGATCTTTGCTTAGAAAAATTCACTCCACTTCTGATCTGCAACGTGTATGTTTTATCTCCACCAATAACAAGCATGGAGGAGTTCTGCTGTGTGGTGGAGTTGCTAATGCTAACAGTTAGCTTCTCGTTCTCTGCCGTTTCCTGGACGCTAAACCAACAACAGCCTTCCCCGTCGTGAGTCAGATGGGTGAGTCCATGAAAGTTAGTGACATTGTGACGTAGATCTGTCAGGATTTTCTAATCCTAGAGTTTCACCGTCTGTTTTCTATCAGAAGCTAATGTAGGAGATAGGTGTAGGAGACCATTTTCATGTTCAGCCTGCATGAGACACTCAGAGTGACCCGTTAGAATCAGAAATAATCATTAAAACAGTGTTTTTCAGTGATCCACACCTTTAATTATATTTGCCTGAAGACCTTTTTAGAGTTTGTGTAAAAACACAAATGTTTAACTGTTGACGGCTGGGTTAGGGTTAGCGCTGAAGGATGGAGACTCCTACTAGTGCAGTTATGAACATTACTGATGACTTTAATGTAATTTCTACTTGTTCGTATCTTTTCCAATTTCATCAGTAAGAATATTATTTAGACAAGGATAAATTATATTATTGTTATTTAGAACAGGAATTACAGAGCGTTGATTAAATATTAAAATGGCTTGCCGTACAGCTGGTTGTAGACAGAGAGAAATGTAGAACACCACATTATGAACCGATGTTCACTGGATTGTTTTAATATTACTGTTAATCTAACGTAATCTGACTCAGCTGGAGCCATTCTGTCTGCGTGATAATCTGCCAGCTCTGCAGAAGGACCACCATCTTCTGAGTTTCTATAGCAGCTTTGGGAGGCTAAAATATTCGCTCACAGCAGCCTTGCAGCACTTCGTAGGTGGAAAACGGATCGGTCCCGGTGGTTGTGGACGCCATCGTTACGTCGATGTGCGTTCCCTCGAGCGCGGTTTATTTTGCAACCAGCTGCGTTGACCCATCCACTCACTAAAGCGCGTGTTCTAGCCCTGAAACAAAGTACTCATATAACTTTTGTTTGGCTGAGTTCAGCTTTTCTGTGGTGGAGGAGACGTGTTTAAGGGGCTAGGCTTAGCTTTCAGCTCGTTTCCTGTTGCAGCTTTAAGGGGGGCTCACCGTTTAAAGTCACAATGTTGATTCCAACGCCGGCGTTGTTCAGAACCGATCCAACAATCCTGAACACAAACAACAACCCTGTGACCTACAACATACACAACAGAACCACACAGAAAGCGTCCAACAGAACCACAGGAGGACCAGAAGAGGCCCAGTGGGCCCGGCAGCAGCTCCTACAGGTTGTTGTTGATGCAGATCTTGGGAGGAACAACGTTAGCAGCTCCGCTCTGGAGGAAGAAGCTGTAGTGGTCATACGGGCAGCTCTTCTTCATCAAACAGGTTCCGTCTACAGAGAAACCACTCAGTGCTCTGGGTCCAATCATGTGGCTCTGATCAAAGCAATCATCACTCACCTGACTGAGTGGAGGACGTCCGACTGGAGACAGACCCGTCCCTTGTTAAATCTGGACAAACAACATTGAACCATCAGATGGATCCAGAAGGTTCTGAAGAACCTCTCACAGAACTAATCAGGTGAATAGATCGACCTTAACCCTTACACCTGTAGATCCAGCAGAACCGGAGACGGTCTGGTGGTTCTGTAGAAAGATCTAAAGGTACCTTTGGACGGGTCGCTGTAGAGCTGCAGGAGAACAACCAGGACCACAACCAACAGGATCAGAACCAGCGCCGCCTGAAGAAACCCTGAAAGGGGAACAGGATAGGTTATTTTGAGGAGCTGGAGTTTCCTCAGCCTGGCTGGTTCTGCTTTGACCCAAAGATCCAGATGTTGTCATGACAATAAACGGAGGTCCAAGAGCGAGTTCTGATAAGTCTGGACCATCTGAGGTGGGCCCTCAGTTATTGATCGTACTCACGAACAGGTCTGTGCATAGGAACGATTTTACACGTATTCACCAGTTTGTGCGTAACTTAACAACAGCTACGGTGGAACCGCAGTACTGAAGGTCTCCGTCGTCGATGTTCCTTGTCCAGAAACTTTACTATAAAATTATTTTAGCCAATAAACTATTATGTCGGTGGAAAAGGGGATTTTTCGTATAAAACCAATAAAAGACTCGTGACTGATGGGAATCTGACGTCATGGCTGACCCGTAGAGGATTCAACAGCACATGCTCTCAGGAGGGAACGAGTCCTCTGTGAGCGCTCGGATCTCCTGAAGGAGATCTGTCTGCAGCTGTGCTGGGTCTGGGACGCTGTGGAGTGACAGATAAACCGCACAGATCCGATTCCAGTCCTATTTTACAACTAGAGAACCACCTCTGCTCCCCATCACACAGGCGTTGCCACGGTAACCAGACCGAACGACGGCTCAGAGGCTGCACTCAGACGTTTCCTAATAAAACAAACTCCATCCAGAACGACTCGAGAACCCGTTACTGCGTGTCAGAACTCGGCTGCCCGTGTCGTCTCCAAAACCCCGTCCACCAATCACATCGCCCCGTCTTGAAGGAGCTGCACCGGCTTCCTGTAAAATTTCGGATCACTTTCAAAATCCTTCTTCTTGCATAACCTCGCCCTCTATATCTCAGTGAACTGTTGCAAGTGAACGTCTCCACCCGTAGTCGTAGATCTTCCTCCTCCATCCATCTCTCAGCGCCCCTGTCCCGTTTGTCTTCTGAGGTCCAGAGCGTTCAGTCGCCCTGCTCCTCACCTCTGGAATTCTCTTCCACCTGAGATTCTCAACCCGCCCGTCTCATTTATCTGTTTTACTGATTTTTAATCTATATTGAGGTGATCTTACTTTGTTTCATCATCATGTGTTCTTTATCTTACTGTGAGGTGACCTTGAGTGCCATATAAACAAACTGAATTATTATTATCAGATTGAATCTGCACCGAAGGGCCTTGAGTGTCTGTTAGTGCTTGTTTTTGTCTTCTTAAAGAGCAAGTCACCCCTAAATCAACTTGTTTTTGCTGATAAACTACATAAACGAGTGTCTAATCGTGCTGCAGACATGTGTAGTCAATAATTTGGCACTTCAGTGCATCTTAGTTAAAATTTAAATATTCTGCCTAAAACTGTCAGTGTTGTGCCGTCGTCAGGTAAAAACTCTGCACTGCATTTGAATTTAAATCTGCCACCGCTATTGGCTAAGAGGTATGCTATGATGTAAACTGGTCCTTATGATGTCACAATGTCGTTGTGAGCCTGTGTGTGTGTATTGGTTTGCGGCTCCGCCCTCTCGGTCTGCAAGGCAACAGCATTTGTTGCATTTTTCAAACATGAAGAGGGAGTTGAGTAAGAATCTGGCAGGGGTTGACTTGCTCTTTAAACTTTTGCTTTGCACCATCTTCCATTGAGAAAGAGAAGGAAACTCATCTGTGGGTAATCCTGTTGTCTAGTAGCTCCGGTTTGGGCCAACTGAAAACAATGAGTGCAATCAGGGGCTGTGAACGAGCTGTTTCTGCCCTCCCCAAAAACACTCATCAGGTGATCTAGGTCTCAACCACTGCAATCAGCTGCTGCATGAACACCTGTTTCCAAATAGTAGCACAGCATAAGTTTTGGTGTCATAACTGAAGCGTCAGCCCTTGTGTCTCAGCCCCTCCGGGGTAAAGACATACGTATTTACCTGCGCGTGTCCACAGAGCAAACAAACTCGACCCAGACGCTGCTCCATCGACACCTTGCAAAATGTGCCATTATCCTATACCTGTGATCACTGGCTTCAGAGAAAGGTCACACACAGCAAATCGCTTTCGCAACCTTCAAAACCTCCTCTCGCTAAAACCAACTCCCCCCGAAGACACCCACCTGTCTATGGGACGTAGGAACTGCCAATCAGCTGTAAACAAAGCAGACTTCATTACTGCATAAGCAAACCACCTGTAACTCGATGCACTGGCTCTCACCGAGACCTGGATCAAACCATGTGACAATGCTACCCCATCTGATCTCTCAATTAACCACACGTTCTCCCACACTTCTCGTGCATCTGGCCGAGGTGGTGGAACGGGCATGTTAATGTCCAACAAATGGATATACAGTCAGTTGCTACCCATCACTAAATACAACTCCTTTGAATACCGTGCCATCCAGGTAACTGTCCCGAAAAAATTATTTTTGTTTGTCATATATCGTCAACCAGGTCAACTCGTAGACTTTCTTGATGAACTCGACACCCTGCTCTCCTCCATTCCTGAGCACGACTGTCCCACAATGGTCCTTGGAGACATGAATATTCACCTGGACAATCCCAGCTCATCAGGCTTCCTGTCACTAATGTCATCATTTGATCTAAAACTAGTACAAAGTCCTCCAACTCACAAAGCTGGAAAAGCACTTGACCTCATTTTCACCAGAAACTGTGCCATAGACACAATCTCTGTCACACCGCTGCATCTTTCCGATCATTACTTCATCCATTTCAGCTCAACTCTACAAGGGAGGTCCACTGCTTCCTCCCCAGTGGTTCCATTCCGCCGCAACCTCCGCAATCTGGCACCCAACCACTTCTCCTCTCTTGTTGCCTCCACTCTTCCATCTCCCAGCACATTCTCTGCTTATGAAGTGAATGATGCCACCGAGTCACTCTGCTCCACACTCTGCTCTTGTCTTAACAACTTGTGCCCTTTAGCCACTAGACCTGCTAGATCCTCTCAGTCGCACCCTTGGCTAAATGATACCCTCCGGTCTCTACGCACCAATCTTAGAACTGCGGAACAGAAATGGCGCAAAACAAAAGATTGTCGTGATCAATTGAAATTTCATGAATTACTGTCCTCATTCTCTGCCAGCATCACTGATGCAAAGAAAGCTTTCTACACTGACAAAATTCTCAGCTCTACTGACTCTCAGAAACTATTTTCAACATTCAAAACTCTGCTCAACCCTCCGTCTCCACCTCCAACCAACAATCTATCAGCTGACACCTTTGCCTCCTTCTTCACTGACAAAGTGTCAGCTATAAGCAAACAGTTTACTCAACTGGCCACTCCTGAACATTCACTACCACAAACTCCTTCTAGCCCACCCATCTCAAGCCCTACTGCTTCATTTTCCTCTTTTTCTCCTCTCACTGAGAACTGTGTGTCCAAGCTTCTCACGTGCAGCCGCCCTACTACATGCCCACTCGACCCCATTCCGACTAAGCTGCTCCAAGCTATTGCTCCTACAGTAGCCGCAGCAGTCACACATGTGATCAACGCTTCACTGACATCCGGTACATTTCCGTCCTCTCTCAAGCATGCTCAGGTTAAACCGCTGCTAAAAAAAAAAAAACATCTCTTCCTCCAAATCGTGTGGAGAACTACCGACCTATCTCTCTCCTCCCTTTTCTGTCCAAAATCATTGAAAGGGTGGCTTTCAAGCAGATCACAGAATACCTCTCACAAAACTGTCTGCTTGACCCGTACCAATCTGGGTTCAAAAAGGGCCGCTCCACTGAAACTGCTCTGTTAGCAGTGACGAAATCATTAAAAGAAGCTAGTGACTGCCAAATCCACAGTGCTTATCCTGCTCGACTTATCGGCTGCATTTGACACTGTCAACCATGGCTTCCTTTTGTCCACACTCTCTAGCATGGGCATAACAGAGACCCCCCCCCCCCCCCCCCACACACACACACACGTCATCCCCCTGCGACTCTGTAGTCTTTATATAAATATCCAATTACACCACAGCTGCTAGCCAATCAGAGGAGAGATATCCACATATCAGGAAGTAAGACTAAATCCTGTTGTCTGAAGCTCCAGCTGAATAGGGAGTTTAAGCCACGCCCACCTGCTTCCGGACCACGGGTCCCTCGAAGAACACTAAAATGAATGCAAGTCAACACGGCTAAAAACGCTTGTTTTGTTCCATGGATTTCACACATGATGTCCGTGAATTTTAAACACATTTTGATACCAAGAACACACTTATTTTCTAACGGGGGGAACGGTATTTTAGGTTTTGTGTGAAAATAAGTCCAGGACTACAAATGTGCTTCATGAAAGTGACGTCATCGAACCAGACACGGAGAAAACTGGGAAAAATGGCTGTAAGTTCAGCAAACTTTAAGTCCTTTCTTCAGGAGGAAAGAACCACCATACATCTGGTCATGTGGTGAGTAGCAGCTACGCTAGGGGGAGGAGCTTCTGTGGTGACATACCGACGTCTGGTGTGTAGTCATGCTAATTACGAACTTTTACAAGCTGATGAATCTCACAGTACCTGACAGGCGTGGTCGAAACACCATCATTACTTTTCATTTAAATAGACGTACATGTTGATCCAGGGCGGAGCGGGTTAGGAGATGGCTCTTTTAGCCCCGATCAGAGACCCATGAGCCGACCGGGAGGGGAGGGGACTTGGGCTCCCTGTTCAGGCACTTCTGGGCTTTTTCCCCTGAGTAGGACTTACAAGGCATTCATTTCTACTAGAAACCACTGCAGATGTAATAAAAAATGACTGAAGTTGATATTTAAAACATTGCTGATCTTCTGATTTGGGTCAGAACCATCAAGCTGTTCCATCTACACTGGCTCTGGTCGCAGCAATAAACCAAAATCACAACTCACATCTGAGAAGGTTCCATCTGCTGGTTGTGTGAGTTTTACCTGGAAGGCAAAAACAGAAGGATTCAGGTGGAACTTCCTGTGAAAGACCAGAACACCTGAAGCTTTTACAAGTGCAGCTATCAGCAAAAACAAAACAAAACTAACCAATCAGCAGCTAAAGCTTGTCCTGCCTCACAGGTAAACAGGAAGTCATAAGAATAAAGACACTGACCAACTCTGATGGTGAACATGGTTCTGATGTCCGGCTGCCGTTCCCTCGGAGGAGACCTGAGACACTCCAAAACAAACAGGATCATCCGGTTCCACCTGGCCTGCCAGGTGACAGCCAATCAGCAGCTGCTGTGAGGAGGAAGGAGGCGGGGCTCAGGTGGATAATAGTTAAGGGTTAAATTTTGTCTTTCATGTTTGAAACATGTTTGATTTTAGCTTCATAGGAATTGAAATATTGATAAGATCTATTATTACTATTACTGGTAATAAATGTAATCAGAGTATTATTACTCTTCCTAACTGCCTCCACTTTATCAGCCTGAATCACTGTTGATGCTCCTGCTGGAAAAGTCTGAGTATTAGTATTATTATCATTAGTAGTACTAGTACTGACCAACAGCAACGATAATACTAATAAAGTAGTTCCTAATCAAACTAATCTGACTCACACCTTACCTGTGAGTTTCAGGGCAGGGGGGGCGTGTCTTAGCCTGGAGCCAGTTTTTCCTGGTGGGGAGTTTGTTCTCCTGGCTCCGCCCCCTGGCAGATTCTCAGGTGTTAAACAACAAAGCAGTGAGACTTTAACCAAAAGGTTTATTAATAATATCATTTATTAGTTATTTCATAGAAACCCCTCAACAATAAAAGCTCTTTACCCTAACCCACGGTTCTGCTGCAGCAGGACCGGGTCAGAACCAAACAACCATCTCCATGTTCTGGCCCACAGCAGTAGGTTCCTCCTCACCGGCCCATCAGAACCAGAAGCTGTTCAGAGGTTTAGCACTCATCTCTTCGTGTTTGAGCAGCTCATTAAAGGTGCTCTGGACCGGAACCAGGACCAGGACAGGGACCGGAAGCAAGACCAGGGCTAAGACCAGAGCACACACACACACACGGAGGGTTGCCGGTTTGAGCACCGCTCGGTCCTTCAGTCGCTGGACACTCCTGCCCATCCCCACCTGCTGGTGGAGGTCAGAGGGAGCGGTGGCTTCTGTCAGTGTGTCCCAGAGCAGCTGTGGCTACGATGTAGCTCATCAACACCAGGGTGTGAATGTTATAAAGTGTCTTGGGGGGCTGTAGGACTCCAGAAGGCTCTATATAAACAGTCCTGGCATCTCACCTACATCAGGCTGCTGAGGTGTCCCGAGTGTACCACAGAGTTCAGCATCAGGGTTCTCTGGTCCAAGACCTCCCTCTCGCGGCCAAGCGCCTCTCTGTCCTGCTCCACCAGGGCTCGGTCGCGCTCCAGCGCTGCACGTTCTCGGTCCAACCAGAGCCGCTCTGCCTGCATCGCTGCCCTCTCTCTCTCTACAGCCACTCGGTCTCGCTCCACCACCTTGCGCTCATGCTCCAGCACCACCCGATCCCGCCCCAACACCTCCCACTCCTGATCCAGCGGCCTGTCGCACGGCGCCATGCTCCGCTCATCTCCAAACACTTCCTCGTCAAAGTCAGAGCAGGGAGGCGGGGGAGGTGTAGGACGGAGCCTGTGTCGAGGGGCGGGGTCAAGATGCTGATCGTCCTCCCGAATGACCGGGATGAGGAGGGGGGCGCTGCTCGCTAGACGGCCTTCCATGGCTTCATTCATCAGGTGGAACCACGGCCAGGAGGATGCGCTGTCCGCAGCTCGGTCCACCCCAGCAGGAGGATACTTCAGGTCCTGAGCAGAGGGGGTGTTCAGACGCTTATCAGAAACACACTTTGGGTTGAGGTGCATGTGGATGGAAACCGGTAAACTTATGTTAAGTCAAAAAGAATCGTTTTAATCTCCTCTGAAACGAACAATCCTGGTAAGACCTGATCCATCCATCATTCCACTCCTCTGACCACCCGCCCCCTCTGCACAAATCACACCTTCTCAGCCCAAGGCAGCGGAAGGGGAAGCAAAGCCAGAACTGGTTGTCTTCTGTTAGCGCCGGGCTCTACTGGCTTTTTAAGCTCGCGTAGACGCATCTTTGTTCACATGCCTGCTGCGCTGCATGTAGTACCAGAGTCCTCCACCAGGGTGCGCCAGCATTAGCAAGCAACCCAAACCCACATAAGGCAGACGTTTAGAATATGTGTCATCATATTATAAATACCTGTTCTTGTTGGGAAGGGTTTAGAGGACGGACCTGGTGCGTGCGTGCGTGCGTGCGTGCGTGCGTGCGTGTGTGTTTACGCTCTGGAACAACCAGTGACTCCACCCCCTAGCCAATCAGTGGCTGACTGTTTTTGGACCGGGTCGGAACGCTAGGAACCACAACAAGGCAGGAATTTAAAGGCCGGGGGAAAACCGTTGGAAAAGAGCCGGGATTGTTCCTTACCTTGTACCTCCTCTTCAGGTTGTCCCACTTCCTGGCCATTTGGTAGGTGGAGACTTTCCCCAGCAGGCCGAGCTCCTTTAGGATGGCTCTGGTGTTGGATCAGAACACGCCAGTTAACATGGAACCAGAACAGGAACCAAACAGATTCAGGGATCCTTACTTCCAGGCAGCTTTGGCAGCGTTCCTCCTCCCAGTGAAGAGCAGCTCATTAGCAGCACGGAGTTTAATCATCCTCCTGGTGTCCTGATCCGTCACTGCGACACAAATGGTACCGTTACATGTTTACAGCTCGGATCTGAAGGAGCAGCTAATGAACAATAAAGCCTCAGAGCTGCTCCTGGTCTGTTTGGTCCCGATTCTGGTACTGGACTAAGCTGGAGACCACAGGTACCAGGTGTCACCAGCTTGGACCCTAAACATCTGATGTCCAAAACCAGGTCAGACCAGGGTCCGTGTTTATCAACCAGACTCACGCAGATTTGTGTGTATTTCGTGCATGGAAACACTTTTATGCATCGTGCGTAAAAATGTTCCTGAACATCAGACCAGCTGTGACCACACGTAGGAACACCATCTAGTGGTAGAACGAGGGGACCAGAACATCCACTATCTGACCCAATCAGTAATGGTATCTGTGGAGAGACAGCTTTAACACATAACTGCTGGTAGAACCTAGAAAGACACCTACGACCGACTGGGAGATCCCCAACGAGAACCCCCCCCAGAACATCCACGCGTTGCCATGGTAACTAAACTGACAGCTCTGCACTAACCAGAATAAAACTAACTCCAAACAATCCAAAAGGGTTCAGATGAAGATGGATTCTTGAAGACGTTTCGCTTCTCATCCGAGGAGCTTTGTCAGTTCTGACTGGAGTATGGGAGAGTCAGGCTTATAAGCTGTAGCTGTATAACGAGCAGAAACTACTCTTGAGTACCCCTAATAGTCGTTAACCTCCTTTGTGCCTTGTTATACAACATTAGACAGCTACAGCTTTTAAGTTTGACTCCACTCCAGTTTGAGCCACTGGTTCAGGTATTTTTGGACAGAGAAGACAGATGGTTGGAGAGAGGAGTAAAAGAAGCCATCTATGTCAACCGTGGAAAACCCACTTTAAATAGGGGCGGGGCTTAGATTTCATCTTTCCAGTACCTATAATGCAGCTTTGAATCTCATTCCTAAACAGCTTCAGTCTAGGTCACACCTTCCTGCATCTATCTAATCAACACAACCACTCATCAGGGGAAGGAGAGGAGGGGTATTCAGAGGTAGTTTCTGCTCATTAAGCAACAATAAACAGCTACAGCTTATAAGCTCGACTCTCCCATATTCCAGTCTGAATGGACTAAGCTCCTCGAAAGAGAAGCAAAACGTCTCCAAGAATCCAAACCAGTCCCGCTGCCTCCATCTGAGCCCTTTGGGATAACTAGATACAGGTGCTGGCCAGTAAATTAGAATATCATCAAAAGGTTGAAAATATTTCAGTAATTCCATTCAAAACGTGAAACTTGTACATTATATTCATGCAATGCACACAGACCAATGTATTTCCAATGTTCATTACATTTAAATTTGATATTCATAAGTGACAACTAATGAAAACTCCAAATTTGGTATCTCAAAAAATTAGAATATTCTGAAAAGGCTGAATATAGAAGACACCTGCTGCCACTCTAATCAGCTGATTTACTCAAAACACCTGCAAAGGCCTTTAAAAGGTCCCTCAGTCTTGTTTTGAAGGCACCACAATCATGGGGAAGACTTCTGACTTAACAGCTGTCCAAAAGACAATCATTGACACCTTGCACAAGGAGGGCAAGACACAAAAGGTGATTGCTAAAGAAGCTGGCTGTTCGCAGAGCTCTGTGTCCAAGCACATTAACAGACAGGCGAAGGGACGGAAAAAATGTGGTAGAAAAAAGTGTACAAGCTCTAGGGATAACCGCACCCTGCAGAGAATTGTGACGACAAACCCATTCAAAAATGTGGGGGAGATCCACAAAGAGTGGACTGCAGCTGGAGTCAGCGCTTCAAGAACCACCACGAGGAGACTCATGAAAGACATGGGATTCAGGTGTCGCATTCCGTGTGTCAAGCCACTCTTGAACAAGAAACAGCGCAAGAAGCGTCTCGCCTGGGCCAAGGACAAAAAGGACTGGACTGATGCTGAGTGGTCCAAAGTTATGTTTTCTGATGAAAGCAAGTTCTGCATTTCCTTTGGAAATCAAGGACCCAGAGTCTGGAGGAAGAGCGGAGAAGCACAGAATCCACGTTGCATGAGGTCCAGTGTAAAGTTTCCACCGTCAGTGATGGTGTGGGGTGCCATGTCATCTGCCGGTGTTGGCCCACTCTGTTTCCTGAGGTCCAGGGTCAATGCAGCCGTCTACCAGGAAGTTTTAGAGCACTTCATGCTTCCTGCTGCTGACCAACTTTATGGGGATGCAGACTTCACCTTTCAACAGGACCTGGCACCTGCACACAGTGCCAAAACCACCAGCACCTGGTTCAAGGACCATGGTATCCCTGTCCTTGATTGGCCAGCAAACTCGCCTGACCTTAACCCCATAGAAAATCTATGGGGTATTGTGAAGCGGAGGATGCAATACGCTAGACCCAACAATGCAGAGGAGCTGAAGACGACTATCAGAGCAACCTGGGCTATCATAACACCTGAGCAGTGCCACAGACTGATCGAGTCCATGCCACGCCGCATTACTGCAGTTATTGAGGCAAAAGGAGCCCCGACTAAGTATTGAGTGCTATACATGCACATTCTTTTCATGTTCATTCTTTTCAGTTGGCCAACATTAGAGAAACAAACATTTTTTCATTGGCCTTTAGAATATTCTAATTTTCTGAGATACCAGATTTGATGTTTTCATTGGTTGTCACCTATAAATATCAAAATTAAACGTAATAAACATCGGAAATACATTGGTCTGTGTGCATTGCATGAATATAATGTACAAGTTTCACGTTTTGAATGGAATTACTGAAATATTTTCAACCTTTTGATGATATTCTAATTTACTGGCCAGCACCTGTATAGTCTGACTCACCTCAATGCTTGGCTCTGGAACCAGCTCGCTCGAGTTGTGCCAAGCAGGTAAGGGCATACTTGTAGTCCCCGTCTTAGTGCATGCTTGTTGGGGTTAACCGTGGTGAAGGTGGGGGTAGCCCTTCGCCTAACTGTGGGGCAACAGGTCCACACTGTGGTTTGTGCTTATGCACTACACTGCAGGTCAGACAGACTACCCACCCTTTTTGGAGTCCATGGGGGCGGGGGGTGCCGCCGGAGAGTGTTCCTTCCATTAACTTCCTTGTTTGACTTTATTGCTCCTGTGAGCGACCACAGTGGGACCTGGAGAGGTGTGGTGGGGAAGAAGCCCCCCCCCCCCCCCCCCATCTGAATTCAATTCAATTCAGTTTATTTATAAAGCACCAAACCAGGACCAGAGTCGTCTCAAGGACCTTCAAACAGTAAACATTCCAATACAGGTCAGGTCATTAGGCCAATCACCCTGCAGGTTGCATCGAGTCACTGACTAGTGTCAGAGCCTTTACAGCAATCCTCATACTAAGCAAGCATGCAGCGCCAGTGGAGAGGAAAACTCCCTTTTAACGGGAAGAAACCTCCAGAGGATCCTGGCTCAGTATAAGCAGCCATCCTCCACGACTCACTGGGGATCGAGAAGACAGAGCAGACACACATACACACACGCACGCACACACACACACTTTTTAAATGCCACAACAGCAGCGAGAGGTAACCAGAGGATGGAGGGAGTGGCAGCAGGTAGGAGGGGGCGTGGTTTTACGCTACAGGTTAGGCTGAATGGTTTTTCTCTGCTTTTCTACGATGATTGGCTTAAACTTCTTCACCACGCTGCTGAGTCGTGTTGTCAGACATGAGTACCAGATGTGAATTTGCTACAGAACCCTCGTGTCTGCAGCTTTTTTAGAGGGGCGAGTCGTACCGGCGTAATTAGATGCCAAACTGCGTACTTGCTACACAAAAAGCGTACAGGTTGGCAGGTCTGTAAAGGTCTCTCGTAGGATGGAATGTTGGACAGTTTCTACAAACGTTTGGTGAATGAGGGTCACGGTCCTGGTCTCAGACCCGCTGCTGCAGCAGCTCAGACACTCATGGCTACACTTTTCAGTAACATATGTGGGCGGAGCCTATTGGTCTGGTTGTTTGTAAACGTCCATGTTTCATACAGGAAGTGAAGAGAACTTCATTCTGCAGATGTACAGGTTGTGATGGACCTGACTGCAGCGTGGAGATGAGACTTACTTTTGTAGAACTCTGAGGGTGTGGAACACTCGTCCCCACTGGCATCGATTAAGGTGATGCTTGTGTCTGCCGCTCTGATATCTCTACCCAGCATGCTCTCCACCTCTGGCACTCCACCCTTCTCCACCATCAAACCATCTCTATCTGGGTGGGGGGGTGAGCTGAACACACAGTCCTCATCATTGGTCCAGATGGGTGTCACTTTGGGAGCTTTTCCTGCAAGCTGCCCCTCCAAAGCGTCACTCATCAGCTGGAACCAGGGCCACGAGGCCGGGCTGGTCTGAGCCTCCATCCCTCGAGGAGGAAACTTCAGGTCCTTCAGACACACAGAAGGTTTGAAAGCAGATCTTGAAACAGCTGGACCTGTGACAGATTCATCTTGTTCTCAGTTAATGATCATTTCTGACTCTTAACGGGTCACTCTGAGTGTCTCATGCAGGCTGAACATGAAAATAGTCTCCTACACCTATCTCCTGCAGTAGCTTCTGATAGAAAACAGACGGTGAAACTCTAGGATAGAAAATCCTGACAGATCTACGTCACACTGTCACCAACATTCATGGACTCACCCATCTGGTCTCACGACGGGTAAGGCTGCTGTTGGTTTAGCATCCAGAAAACAGCAGCTATAAAAGCTAACCATTAGCATTAGCTTCTCCACCACACAGCAGAACTCCTCCAGGCTTGTGTTATTGGTGGAGATAAAACATCAACGCTGCAGAGCAAACAAGAGTCAGTGGTAGAGTTGTGCTGCTGTTAGCCAATCAGAGGAGAGATGTCCACATATCAGGAAGTAAGACTCCAGATCCTGCCATCTGAAGCTACTACCTCCTCCAGCTGACTTAAGCCCTGTCCACACGTAGCCGGGGATCTGCCAAAACGTAGATATTTTTCTACGTTTTGGCCTGTCATCCACACGAAAACGGAGTTTTTTCACACAAAAACGGATCTCTTTAAAAACTCCGGCCAAAGTGAAGATCTGCGTCTTCTCCGTTTTGGGTGTCTGCGTGTGGACAGACAAAACCGGAGTTTTAAGGTCCGCAACGTCACTTTCCGCGAAAAAAAATGCTGACATCACGTGTGCGGCCTGTGTTTACACTAGCCGACAGCATGGATGCCCTCAGAGCTGCGCTCGCTTTATCAATTGTCCAAGCGCTTTTTGCTTGTTTGTTTTTGAAAGTGGAATTACTGCTCCTTGCGGAAGACCACAGACAAAGGACGAGGTTAAGAACGGCTATTGCCCGGCACCTGGCTTCTCCAAGTACTACCGCCTACAGGTCTGGCATGTCCTTAACAACGTATTTATCCGGGTGTGTGGACAGTTTTTTTTTTAAACGAGGTGGTGTGGATGCAAGGTTTGGAGGGGCGGATATTCGCTTTAAAAAAAACCCGGCTACGTGTGGACTAGGCCTTAGATGTGCCTGAATCAGGAAGTACAAGTCCTACTAATGACATGACATTCCTGCTAGAGACCACTGCAAATGTACTGATTAAATGAGTGTCCACTAGTCTAGCAGCTGTTTCACCTTAAACTTTGTCTTCAGGTTGTCCCACTTCTTGGCCACCTGGTCAGGTGTTATCTTCCCCATCAGCCCCAACTCCTTCACTATTCCTCTGAAACCAAAAACAGAGACAGGAAGCTGGGACCCAGGCACACCCTGTTAGACCACAGCTTAAGAAGGTTCCTGACCTCCAGGCAGGTTTAGCCGTGTTCCTCCTGCCGGTAAACAGAGATTCATTAGCAGCTCGTAACTCAATCAGCCGCCTGGTGTCTTCTTCAGTCACTATGGACAACGGAGGACCACACGTTGCTTTAGTTGCTACAGGAAGTCTTCAGCTGGTTCACAATTACACAAAAACCAGCATACATGTCCAGGCTCGAGATGTTCTTACATTTGTAGGTGACCTCTGTGACCCGTGGCAGATCTACCAGAGCTGACGATCCATTCTTCTCTTCGTTATCAACCAGCAGGTCCATCTCAGACTCCATCAGGAACTCAGTCATACTCCCTCTGCTTCGCCGGACTTTTTTTGGTGTCGGTGACAGAGACTCGCAGTCCTCATCTTCGTCTTCCACAATGGGGGTGAGGATGGGCGCGGAGCTGACGAATCGTCCCTCTATAGCGTCGTTCATCCGGTAGAACCAGGGCCAGGAGCTTGGGTTGGTCTCCATGCCGCGAGGACATTTCAGCTCCTGGTGGAGTCCCAGAGGAAGGATCATCGTCATCACCTTCATCATAATCACCAATATCATAACCATCACCTTCATTTTCACCATCACCACCATTATTTTCATCACCCTTCCACCCTCATCATCATCGCCATCAACACCACCACCATTATGATTATGACCTTCATCACCACCCTCATCATCATCTCCTAGGGCTGCTCAATTATGGTAAAAATTATAGTCACGATTATTTTGACTTAAACTGAGATCTTGTTTATTCAACATGGTCAGTGGCGCCCCCAAAGGGTGGCCTGGGTTACCCCTAGAGAATTGCTGGCCACCCCAGAGAAGGCAAGGTAAGGCAGCATTATTTCTGTAGCACCAGTTCACAGAATTTAAAAACATTAAAAAACAATTCAATTCAGTTTATTTATAAACGCTAAATCAGGACCAGAGTCATCTCATGGACCTTCACACAGTAAACATTCCAATACAGGTCAGGTCATTAAGCCTATCAGTAAAAAGTTTCCCATATAAGGAACCCAGCAGGTTGCATGGAGTCACTGGCTAGTGTCAGAGTTTTTACAGCAATCCTCATAAAAGCAAGCATGCAGCGACAGTGGAGAGGAAAACTCCCATTTAACAGGGAGAGACCTCCAGTTGTTCAACAGAACGTCTTAGAAACTCTTTTCAGGTTTTTAACGAGCACTATGTGTGATCCTAGAGTTGATGTTGCTACTGTTCTTGCAACGCTGCAGAATTATGGTTGAGGTGTATAGCAGAGTCCGGTGAACACTTGTGTCTGTTTGGGGATGTTTTTACATGTTTGTGGCAACTCGGGTTCCCCTTAGGGGTTTAGTAAAGTAAACCTAACCTTATATCTCCTCTTCAGGTTGTCCCACTTCTTTGCCAGCTGATCCGTGGTCAGTTTGCCCTGCAGACCCAGTTCGTACAGAATGGCCCTGCAAGATCAAACCAGGTTAAAGCAGGTCCAGGAGCACACCTAGACCGACATCCTAAACAATCTACAGTTTGTCCTTTAGAATGCTCTGGCCAGTAATCAGACCTTTACTTACAGCTATTACATTTATCAATACTAAAAATGCAAGAAATTACCTAAAAATCAACCAATACACCCAAGTCTTTAACCCCACCAACATCACGGTCATGTGATGGAGCGTGCCATGATGTGGTCATACTAGGACTCACAGGAACTGGTCCAACCTTCTGAGATTTGCTGGTTAGTAAAAACCTCAGGTTTGTTTAATGTACCAATTAGTTTATGAACTCAACAATCAACCTCATTTCATGCTGCTCTCTCATCCTATACAACCAGGAACAAAGACGATTCATGGAACAACTACAATGATTCTGTAACGGCTTTAGTATGTTGTATGGGCTAGATGTCACATATCTCCTGTCCACGAGTCATCTTCTGGTAAGTTCTTGCTGTTTGTGATAAAACAGCATCCACAAAGTCTTCACAGCTCATCACTTTTCCCACATTTTGTTATGTTGCACCCTTTTTCCAAAATTGAAGAAATTCCCGTTTTTCCTCTAAATTCTAACACTCGTAACAACAACGTGAAAACTGTTTTCTGGAGATTTTTGCAAATTAAAACTCTTTGTTGTGAATGCCATGAGTCATATTTAGAGGAAACCAGGCAGTGCCCATCACCATCCCTAGTGAAACATGGTGGTGGCAGCATCATGTTGGGGGGTTCAGCAAGAAAGGATTGAAGGGTCATGAGAGGAAGAAGAATGCAGAGATATCCCGGTTATGGTCTTCAGGACAACGCTGAATGTCCTGGAGTGTCCCAGCCAGGTACCGGACTTGGATCTGCAGAGATGTTTTCATGACTGCATCAATGATTCCATCCAACCTGATGGAGCTGGAGAGGTGCAGCAAAGAGTGACATCATACTCAGCAAGACTTGAGGCCTAATTAGCGCCAAAAGTAGCATCAGCGACGTATCGCGCAGAGGAAGTGAATTATTTTGTACACGAGATTTCTGTTTTTATTTTTAATAAAATTTAAACTAAAACTTACCTTTGCTGGTTTATGGTTGTAATAATTCTTTTTATAGTAAAATAAACTAAATTCTCTGTTTTTTCTGGTTCTCCATAACAAAAAACTCCGCTCAGCTGCTCTAAAACAAACAGAACGGTGAGCTGTGGAGAGCTTCCAGCTCCAGGTGAACATCCTGATCTGAGCTGAGATTCCACCCGATTTCGGTCACAAACCTCTGCACCCAAAGGCTCTCCTATTCTTTGTAAAGGGGAGGGTCCGGCGTGAGTCTAGGGTGGAGATGCTGCGCCCGAACGGAACAGGAAACGCGTCCCAAGACAAATCTGTGGTGGTAAAAGTAAGAAATAACAATTTTAAACTACACTTAAATGCAGTTTATCCACACTTAGTCTGTATGATGTACAGATTTAGTTTCAATTTCATGTTTTTCTTTTTTGATCCTTATTTTCTTCTGCCTGTGATACTGGTCGGGAAACGCCCTAGCGCCCCCTACGGACAAGCCGCCATTGCTGCCTTGACTGTGGGAGCCTAGGTTTGAACCTGCAACCCTCTGATCACCAGGCAAACCCCTAACCCCCGAGTCACCGTTGCCTCCTGCTGTGTTGGGAGTGTTGAAGGAAAAAACCCATTTGATCCATTTTGGAATACGGCTGCAACATAAAGGTGGGGAAAGTGTGACTCTGTAGGTGTTGCGTCTACCAACGGAACGCCGTTGGGTTGTTGGCTGATGTGCTCAGATCTATCTGGCCAGTATGGAGATATCTGATGCACCTGGTCTCACCTCCAGGCTGGCTTGGCAGAATGTCTTCTCCCAGTGAAGAGGGCTTCATTTGCAGCCCGAAGTTTGATCATTCTCTCCGTCTCTGCTTCGGTCACTGGCAACAACAACCAGAGATTTCCTGATTTTAGCGAACAAACCACAGGAGTTGAGAAGTCTACGATAGACACGTCAGGAAAAACCTCTCAAACATTTCCATCCTCCTGCTCCATCAAAAGGACCCTAGGGTGTGGGTCAGTTCAGGGGGTGCGGGGATGGTTCCCATCTCTGCAGTCCCGTGGCAGACTGCGCCCCAATTTTACTTTGCAAATTTAACACTGGATGTCATAGGGCTGTGTTGGTTCACGCAGCTCTGCTAAATTGTGTTGATATCGGATGCAGATCCACTGGACTGGCAGACCGAGGTGGTGGTCCCCCTATTTAAAAATGGTGACAACAACAGGGTGTGTTCCAACTACAGGGGGATCACACTCCCAAGCCTCCCTGGTGAGGTCTATTCAGGGGTTCTGGAGAGGAGGGTCCAGCAGATTGTTGAACCTCAGATTCAAGAGGAGCAATGTGGTTTTGGTCCTGGTCGTGGAACACTGGACCAGCTCTATACCCTGAGGGGGTCCTGCAGGGTGCGTGGGAGTTCACCCAACCAGTATATATGTGTTTTAGATGGGGGGGGGGGGGTGGGAGTACTCTGGGAGTATGGGGTACCAGACCCTCTGGTTCAGGCTGGAAGGTCCCTGTATGACCGGTGTCAGAGCTTGGTCCACATTGCCACCAGTAAGACGAGCTTGTTTCCAGTGAGAGTTGGACTCCACCAAGGCTGCCCTTTGTCACAGATTCTGTTCATAACCTTTATGGACAGGATTTCCAGGAGCAGCCAAAGTGTTGAGATGATCTGTTATGGTGGCCTGAGGATCAAGTCTCTGCTCTTTGCAGATGATGTGGTCCTTTTAGCTGTATGAAGTCATGATCTCTAGCTTTTGCTTGAGCGGTTCGCAGCAGAGTGTGAAGCTGCCGGGATGAGAATCAGCGTCTCTAAATGTGAGACCATGGTCTAATTTCTGTGGAGGTTGAAAAAATATATATAATAAAGTGGTTCTCGCACATTTGTCTAAGAACCTCCACCAATAACACGTTTAAGACCAAAACCAACCATCGGATCATCCAGTTGTTGGTCTGGCCGAATCGCTGCTCCTCCCTGGGCCCTCCACCCATCACACACTCACGCATTCAGCACCAGAACACCACAGGTGTGAGAGGTTCTCCACTCAATAACATCAGAGAAGGAGAAACATCCAGCTGCTACCACTTCAGCTTGAGGACAAACTACCGTAGTTCCAAAAAGAAAAAAACACCATCTGGGTGACCAGAAAGGAGCTTTTAAATAAAATGTATTATTATTATTATTATTATTAAAAACACCAAATAGTTTAACACTTTAAGCTATTCATTTAAAGGAATACTAAGCAGTTTTGGCTTGCTTTTAACCACCCCTTAATGTCCGTTAGTAAAATCCATTTGCTTGCTGTGCATTCGTCTATTTTAACACCTTAACCTAACAGCTGAAACGTCCCCGGCCTTCATTAGTGTCTACAGGAGTGATTCATCACTAAATCAAACAAATCAGCTGTGTTCATGACCTCATACATGCGGGAGATGTGCTGGAAGCAGACTCCAGTGCAGGGCAGGCATGTCAGCTCCTCTTTACTAAGACCAACAGGGACCGGACCACCACTCTGAAGTGGCAAGTGCAAGATTCTGGTCACAGGGGTGGTGGGATCTGAATGACGTTTCATTAACCCTGTAAAGGGTCATTTTAGCACACAGTAGCTCAAGAAAATGATTTGAAAATGTGAAAAAGTTGCATTGTATGCCTCTAATAGGATTTCCGTGAATGTCTAGAAATTTGACCATCTTTACCTTGGATGGCACTCTGCAGCCCTCTGCTGACCAGAAACGGCATTGAACAGATTTGTGGGATGGGTATGTACCTCAGGAGATCTCTAGCTGCTTACTGGCTGTTAGTTGTTCACAGTGCCAGTAGCGGATATACAATGAGTTTCTTCAGTTCGACAACCGTCAAAGAGTACAAGAAGAAAAATCAGCTTTTAGGTTGGCATTATAGGGCCTGGAGGTAAGAGAGTGATGTCTTTGGAGATGAACCAAAGGGCTAAAACTAGTGAACACCACTAAGGCCAACGCTCGTTTGAGGAAGCTAAAGGAGGCTACGAGATCATGGCCTGATGGTGACCTTGCTTTGTTGCTACTGGACTTTTCTCTCTAGCGACAAATCAGGACCAGAGTCGTCTCAAGGATCTTCACACAGTAAACAATACAGGTCAGGTCATTAAGCCAATCAGTAAAAAGTTTCCTATATAAGGAACCCAGCAGGTCGCATCGAGTCACTGTCTAGTGTCAGAGTCTTTAAAGCAATCATCATACTAAGCAAGCATGCAGCGACAATGGTGAGGAAAACTCCCTTGTAATATTTTTATTAGTGGTTTATTTTAGTATTTGTTGGCTCTTCTACACCGCAGTCATCAAGTCCATCCTCACCTCCTCAATCACCGTGTGGTACGCTGGAGCTACCATCAGGGACCAAAAGAGGCTGCAGCGTGTTGTACGCTCTGCTGAGAAGGTCATTGGCTGCCAATTACTCTCCTCCATACAGGACCTGTACACCTCCAGGTCATTGAGGCATGCAGGTCAGATCACAGCTGACCCGTGTCACCCTGGACAGTCTTTATGACTCGCTCCCATCTGGCAGGAGAGACAGATCCATTTGGACCAGAATCTCTTCTCCTCTGCAGTTGAACTCATGAATGAAAACCCTAGGACCGCCCACTCTAGTCACCTGACCCAGTGTTGTGTTTGTACCTGAACTGATCGCTCTGATCGGGACCTACACTGTTTATAGCAGCCGCTTCTATAATTACTGCCACTCTATATGAATTATTTTATCTTGAGTATATTACTACTTCCTATATTTGCTTATCTATTATTTTTATCTTCTTTTGCACCAAGTACCGCAGCAACTTCCTAACGTTGTGATTTCTCACGTGTGCCAATTCGACCTTCTGATGTTAGTGTTAGCTTGTTGTTCGTGCTAGCTGAAGCAGATTGTGCCTCTGCTTCCGGCCAGTAGGATGGAAATGCAGGAGGACACTGTTTAGTGTTACGTTATCTCAAATAGGTAGTTAGCATGTAGGTAGTCAACTCAAGTAGGTAACCTGTGTGTAGTTACTGTACTTTTGTACGAGCACTCCGTCATCCTCCTCCAGCCCATGGGGATGCCCCCGGTGGGCGGGGCCTCTGTGTTAACGGTTCCACTGTCTGCCGTTTCCGCTGCTACCGTGTCTTCCATCTCCGTCTTGATGAGGAACTCCAAAATATCCGTGTTCTCCTGGTTCGGGTTGGCCTGGGTGCTGGGGTGGTGAACAGTGCAGTCAAGGGTGTCTGGACTCAGGACCAGATCGCTGCTGTAGAGGCGACCTTGCATGGCCTCGTCCATGATCTGGAACCAGGGCCAGGACTCCACCACCGCTCCGATGCGCTCCTGGGCCTCGTAGGGCTGCTTCAGGTCCTGGAAGAGGAACACAGCGACTCCTGCAGACTCAGACCAGCATATGCACCAGGGATGAACCCGCTTCAGTACCTTATACTTCGTCCGCAGGTTGTCCCATTTCTTAGCAATCTGGTCTGCTGTTAGCTTCCCTTCCAGACCCAAACCTCTCAGGATGGTGCTGAGAAGACCAGAGACACCAGGAAGTACAGGGAGGTCAGAAACCAACTAAAGCCTCACACTTGAAGTTCACGAGTCATGAATTCAGATCCATCTTTTACTTTTTATTTCCAGGTGTGTCCACCGTTACCCAGAAGGTTCCTGCTCTGGTTCTGGTACACTAGTTAACCCACAGATTTAAGTAACTACTGTTAGCAATTAGCCGAGTTTACGGAGAGGAATGCCGACTCCAGCTGAACCAGAATCTGTTCCCACAATAAATGGGAAGCTTGATAAGTTCAACCACACATCCCAGAGCTGGCAGGTTCTTAGACCAAGTCTGACAGGAACCTGGATTTCACCTCTTGTGGGTTCTGGACCGGACCACCAATTAAGTCCTGGTGGGTGGTACTGGCCCGGGTCTGACATCACCTCACCTCCACGCGATCTTGGCTGAGTTCCTCTTCCCTGTGAACAGAACTTCATTGGACGCTCGGAACCCAATCAGCCTCTTCACGTCCTCCTCCGTCACTGCAGTGGACAGGTCAGAGGTCAGAGGGACCGAGTGGCTCCTTCCCACAACGCTTACGGAGATACTCACTCTTATAGGTGTTCTCCTGGAGCTGCGGGTCCATAATGGTGATCATTGAGACTCAGACCCGGATCCGAGAGGGAGCTGGGGTTCGGGTCATCCTGCAGCCCAGGTTCCGTCCCCAGTGACTGGAGTCAGTCCCACTGTGTGGAGTACCGGTGAGACGTTAAAATAAACGGGCTGCCCGCTAGCTACGGGGGCTAACGGGACTCAAACCGACAACGAACAGAGCTTCCTTCTGCAGACACACTCCGGTATCAAAGGAACAAGGCTGGTTCCGACAGCCCCTGCTCTTGGGGCTTCAAGCCATCCCTCCCGAAGCGGGTAATTACACCGCTACCGAGCGACACCGGAGCTAGCTGCTGGACGAACCCCGCTGAGAGAACGCTCGTTAACCCGAACCAGCGCCGCCGGCCGTCAGGAGGGGCGGGACAGTCCGGACCTCGGTGCGTTCGATTTACCTCGGAAGTCTAAACTCGGAACTGGGAGTGACGACACACTCGGCTTTCTGGTCGCCTTCGTCGGAGAAGCGGGAACGCCCCTTTTCCCTCTGGTCCTGATTCCGCTTCTCCTTCTGGGTTTTGAGACCTAATCTTAAACGGCGGGCTGTACTGGTGTGGTTTACTAACGCGTTGGGTTTGTTGGCTCGAAGCCCAAGGCTTCTCTTGGATTAGGTTGTTTTTCCTCTCATTTTCCTCTCATTTTTGAGTGGACCGTTTCACTAATAAATTGGAGAAGTGGAAAAGAAAACGTGATACTTAAGAACAAAAATACCCCCCCCCCCCCCAAATGGTCCAGACTCGGCTCTCCTGAGCGGCTTCAGCTGCACCTATGTCCCTTTTTGTACGCTCACTTTTCAGTTGGCAAACATTAATAAAATTTCCTTTCTTGCATTGCTTGTATTTTATAAAGTCATTTTTATAGTCATGCAGAGTTGGCAACCCTCATTCTTTCACCAAGCTCTGTCCAGGGGGCTCACATTGTCCAGCGTATGAACGCTAACCCCTTCCTGCTTGATGATCTCACTCACACACTCTCTCTCTCACATACACACATGTGTGTCTCATCTGCACCCACAGCAGCTTTAAATGCTCATAAAATACAGATGTAACAAACCAGTGTGGTTCCCAATCCTGGTCCCGGAGGGCCAGTATCCAGAAGGTTCTAATTTTAACTCTGTTACAACACACCTGATTTTAATCAGCAGGTGATTAGCAGGCTTTTGCAGAGCCTGATGAGCTTCCGTACAGGTGATTCAACCACTGAAACATGGGGAGCAGGGAAACCACTAAAACATGGAAACTGGCCCTTAAGGACCAGGAGTGAGAACCACTGCTGTAAACTGCTGTTGGTTAAAACAGCGGGAATGTGACTCATAATCAGAAACCAGGCAGCAGAAAAGCCCTCCTACACACCTATGTGTCTGAAAGGTGTTTATCTGCCCCAAAACACAACTGTGACAGGAAACATGGATACGAAACGTAAATTAAGATTATATTTAAACGGAGCCTCGTCTGATTTTTGTGGAACATAAAGTTGAGCTGTTTTGTATTTTTCTAGTTTCACAAATCTTTGAAATCCACCCGGATGTAGTTTTATTTTGACAGTTTGGACCGGAAGCTGTGTAGTCATTAGTTGTACCTTCTCGTGTCGGTGTGATGGGGAACTGATGGAGCCGTGCTGCGGACCGCAACCCGGTGAAGGTGAACGGATCAGAATCACCTGAATCCGACCAGCTGACATCCTTAAAGGTGAGCTCACGTGACAGAACGCAGCTGTGCGCGCGCTCACTAGGACGTGCGTGTCGGTGCTGGTGTTTGATGATCAGGCTGAAGGTGATGCGACGTGATGGAGTCAGAGATCTGCGATCCTGACCGGGACTTTTCCGGTTTAGACCGGTAGACCAAGCGGAGGTTCAGGCAGTATCCCGGTCCCAGAATAAAAGCATAAATGCCCAGAGCCGCTGGACCTGGTCACGTGATTCTCTAGTCACAAATAACGGGACGGAATCAATCTTCAGATTAACGATCAGATCGAGTTTGATTATTTAGGATTCATTTGTAAAACAACCATCAGGTAAAATCTCTGAGCAAAAACAACCCAATTAACTCATTCATAACAAACGGAATCAGAAAGCCAATCAGAGCGCAGTGACTCCAGAGGGCAACAGCACAGAGGGGGCGGAGCTTCACATCATGATTCAGGATCGTTCTGTTTGTTGACTTTAATCCTCTATATTTTGTGTTGTGAATGAACTTCCTTACCAATAAAGATTGATTGACAGATTCCCCCCCCCCCCCCCCCCCCCCCCGTGTGTGGCCATGATGGAGAGTAAAGTGTAGGTGTGTGTGGTAAGTGTGTTGGTAAGAGTCTGGGAATGCCATGTTTATCATAATACGATGTATATCCATGCTAGAGCCTGACAACATTTTCAATCTAACACTGAATTTAGTTGGAAGTCAGGTCCAGCGCTACCCCTACCCTAACTCTTTTACAAAATAAACGTTTATTTCTGCTCATAATTGTTTAGAAAAGTCACCAAATCGTTATTATTATTATTATTGTCCTAGTTTGCTTGAGGAATGTAAAATATTATGTTTACAAGAGACTTCCTGCCTAAACAGGACTAATAAAACCTAAATTCTTATGTTTTGGGAGTGGGGGGGGGGGGGGGATCCCCGACTGACCTCTGAACAGCTGTAGTCAAGGGACGGGCTTTGGGACAACACAAGTGATGCTGTGATTAAGCCAGAGTGCATGTAGTTTGGTGCACTGGCATACAAAATATCCAGAATAACAATAGTTTAGTTATGCTTAATATTTAGATTCCATATGAAACTGCTGGAAATGAATGGTAATACCTTAGTAGGCTGGCATTTATCAATGCATTTATTCAAAGTGACAGTACTCAGTTTATTTGTTGTGGGTGACGTTAATGCTGACCTCTCAGATAGAAACGCTCCGTTTGCTAAACACCTAACACAGCTGTGTGAAGACAATAATCTTATTTTATCTAGCAAAGTCCTTTTGCCAGGAGACAGTGATGCTTGGCATACAGCTGATGGGCTTGGATCACATGACTGTTAGGTACGGTAGCTGCGTCAGACCTTTACCTTTCCCTATAATTGTGGAACAACTGCCTGATACAATTGGAGTTTTTTATGTCAATAATTCTGATAAATGGCCTGTATTTGACATAGCGCCGTCTAGAGTCCTAGAACCCCCCAAAGCACTTTACAACACAGTCATTCACCCATTCACACGCTGGTGGAGATGAGCTATGATGTAGCCACCGCTGCACTGGGGCGAACTGACAGATAAAGTTAGAATGGGCAGCATTTAGAGACAAAGACATGTTGCGTTATAGCAATAATACAGATCAACATCTAAACAACATCTCTGTGGCTGACGAGGCGATCCGTGCAAGGATGTCGACTGTTGGAATGGTGAACATAAAGGTGAACTCTGCTCTGTGCGTGAGGACACAGTGAAGCTATGTATGGAAGTGGTAAAAACACTTGATAGTAGCAAATCACCGCTAGCAGGGTTAGGGGTAGCATTATGGAGAAAACATTATTATACACTGTCAAACAGTTTAAAAGGTCATCTGCAAGATGAACCAATAACCTATTCACTAACTAGCTGATAATAAAGCCCGTTGTCCGGATCACATCAGCGCAGAACATTTGAGATGTGCTCGTCTACACCAGCTCCCTGGCGTCCCTGGTTCATCGTGAGGATCTTCTCTTACTGGTATGCTCACCAGAAGATGCAGGTTGGATGGGGAAGCAGCATACCAACGTCTGATTGGTAGTCATAGTAAATATGAATGTTTACAAACTGATAAATGATAAACTGATACCTGGTTGAAACACACATCCTTACTTTTCTTTTAAATTGAAGATGTGTGTGATCCAGCGCCTGAGGCAAAGCCGATTACAAAAAAGCTCTCTTAGCCCCCGTTCAGGGACCCATGAGCCAACCAGAACGGGAGGAGTTTAAGCTTCCTATTGGGACACCTTATGCACTCGCACCCCTGGGCGGGAACCAACGTGCAGTTGAAGGGAGCAAAGGTGGAAGTTGACTGCCTTATGAGAAATGGGACGCTACGGTGGCTGAAAGGTGCAAACAGCACAAGATGTGGCTTCTGGTTTTCAAAATTAAATACCAAAAAATGATAAAATTCACTAATGAAATAAATACAAATATATAAACCTCTCTGATTACATTTTGAGCTCTGTTAAACAAGCCCTTGCAACTTGGCAAAAGAGCTTTGAGCACTTGGTACGTCCACTTGGGACGAACTGCAGGACAGCTGGAGAATGGCAGAGTTCATGTCGTTGACCTTTTTAAATCTAAACTAAGAAATGTTGAGGCCAACTCCATGACATGTAATTGTCTCGTGATTAAAAACTCTATACTACACTGGTCAGCCAATCGAATCAGCTGAAAGGGAATCAGTTATCGCCAACGCCCCAGCATCCTGAAGCACGGACATTTGTCTCCGCAGTCCAGCCTGACCGCGGTTAGACAAATCCACCTTTTCTCTAGAACCTGTCAAGATGAAAATCACGAGGTGCTTAAAATAAAACAAAACACAAAACATAAAAAAGATAATAAAAAAAAGATTAAAAAATATGTTTAAATGAGAAAAAAATTGAGATAAAAAATAATAAAAATGTATGGAAAGAGAGAGAAAATGAAGAGGAAAGAGGGAAACCAGTGGATCCTGGGAAAGGTGGAGTAAGAGCAGAACAAGGAGAGGGAAGTGACGAAGGTCCAACCAAACCTGAACAGGTGAGTTTAAAGGAGTCCACTGATCTCAGGCTCAGGGGGAGAGAGTTCCAGAGTCTGGGGGCCACAGCAGCAAATGATCTGTCACCTTTGGTCTTCAGCCTGGTGCTGCACAACCAGTAGGCTTTGGTCGCTGGACCTCAGGGACCTGCTGGGGGTGTAGGGACTGAGAAGATCACCAATGTAAGATGGTGCTTGTCCATGTAAGGCCCTATAGACCAGAACCAGGATCTTGAAATGAACCCTGAAGTTGACTGGCAGCCAGTGAAGCTGGAGGAGAAGCGGGGTGATGTGGGTGTGTTTGGAGGACTTGGTCAGAAGCCGAGCACAGGCGTTCTGAACCACCTGTAGACGGTTCAGGGAGGTTCTGCTCAGACACGTGAAAAGAGAGTTACAGTAGTCTAAGCGTGAGGAGATGAAGGTGTGGAGAACTGTCTCAAGTTCAGAGCGGGACAGAATGGGACTCAGCTTAGCAATGTTCCTGAGATGGAAGAAGGAAGAGCGAACAAGAGAACTGACATGAGAATCCAGGGTGAGAGCTGGGTCAAAGGTCACACCAAGATTCCTGACGGAAGGTTTGGTGTGAGAAGCAAGCTGACCAAGAGAGTCTCTGACTTTGGGAACCAGCTTGTCTGGGGCACAGATGAGGATCTCAGTCTTATCTTCATTCAGCTGTAGAAAGCTCCCACCATCCAGGCTTTGATAGCGTCTAAGCAGGTGTGTAACAGCTGCAGCTTAGACATCTCATGGGGCTTAAAGGAGATGTACAGTTGGATGTCATCTGCATAAAGATGGTAGGAGATTCCTTTGAAGGAGCTCAAGGTGTGCTCTGGTAGGTAGGGGGGTGAGTTACTCTTTAAGTAGGGTTTAGTAAGGATCTTGTACAGAGTTTTATAAACGATGCCCCTGAACTGTGGATCTGCTCTTATATTTATGTTTGTGCAGCATCATGCTGGCCAGAAAGGGTCTCCTGCCAGATGGCTTCCTGCTGACCCGGCTGGCAGAGGACCAGAACCAGCCAAACCGCAGCCGTTCCAGATCCCAGAGAGCCCGCTTCATCACCAAGACTGGGTCCTGCAATGTGGCTCACAAGAACATCCGGGAGCAGGTAGACTGGTGTCCCCCCTCCCTCTGGTGTAGGCTGCCCCGAGACTACGACCTAGGGCTGGCTGATACTTGGAAACATCCCATCACGTTTCCATTTCCATACCAGTAGATATCCAACGATTTGTCAGTCTTCCATAGTCCCTGCTGCTTTTGGGGTGCTCGTCTTTTCCAGTGGTGTCCTACCTGTTGTTACCTGCAGTAAGAACCTATAACTACACAAGTGTTAGCCATTAGCCGCTAGCTGTCTTCTACCAGGTGGCTCTAAAGCAAAACAGTCATTTATTTCCCTTTTCCAAAGAATCTGTTTTAAAGATAAAGTCGATATTCAGATCAGCAGCAGTGAAAGTCAGACGAATACACGAGCCTGCAGCGTGAGCTCCTGTAGTCCAGAGCAGAAGAGACCGCGGGAAAGTCACTCATTAGGGCAGCACATACACGGGCGTGGATTACACCAACCAGGTTTCATTTAAACTAGGACTAGCACTAATCAGAGATTAGTCAAACTAGTCTTAAACCAGGTTTAAAGTTGATCACCACTGTGATGAGTCTGATATAAATCTGAGGAGGTGGGTTTCTGAATTAAATTAATAATTAAAAAGGTTAAATATTTATACTCTATACATTGGAAGTGTGTAGCCTTAAAATAAAACTTTATAAACATTATAAACTGTTACCATATGTTTTTTTTTGCAACACTAGCAACAGCATTAGCGCTACTGGTTAGCTCAACCATGGCTCGCCAGAGAAGCTCGAACTTCTCTTCTTTTGAGAAGAACTTGCTGACCGAATTAAAGGAGCGGTACGAACAAATAATTACAGACCAAATAAAACCCAGACGACGGCACGGTGAGGAGTCAGGACTGCTCGGCAACAACTAGTTAGTAGGTTAACGGGTGGACTGGACTAAAAGAAAAAAAGAGACATCACGCAGCTAAAGGCTTGCTGGGAAAAGTTGAAAACAAAAGACAGAGAAGATGTTTGAAGAAACGCTCGACACAGAGAAAGGACCTCTGCCCAGAGAAGCTGATGAGCTGGAGAAGATCAGCTGCTTCCTTCTGGACCAGGTCCCCTCAGATCCAGCGAAGGTGGTGAAAATAAAATCATGCTCTACTGCTACTGCTATTATTACGACTTCATCTATTTTGGTTTATGTTTGGATCGAGATTGTATTATTTATAATGGAGCCAATGCAGCAATCAATCAATCAGATTTATTTATAAAGCGCTTTGCTTTACAAAATCACCCCAGATTCCAATAACAGGTTAAAAACATTAACAGACATATGCAAGCACACACACACACACACACACACACACACACACACACGTAAAAATTGTATTTGGCTGAGTCCAGATGAGCCATGTAAGGTAAGGCAAGGAAACGCCATCAGAGGAGCCATCTGCCCTGGCAGCATCAGGTCTTCCACACTAAGTCAGGGCGCTCAGTGGAGGGGGAGCATAGACCCCCACCTATAGAGCACCCAGGAAGCTGCAGTCGACCACCGCTCCCGTGGCAGAGGGCCCCTACAGAGGAAACACTGGATTAAAATGAGTAAAAATATAATAAAAGAGCTAATATAAGGGACAAAAATGAGAAAATAAGTAATAAATAAAATCATGTAGACAGTAAAATAATAATATTAAATAATGAAAACAATGCTAAAATATAATCATATAAAACATGCAAAGCAAGCATTAAAATATAATCATGTAAAACGAGAAATAAAACTGTAGTAAATATTTAGATAAAAGCGAACCTAAAAAAGATGGGTCTTGAGCCTGGACTTAAAAACATGAACGTTCTCTACGGCCCTGAGGTCCTCTGGCAGCTCGTTCCAGAGGCGAGGGCCATAACACTGGAAGGACGCCTTGCCGTGTGTGTGTGTCCTGACTTTAGGGATGACCAGGAGACGCCTGCCAGAGGAGCGCAAGAAGACAGTGCTGCTTCCTCTTCCACGTCCTCTTCTTTGTCAGGCAGCAGCATGAGCAGCATGTGACACACCAGGAAATACTGATTTTAGAGAAGGTTGAAATGGAAATAGAGAATACCAAATTATAAAAAGAAGTCCTAAAGCTGCAGAAGGAGGCGTTGCTGATAAATAAAAGGTGCAGAAGGAGAGGTCCGCACCTGTTGTCTGTTTTTTGTTCTATAAAGAGAATTTAACATGTTTGTAATCATTTTAAAATGAATTGTGATTCAAATGTATAATACCATATTTACTTAATGTTTCTGTGGTTTACTGTCAGAACCGCGGGGAATGGTCCGACCAAACACTCGAGCCAATTTCACATATTAGAAATGTATGCAGGTCTTTCTGTAGGTAAGGAGATTCTGGTAGAAACCCTGTGGGTTGGTGTATCTTGCACCGTGGGATGTCATTCTTTCCACACATCCACTATTCCCATTTAATTCATCAAAGCTTTAGTTTTTATATTGATGATGAACATCAAGTTCACTAGGGAGGATGTCCACAACCACCAACTGCCCTTCTTGGACTGTGCTGTGCAAACTGAACAAGATGGAAGTCTCAGCATTGAAGTCTACAGGAAACCAACTCACACAGACCAGTATCTGCATTTCCACTCACATCACCCACTGGAGCACAACATGTCAGTCATCCGGACTTTACACCATCGGGCTGAGGACATTCCCACAAAGACTGTAGAAAGGGTTAGGGTTGGAAAAACATGAAGAAAACTCTCAGCAAGAGTGGATAACAGAGCCAACAACAGTCATAGAAGGATTTTAGCAGATGGGAATTAAATCCGAAGGACCTCAGCCTCCTTAGGAGGTGGAGGCAGCTTTGGCCCTTCTAATACAGAGTATCTGTGTTGCGTTCGTTTGTGTCCTTATTCACATTTTGACAGTTTTGATTTTCAGTCTCTGTGTGCCTGTGCACGATGCTCACCATTTATTCAAAGCATGGTAAATGTCCTGTACTTGTATGGCCCCTTCTTAAGGTTCTACAACCCCCCAAGGCGCTTCACAACACAATCATTCATATACCCATTCACACATACATTCACACGCTGGTGGGGATGAGCTACGATGTAGCCACAGCTGCCCTGGGGCGCACTGGCAAGGCAGGGCTGTGTGTGTACAACAGCAGCATTCTCTGGTCAGAGCCGGGATTGAACCTGCAACCTTCCGATTAATGGACAACCCGATGTACCTCCTGAACTACTGCTGTCCCAGCTGTGCATGTGCACCTCAAACGCGAAACTCAGTTCCACAACTAGGTGGCACTAACACAAAACAGACAGTGTGTCCTGCTTTTAATATCATAATGACCTAGATGAACACCCTAGGAGGGATATTAGTGCTGCAAACATGAGCTAATCGAGGGTTTGTATTGTCTCAGGGTCGGTTCTTGCAGGATGTCTTCACCACCATGGTGGACCTTAAGTGGCAGCACTCGCTCCTCATCTTCACGTCCGCCTTCCTCTGTTCCTGGATGCTCTTTGCCATGGCTTGGTGGCTCCTGGCCTTTGCTCATGGAGACTTGGAGCCCCGTGACCCAGACAGCGAGCCAGGTCCCATCCCCTGTGTCACTGCCATTCACTCCTTCACCTCAGCATTCCTCTTCTCCATTGAAGTCCAGGTGAGAAGGTCTGACTGTTAGCTCACTGCTGGAGTCTGGGCTGTTTGGTGATCTTCTGCTGTCTTCTCTAGGTGACCATTGGATTTGGAGGCAGGATGGTGACAGAGGAGTGCCCAGTGGCCATCATTGTTCTGATCATCCAGAACATTCTGGGACTGATCATCAATGCTGTGATGCTCGGCTGCGTGTTCATGAAGACAGCACAGGCTAACCGGCGAGCAGAGACACTCATCTTCTCCAGAAACGCCGTCATCGCCACCCGAAACGGCCGACCCTCCTTTATGTTCAGGGTAGGGGATCTACGGAAGAGCATGATCATCTCAGCCACCGTCCAGCTGCAGGTCAACCGTCAGACACACGAGACACCACCGCACCTACACAAACCTCCTAGACACTGATGTGACTCAGCTGTGTGTCCTCAGGTCATCCGTCGCACCGTGACGTCGGAGGGTGAGGTGATCCCGGTGTGTCAGCTGGACATCCAGGTGGAGAACCCTCTGAGGAGCAATGGCATTTTCCTGGTGTCCCCTCTCATCATCAGCCACACCATAGAGCGAGGAAGTCCTCTGTATGAGCTGTCTGCCCAGTCTCTGTCCTCCGAGGACCTGGAGATCATCGTGATCCTGGAAGGTCAGTGTAGAAAACAGCTTCCACCTGTCCCAGTGATCCTCACATCTCTCGTCTTTCCCCTGAAGACTAGCGAGAGAGAAAAAGCGCTCCTGTTGCTGCTCCACCCTCCCCAGTGCACCCCCACAGTCAGGCCCCAGTGGTACATCCCTGTGTGGGTGCTTGAGGGACATGCGAACACAGGGTGGACTCATTGTGACTATCCTTCGTGTCCCTCCAGGTGTGGTGGAGACAACGGGGATCAGCATGCAGGCTCGGACCTCCTACACCCCTGAAGAGATCCTGTGGGGGAGACGGTTTGTGTCCATCATCACGGAAGAGGACGGCAGGTATTGCGTGGACTACTCCAAGTTCGGAAACACGGTTCCAGTCCGGATGTCCTCACTCAGTGCCAAGGAGCTGGACCAGACCCGAGGAGTCCAGGAGGGGACATCGGAGACCCAGCTGCAGGGGTGGGGGCTTGTTAGGGCTGGCAGGGGTGGGTTCCGTAGAGGAGGCCGGGCCTGCGATGGCTCCACCCATCAGCCATGGTACGCCCAATCACAGCAGAACATGGAGCAGAAGGGGCAGAAGAAAACCGTTCAGCTGGAGGAGATTGGACGGCAGGTAGAGGAGGACGAAGTCGGAGACATGAGTGACTGACGTGTGTCTGAGGCCCCACCCCACCCACCTGGACCTCATCAAGCAGATTAAGGACAGAAATCCAAGCTAAATGTTGGACACATGAGGCATGTTTCCTTTAGCAAAATTCCAGGGTAGTTCCTGGGATGGGGAACATGACCAGGAGACAGGATGTCCCAGTCCTCTCAGCTGTTGTCTCCATTCAAACCCAGCCCTCTCAGATCACGACTGTTTGGCAGTGACTGATGTCACTGATCAGCCCCAAAAAGTGCCCAAAGTAACAACAATAACATTTATTTTATAGAAGTAGATCAATAATTTAATCTAACAGAGACGGTTCCTGAAAACGGCCCGATCAGGTGGAGACGATGTGGGGAAGTTCCTGTAAATCTACCCTGAAGTTCTTGTAGTGGAACCACGCCTAACGTCTTTGTGGGAGTTGGTTATTGTCCCAGCAGGACTTCTATATGGTCACAGTGGAGCTGAAGGACCTGGACCCAGATGGTCCTCTTGTTGATGTCCTTCCTCAGGAACACCTCAGTTGTCCTGGTTCCTGTGGATGTCTCATCTCTTTGATCTGTTCATAAACATTTTTGTGTCCAGAAAAATAAATTATCTCTATGAATGTTTGTTAGCTTCTTGCAACAGGAAGTTTGTCCCCGGGTTGGAAAGTTCTCCTCCTATTGTCAGGAGAATGATCTAATGTCCGACAGCAGAGGGCGTTTGTGATGTTTTCATGGCTCGATTCATAAAAGTGAACGTTTTAACTGGTGATTCTGTTTAATGAATGAATGAATGAAAATGTTGGGAATATCCAGAGAGGGTTACAGGAACATCAGACAGAAGTTCTGACCTTGACAGGGGTCCAAACACAAACCACAACCAGAAAGAAAAACACGGAAGTGAACTTTTTATTAGGAAACTGACAGAAAATGAGAAAAAAACTAAAATGTTTTTTATTTAGTTTGACCTGAGAAGCAGAAACACGCTGACATCGACCTAGAGCAGGTTCTACATCCAGGACCAGCAGACACTCAGCAGGGAACCCATCAGAGCTACAACCGGTGTCGCCACGGCAACGCCAGATCCTGAATTGCACAAGTTGCTGTTGCAGCATCTGTAGGTGAAGCTGGAGATGGACGGGAACATCTGGGTCAGACGGGAGATGTCGCAGTCGGTGTAGCGGGTACACTGACGGACCGTCTTCCCACCTGGACACACACACACACACACACACACACACACACACACACACACACACACACACACACACACACACACACACACACACACACACACACACACACACACACACACACACACACACACACACACACACACACACACACACACACACACTTAGGTGAGACAGTCCTTTTTTAACTGATCAGCTGTTTAATCCCCCCCCCCAGTAATTCTTCTTTGGTGTCTTCATTGGCCGTTGCCATGGAAACCATTTTTGGGGAACTGACCTCTTTCATGCAGAGAGATGCACGAGTCTTCGTACGTGCACTCCTGCACGTTCTCGCAGCGGCCCGTGTAATCAGAACACTTGTAGCAGCGAAGTCCGGAACCTGAAGAACACATTTCCTTTAGAACCGGTTTGAGTGTCCAGAATCCCTTCCTGAGAACCCCAGAACCTGTCTGGACCTGGACACAAAGGGTTCAGCTAGCGCTGGAGAACGGAACAGAACATTTCCTGGTTCTACAGCCCGATTCTGAGATGTTCTGCTCAGCGGTGGAATCCAGAGAGGTTGTTGAACCAAAAACACAGTTCTGTTCTAACCTTTGACCTCAGCTTACCCTCGCTCTCTCACCAGTGTGTCTGATTTCAAGGTCCAGTTGGTCCCGTTAAGTCCACATCAGAACCAGTTAAAACCATGTGAGAATCTGTAGTCTCCTAAGTTCTGGTCCACTCACCCTCAGGCAGCATCCCAGAGCAGAGCAGCAGAACCAGAACCAGAACCAGGCAGTGCTTCATGTTGTCTTGCAGCTGGAGGGAAGCAGGAGGCAGCAGAATGTCCGTCTGTCCTCTGTGACCCAAAAGGGACAACTGTCCACTCACAGCAGCTCTTTGTCCTTTGGACCACAAAGGCTGGCTGTCCGTTGCTCCTCCTCCTCTGGGTACGTGTCTCCGCCCACCCGTCACATCTGGGTTTAAACTCAAAACCAGGTTCAGAACATTGAAGGGTCCGAGACCACGTTCTGGAAAATCTGTTTTCATGAAAACCCAAAGACACGAGACGTTCTGGTTGCTGACCCGATGCAACAGAACTTTTGGTTCTCGTCAGAGTCCATTGGACTCTTGGCAGCTCCAGATCAGTTGTTGGGACTTGAATATTAAAATCTTAATCTGACTGGTTCTGGTGGTTGGCCCATTCTCTGCAACAGTCCCAGTTCTTCCGGTGCTGCTGACCAGAGTCCAAATGGCTGTGATGAAAAGTTTTGTCCCCTGGAGACAGACCCGTCCTTGTGTTCATGTCGGTTCTGAAACTGTGTTTTGATGCTTTGAAGGATAGAAGTCTTTGTTAGGTGGCATTTGGATCAGAACCTCTGGCTTCCCAAGATCTTTCCACCTCCCACTGTGTCGATCCTTCCACCTCCCACTGTGTCTTTACAGCAGCTGAATCCAGTTCTAGTAGAATATCCAACAGAACCTTCATCAGCACCAGTGTTGTTGGAAGAGTTCTGGTCAGTCCAACACCTCAGGTCATGGAGGTACGCAGACATTGGTTCTGTTCAGCTTGGCAGAAGGTTTCAGTAAGGTTCTGGCCCAGGTTTGGCCCCCATTGGCCGATTCTACCCGCCAATCAGACGCCCTCCTAATGGTAGGCATGAATTTGATCCAGCCAATCAGACGGCAGTAGGTGTGTAGGGTCAGTTCAGCCCGAAACAGACCACCTGGGGAAGAGGTCTGACAAAACGACTGGTTGAGCCCAGATGTGAACACTTTCACCACACCTGGGCGGGATTGGGCTGGCCCAGATGCGGAAGCAGCATTTGTGAGCTCCATATTGTTCCCTGACCAATTTTCTCCCTTCTTTTCTTCTTTGAGCTGTTTTGTGGTGGTTAGTGTGCCACGTCCATTACTGCCACCTTTGGAGTGAAGTGGGACTGGGACCAGGATTCTAAATATTAATGTCATGGAGAAAAACATGAACATGGCGCTATACACGCCAGGAAGATTCCTACTTATCCTGGAAAAATAGTCTTGTGCTTTCAAAAAATAAGCTTTGACAAGCTAGACCTGCTTATTTTTCATCGCTAATTGAGGAGAATGAGAATAATCCAAAATTTCTTTTCAGTACAGTTGCCAAACTTACACAGAATCAAAGCTCTGAACCATCTTAGCCCTCAGCAGCAACAACTTTATGGGACTTTTTCATCAGCAAAATTAATTCTATTAGAAACAAAATCATTAGCATCCTCCCTAATGCAATTTCTTCTTCTTGTGTGTTTTAGCAGCTTATGTGCTACAATAAGTCAGAGATATCCTAGTACACAGAAATGTAATAAATTTTAGCACCGAATAGCTACATGTAGTGCAACACTGAAAACAGGAAACGCCTTATCGCAGATACTGCCACCTACCAGAAGACGCAACCATTCTTTACCTGCATTATTTCCTGTTATTTCAGCTGTTAACTTTATTTTCTCTCTAAGTGTTTTTCTCCCCAGAAGAAGCTACAATGATGTTCTGCTGAGCTGTGGTGCCCTCATGGAGGGGGCCATCGGCTAGCACACTACTGCTAACCACTTAAACATTCTCCCTCTCCTGATAATAACATTTTACTCTCTCTGACATTGAATGTGCTACTACTAGTTTACCCGTTTAATTATAGATTCACTAGGATAAATACAATAACGTTTATCTCTCACCAAATAGAATATTTACTAAGAAATCACAATGTAACCATAGAAACATTACTTGGTATATGTGTGTGTGTGTGTGTGTGTGTGTGTGTGTGTGTGTGTGTGTGTGTGTGCGTGTGTGAGAGAGAGAGTGTGTGTGTGTGCGTGCGTGTGTACATGTGTGCGCGAGTGTGTGTGTGTGTGTGTCTGGTTGTGTGTGTGTGCATGCATGCGCGCATGTCTGGTTTTGTGTGTGTGTGTGTGTGCCTGTGTATATGTGTGTGTGTGTGTGTGTGTGTGTGTGCGTGTGTATATATGTGTGTGTGTGTGTGTGTATATATGTGTGTGTGTGTGTGTGTATATATGTGTGTGTGTGTGTGTGTGTGTGTGTGTGTGTGTGTGTGTGTGCAAGCGCGCGTGCGAGTGTGTGTGCGTGTGTCTGGTTGTGTGTGTGTGTGCATGCGTGTCCGGTTGTGTGTGTGTGTGTGTGTGTAAATATGTGTGTGTGTTTATGTATGTGTGTGTGTGTGTGTGTGTGTGTGTGAGAGAGTGTGTGTGCGTGTGTGCATGTGTGTGTGTGCGTGTGTATGTGTGTGTGTGTGCGTGTGTGCATGTGTGTGTGTGTATGCGTGTGGTGTGTGTGTGTGTGTGTCTGTCTGTCTAAAAAATGTAGACATAATAAGTAATGAATACCACTGACGTGTGCTTTATTTAAAATGTACTTTCTCATGTATAATTAGGTTATTTTTGAACAATAAGTTTGTTTCCATATGAAAAGGTTCAACCGTACACATCTGTAAAGGAAAATGTGCACATTTGTCATCACTTTTTCAATAAATATGAAGTTTTTCATTCAGCCCAGTGTGAATTTGAGTTGGACACTCGTGCTGTAGACCATGTTGAATTGGTAATGAAGTTCAAGATGTAAGTGGAGGACGTATATATTACTTTGTACTTTATTTCATAAGTGAATTTTATTTTGAAAAATGAAAACCACATCTTGCGCTGTTTGAACCTTTCAGCCACCGTAACTTCTTGCTTCTCACAAGGCATGTTATTGTAACATGCTTATTAACATGTTACAATAACATGTTAAGTTATTGAGTCTGTAAACACAGAGCAGAACCACTTCACTTCATGAATACAGTCAGGAAAAAAACAAACAGCTGATCCAGTAATGCTGTGAAACGGTCTTTTCTACCAGAACCCTGACACTGGCTGTCTGCCAGACACTGGGACACTAGGAGATGGGGACAACTGGTACCAAAGGGACACTAAAAGACTGTTCCTTGTGTGTGACTCTGAAACAAGAGCAAAGAGATCCAGAACAGGGAATGAGCTGCACATGGGCTGGGTCACAGAACCTTCAGTGTTCCTGCTGGTTCTGGGTCTGACTTCATAGCAGAGGACTGTCTGAGTACAAGTCTTTTTCATCGTCTCATCAATCAGGAACCAATGTCTTCATCAGGCCAGGAGGCGGTCTTGTTTCTGTCTCATAAACCTTTTTTCATTGGTACTTGTGTTGACTGACACTAACATCCAACATCTGTAAGACACGACAGGGATTCATCCGTCCGGAGTATCGGCTCTAGCCAGTGGCGGAGCAAGGCTGAGCTGGGCTCTCGGTGCAAGTGTTGCTTTAGGCCCCCCTTAAATGCCGACCTAAGGAATCAAATCAGCGAATATTATTGTGGAAAGAGTCGTGATGATTGCAAATGGATCTGATTTAACCCTGACCCTAGCCCGTTCATCTAACCCTAACTGTGGACCAGGAAGAAAATCCCATTCAGATTAAAAACCTCATTTTCAAGGGAGACCTTGTCACAATAGGCAGCATATGCATCACACAAAGTTACATAAAACAGTTATACAGTTAAAACATGTAAAAACAACACAAATATAGTAAAATAGATTAAAAGTTGATTAAAAATGGTGAGAACTTCTGTTTCCTTTAACAAATCTGGCAAATCAAGAGCAATTATTTCCAAATCCACAAGACTTATTGTCCACTATGAGAGGACTAAACAACCTCAAATAAAAGCAGTGGCGTGCGTGAGGGGAGGGGCTATGTCGGTGACAAGACTGCTGTGCCTTTCAAAATAAAAGCTTGCAAGTGAAATATGTCAAAATCAAATTTTTTTTACCTCCACATTATTGGGGGGGGGGGGGGGGGTCAAATACATGTTTCCCCAATAAAGCATCCCCCCCCCCCCCCACACACACACAGTTACTACGGACTTGTATATACATGGTCACCATTTCTCAAATTTATATTTTATTTTTTCTCTAATCTGTGCTTATTTCTCATTTTTGCATACATCTTGCACATATGGTATTACGTCCTCTATTGGTGGATATGGAGAAGGACCGGGAGTAACACAGAGGCATGCGTTTCAGGTGTGGAAATTGTAAACATTGATTTTATTAAAAGGATTTTAAAATGACAAAAAGTTCTAAATCTACTTAAACACATTGTTAAAATGGCCAAGGGTTTACGTTTAAAACAGACATCCGAATGCTCCCAAACATTCACAAAACAAAGTCCACTGACTTAAACACAAGTTTGGGAGCCAAGAGGTAACCAGCACTCTGGTCCCTTGTCTGTTAAAAACCTCTAAAAGCTCTTAAGCTCCTCTAAGCTTAAAGAACTAAAACCCATTTAAAAGCCATTAAAACACCAATAAATGGAGCACATGAGAGAACTGGCACAGATCCAGTCTCTCCCTTACTCTTGGCAGCTCTCCCTTTTATGCTGCTCAGGAGGTGATCAGCCCAAGTGAGTGCAGCTGTGCAGGTAGGAGGAGGAGGCAATGCACTGATTGTCCTCTGCAGTGTCTGTTTTCTGAGGCAAACAGCAACAGCTGTAACATATGGCAATATCTGATTCTGAAACTCCTTCAGTAGAAATAAATGTGCTGGGAACATTAACCAGTCTTTGTCAGACACATGACCAATTCTTTTATTTATCTGCCCATAAACCATTATTTTATAGGAAGCAAATGGATAAGAAACACGTTAATAGTATAATTTATTAAAAAAAACATCGCTGTTCATATGTACTTTCCCATAACAGGTCATGCAAATCTCAACGGACATGCTCTTTAGGCCAGCACCCCACCGAAAAAAATTCACCAGCCACCGCTGTGGATGGGCCTTGATTAAACAAGTTATTATTAATATAAGCAGAAACATCTCCCACATGCAGAGGTCGCTACACTACTAAATAAAAACAGTCATGGTCGTTTCCTCCCGTCATTTTCATTTCACAGATAATAAATCATAACTTAATTTTCATTCATTTCTCATGAATATTTAGTCTAAACAAGCTGACAGCAACATATTAATGTTACGCTTAAACGACTTACCTGAAAGTAGGAACATTTCACCGGTTCTGGTTCTGCTGCTGGGCTGTGACCCACAGACAGGCTCTCCTCAGCGGATGATGGCGAGCTGATGATCATGGTGTCCAAGTCTGGAACAATGCTCAGATGTTCATGATTGGTCTCTTACCTCCATGATGTTCTCTGTGCGTGACGTTTAAATGTCTGCGCACCTGTGGTCGTGGTCAGCCTGTCAGAATAACCAACAGCCTTGAGATTTCTCCGTCAAAATAAACGGTGACAAACGAAAAATATCCGGTTAACGCGACTCCCGCCTGCATTGAACTTTCCGGCCTTCTTGTGAAGATAGCCCAGCAGCCCTTCACACAGCAGGAGAGACCATTTTCTACACATAGGCTCACTAGCAACCCACGTTTCCTTACACCTAGCTATCCCATCATGCAACGCGCTACAGCACCCCTACATCATCTGACTGACGCCCCATGGACCATAGACAAGATTATGCACAAACAGGTTGTTGTAGCCAGGCTGCACAGAAACGGCCATAGCTGCTTACTCTGTATTGACTTTGGAGAGTGAGGTGACCCATCCAATCTCGCGCCATCGCGTTATTATTCTCTCCAGCGCCCAGTGGGGCGCCTACGTATTCAGATTTACACTGGCTCCCAGTCAAATTTGGGATTAACTTCAAGGTCTTGTTATATGTTTACAAGGTTTTGTACTGCCCATCCCCATCCTATCTGACACCGCGGTCAAGTGAGCCGTCATTTGTGAGCAGCGGTCAAGCCAGCCGCTTCTTATCTGCCGCGTAAATTTCCTTGCGCTTTTACACTAGTCTTTACGGTACCGCATTATCGCTTTATCTCCCGATAGAAAGACTAGATCCGCGCGCGCGTCACACTCACACGTGCACACGACAACACAAATTGCAATGGAACTGCCCAATACACCATCGTGACAGTCTGGTTGCATATTAAAAAAATTCATTAAAAATCATCCTGAGTAGTTGATGTCCAACTTTCTAAACATTATTACTCTGGGACACCTACTGTACCTGTGCGCCAGATTTCAGACAGATTTGATGTAGAAATCCTCAGATATTAAAGCAAACTTGTATTCAGTCCAATAGAGTCAATACAATTATGTCCAATTCAAAAATTCATTAAAAATCATCCTGAGTAGTTGATGTCCAACTTTCAACACATCCCTCCTTTGGGACACCTACTGTACCTCTGTGCCAGATTTCAGACAGATTTACTGTAGAATTCCTCAGATATGAAAGCAAACTTGTATTCAGTCCAATACAGTCAATACAATTATGTCATTTTCAAAAATTCATTAAAAATCATCCTGAGTAGTTGATGTCCAACTTTCAACACATCCCTCCGGGACACCTACTGTAGCACCGGATTTAATTTTTTTAATTCCGTTTTCATGGTTCAGTTGCACACTTTTGGCACTTCGCACCATCTGGTAGCTTATTTCGTTTTATTTGTGCCATTCCAAATGTTTTCATCATTCGTCGCATTATCTTATTTTTTATAGTGCTGTTAACGGTTCTCCTATTTTATTGTTTTTAGTAGGAATTTTTATCTCCGGCTATTTATGCTTTGTTCTCATGTATTTTGCCTGTTCTTATTGTGTTTCTTGTTCAAGCATTTGGCTTTTTTATGTACAGCACTTTGGTTAGCTGCCATGCTATTTTGAAATGGTGCTTTGTAAATAAATATGGTATGGTATCAGTGGCGGTTCTACATCGAATTACTCCCCGGGCGAGGCCCCCTTTGAGCGCCCCCCACCCCCAACCGCCCCCCCACCACCACCACCACACCACCCCACCTGCATGAACACACGCATGTTTTCTACAAACAGCCATGTTTTATTAGAACGACTATTGAACATTCATTTTTCTAAGTTGCACATATTTACATTAATTACTATGAAGTTGTCAGAATGTAAAGCAATATACATTATATACTGTATCAAAATATATAGAATCAAATATACAAAAACAAACAATAACTAAATATTAAGAATATATGAACATAATATATAATAAATATTCTAAATAGCAAAAATATTTCACACATAACAAACTAAAGATAATCACTACAGCATTGCACTTAGAACAGAAAACACAAACTAAAATTAAAACCTAACCTTGATGCAAAGTCATCAATAATGTCATCATATGAAATCTGCTCCCCTACTGAGTGATTGATACTAATCAGAGACAGGTTAGTGAGCCGCCCCTGAAACATAGGTGACCTCAGGTATGACTTGATCAAGTTTTGAAAAGCTCCTCTCAACTTGAGCCACAGTGACTGGCAGAGCAGTCCAAAAGTTGGGGTAGATCTCCAATAGATCTTTATCATGACCCATAATATTTTAGAATTGCCTCTGAAATTGTAATTTAAACTGACATAAAAAACTGTAGACTACCAAAAATGCCAACTTTTACAGAACAAATCATGTAAAAAATTATCAGTGCAGCCATCTGCAATAAACAAACAGGATGTGACTGGGGAGTTTTCTTCTGCTTGTAGAGTTGTTTTATTTATTATTATGAGAACATGATCAACATGTGTTTGTTGTTGTTCAGGCAGGCCACAGGCTGCAGCGAGCATTTAACAAATCCTAGTTTGAATGAGTAAAAAACGATTCAAGGACTTTTTTCGAACCATTTGAATATTCGTTTCAATATTTCAGCCCTATTAGCTCTGTTAGCAATTAGTTGACCACATTTAACCGTTAAAATCCCAGTTAACTGGTTCAAAAAATTGAAAACATGCATCATGAGAGCTACATACCTTTATCTTTCTCCTCTTTTTTCTTTTTTTCCCCCCTGAATGGGGCAACTGGTGGTTTTAGCCTTTTTATGTTCATCTCTTCTGTTTGGCTCCTGACCTGACTCAGTAAGTTTCCTTTAGTCAGGACTAAACAATTTGACCTTGATGGGGGGGTGACCACAAAATCGTTTTGTTTTTCCTTTTTTTATTCGGCCATTTCACACAATTCAGAGAAACCTGAAAGAATGATAGGCCTGTGTTTATGATATTATGAATGAAAAATGGAAGAACGTTAAGATGTGATTGACTTTAGCCATGTTAATACAGTTGATTCAGCCCCTGCACGCTCATTTCATTTGGGAAAGACGCAGAGGTGAATTCCCCCGCCGCACCCCTCCCCTTCCTGTTCTTCATAGACACACGGTGCACGTGAACGTTCTCAGTCAGCAGCAGCGCCTGCAGCTGCAGGGGGCGCCAACTTGCTGTTTCCAATCCAGACACTGTCATAAGACAGATAATAGAAAACCTCGGTGCGGCGCAGATTTCCTTTTTTTTTTTTTTTTTTTACTCAGCGCTTGTGCGCCCCTTTTGTGTCATGAAAAAATGCCGCCCCGGGCAACTGCCCTGTCTGCCCGTGCCTAAAACTGCTACTGTATGGTATATTGTATTCATGTCTATTATCATATATAATTCTATAATGGAACTAACCCGTACAAGTTGGCAGTCTACCTTTTCTATATGATGTTTGTGCTATATTGACGCAGCAGCAGAGTGGCGCAGCGGAAGCGTGCTGGGCCCATAACCCAGAGGTCGATGGATCGAAACCATCCTCTGCTATAGTTATATTTTTCACATAAGCAAAACTGATATAGTTAGGGATCATACAACGCTTTTGAAGGTGGCTTCTCTAAATTAGGTCTGAAGAATCCCAAATATCTGAACTTTAAACCTGACCACGTGAGATGTAATGTCACTCAATTTAACCATTGGTAGGTGCTGCCATGAAGGTGGCGCTTTTAGATGGTTGATGATGAGAGGAAGATTTCAGCATGAGGAGAGAACAGGTTAAATTATATTTTTTTCATTGCAAATCAGATTTATTTGATTATCGTCTCCCTTACCTTTTATTTTTATTTTTATAAAAGCTTTACAGAACTATGGCAGATGATCTTCTGAAAAATGCTTTTATATAACCATTCTTGCTGGGGCTCACCTGAGCTCAAAGTCCAACTAAATACAGTTAAACTGCTTCCAAACCAAGACATCATCATCCAGGCTGTTTGCCTTATCACAAAACGTGAAAAAATTAAGTGTTAATAGTTGTATTAACAGCGTGAAGGCTTCTCAGCATGGACAGCTCTCTAACTCACACCACTTTTTTAATGATATTCAGGTCTGGGGACTGAGGTGGCCATTCCAGAACATTCTTCGTTTTCCTCGTGAATGCCTAAGGAGATTTTGAGCAGCGTTTAGGTTTGTTATCTTGTTTGTGGCTCCTATATGACATTTATCACAACAACCAATGATTTAAACAGGAACATCATGAAGACCAACAAGGCTGCCCAAACCTCTGAGTGTTGCACCAGTGTGTGCATTGTTGAGGGTTACACCAGGGTCAGCTTGCTTTTAGTTATCACATTTGACCATCAAGTGTTTATAAATCTCAAGGTTTGCGAAGAAAATTACTTACGCAGATTACTGACGTGTTGTGTACGCAACATTTATATTGGACCCAGTTGTGATGTCAGCAAACCTGCTGGGTCCAGACTTCAGCTCCCACTTCCATTTCTCTGTAGAATGAAGCCCAGAGTTTAACAACCTTTGACCCTTCCCTGGTTGACATGCATCAACAGTTGCTTCCGCTCTCTTCTTTCCTTCATGCGTTAACGCACATCTGTTTGCTCTGGAGCAGGAAACTAAACTATTGCTGCTTTGATAGATGATCTACTCAAGGGTACGTCCGGTGAGAAGCACATTAAACACTAATGAGTCATAATTAAATCTGAACACATTGTGATTTTCACAATTTATTAACAAAATGATAAAATAAATAAATACAAATTGATCAAATGCTCCTAATAACTCCTCCCCATGTCCCTACAGTATTTCCTAAACACTGCATACAAAGAATTCATCACAGAAGAGGCTCAATACAGAGGTAAGAATCCCACCAGACCAGTCACAATGTCAGGCCAACAGAAGACACATCTGGAACAGAAGTCAAAAAAATAAACACATTCCTTTCCAAAATCATTATGAAAAAATACAAACAATTATACAAATATTCAGTTTGTGTAGTAACCAATTACACATTATTCAGCACACCAGGTGAACTTTTTCTTTATTCGTTTCGCTACAATGCATCTCACCAAATGGAAGATAGAAAAAGACTTTTACTCTTTTGGATTTTTTTTAATTTTTATTTTTTCCAGATATTTTGCCCCCCATGTGGAATCAGCTGTGGATGAGGTAAGAAGCTGCGGGAATCTGGTTGGAACGAACAGGTCAAGTGGACAGAGGCTGAGCAGGAACAAACGGTGTCATGTAGACAGAACACTAGAAGGCCACAATCATGACTCACTCGCTTAAAACTGGAGAATAGAGAGCAGATGGCCCACCAATACACCCCACCCCACCCCACCCCCATTTCCAACGCCTGTTGGGGGTCCTCAGACACATTGTCCAGGATGCTGATGATGCAGAAAACTCAAAATGAAGCTCCAAGACTTCCCAAAACACCGGGTTCTTTGGATATCTTCGCTTTCAGACCTTGACAAGATGATCGCAACCAACCGAACCCCCCCCCCCCCCCCCCCAAACGCAGCGCAGCAGAGGTCAACTTAAAAGCTAAAAGGAACCAAAAACTAAAGATGGAGGCAATGCTGCCAGCTTGTCCTGGTGATGGCCTGTGGTACTGCAGCTCAGACACAACCCTCAGGTTCTTTTGGATCATAATGGTTCTGTTCAGAAATCGGTCTGCAGCAAACCCGGAAGCTGCACACTTTACAGATGAAACGCTCCCAACGGCCTCTCAGATGGCTACGTCAGAGTGTAAACGGCACACGTTTGGCATCAGGATGCCAGAATGTTCAAAGAAAAAAGGTGACTCGAGTTTTACGTGAAAACAAATCAGAAGCAAATCTGGTAGAAAACTTGCATAAGAAGGTGAGTGCACTGATGTTTGTTCATTTGTAATGTGCTCCAGCACATACAAACTCACCCTCATCTGAAACACACAACCACAGACAGGAAATAGCCTTTCAAAATAAAACCAACTCCTGCTCTGATTATAATACTGATCAAACTAAAAGTGCATCACAAACAGCTCAGAGCGAGATTTCCTCCTCTACATCTAACTGCCTCCAGCTTCAGTCCAAAATATCAAAGTTTCACCACTAAACATAAAAACACATTAAGGCAACTTCTAGAACAAACAACAAAACACCATGTGGTGGATTCAAAGGGCCGGGGGGGACACGAGGTCATCCAGAGGGTCCGGTAGGTTCTACAAGTCACAGTGCAAGTCAAATATTATCTGCTGTAAGAAGAAAGGCACTCGAGGTACCTACTGTGGAGAGGGGAAGGTCCGGTCTACAGGAACATGGGCTCCAGTTCTGATCAGAACCAACAGAAAAACTAAAGTCTCAAAACAGAACGTCCACAGAGGAGACGGACCGAGAACAAAACACAATAAATGAGACCCAAAAGAAGGCGGGGCCACTACAGACACTTCCTTCTCCCGTCCGGACACAAACACGGATCTGGGTTCTTCTGAATGAAGGCAGTTTATACAGCTGATCAGGTGACAGATATGCTGATTCACAAGAATCCTCCTGAAACAATAAAATAATAAGAGACACCTGAAAAACCGAGTTTAGGCCGAGTGAGGAGGGTCAGGGGTGAGGGCTGGAAAACCAAACACTTTCAGCAGAAATAAAACAAAGTTCGGAGCAGAGCCAGAGGCAGCACTGACCTGCAGACCAGAGTCTGTACTGGTCCTGGACCAACACGTAGCCACAAGTCCTGTTCAGTTCTACAAACTCAGACCAACCACCGCCCTCAGAACCTTTCAGCTCTGCTCCGGTCCAACTGTGAGAGGAGGAAGGCATCCAACTCCTTAGCTTCAGAGTCTCACAGAAGCTTGGTGTCCCTCTGAGGACAGCAATGGCAATGTGGGGATAAGTCACATGACAACAGAGAGATGCATACTCTGGTTAACTCCTAGTGAACATACAAAAAGCTCTTCAGCACTTCTTTGTGATGCAGCAGGCTTGTGCTTTAGTCTCAGGGTGGTGTTGTGGAGCTCCATCTGAAGGTCCCAACAACAAACCCTCCATCAAAGTTCCTCTTCCTGTTTGATCGTCTCAATCTGGGGACTTACTGTTCTCCAAAAGGAGTGCGCGACACAGGTCTCCTCGCCACCCGTTTGATCTGTGACGCAGGAAATGAAGGAGTCCCTGCTGAATTTGGACACTTCATCATGATTTTGGCAGTTCAGGGTTCTACAGAACTGGTCTGAGTCCAGTCCAGTAGGTTCAGGAACAGAAAGCACTTATTCTGAAACAAGGAAGACCTGAATATCGTTTCCAATAAAAACAAACAGCCCAGATAGAGAGAATGTGTGTGTTTTGTCTGAGTGTGTGTGTGTGTGTGTGTGTGTGTGTGTGTGTGTGTGTGTGTGTGTGTGTCAGAGTGTGTCAGTGTGTGTGTTGACTGTGTGATATTGCAGTTTCACATTTAAGTGTTCACAAGTGACTTGACAAATGAAATCTCCATCACAACACAACAGACACCACTGGACACATCTGTTAGGCTCCTGTTCCTCCTCCACCTCCGACCAGCTGGGAACAACGTCCAAGGTCAGAGGTCAACGGGGACCAGAGATGACAAATCTGTCACGATAGGGTCCGACAATTATTCTAGTTGAAAGGAACCAGAAGACCTCAGGTCAGCTCTAAGAATCAGTAACAAGATAAGATGAGTTGAGTCAAGTTGGGGTGGATCAGACCAGGTCTAGTGAGTTTGGGTCAAGTCAAGCCAGATTGGGTGAGGTTGGATCAGATTTCGAACATATCTTGTCAGGCGAGGTTGGATCGAGTATCGGGGAGATTGGGCAGGGTGAGGTTGGGTAAGGTTAGGTGAGGTGAGGTTGGATCGAGTATTGGGGAGATTTGGCATGGCGAGGTTGGATCGGGTATCGGGAAGATTGGGTAGGGTGAGGTTGGATTGAGTATCAGGGAAATTGGGCAAGGTGAGTGTAGGTAAGGCTAGGTGAGTTGAGATTGGATCGATCATCGGGGAGGGTGAGGTTGAGTGAGGTGAGGTTGGATTGAGTATTGGGGAAATCGGGCAGGGTGAGGTTGGATTGAGTACCATGGAAATTGGGCAGGGTGAGGTTGGGTAAGGCTAGGTGAGTTGAGATTGGATCGATTATCGGGGAGGGTGAAGTTGAGTGAGGTGAGGTTGGATCGAGTATCAGGGAGATTGGGCAGGGTGAGGTTGAGTAAGGTTTAGGTGAGGTTGGATCGAGTATCGAGGAGATTGGGCAGGGTGAGGTTGGGTGAGGCTAGGTGAGGTGAGGTTGGATCGAGTATCGGGGAAATTAGGCAGGGTGAGGTTAGGTTAGGTGAAGTTGGATTAAGTGTCGGGTCTGCTACTAGGTGTGAATGACTTCTTCCTGTTTTCACTCTTCACAGGCATATTTTTATTGTTCTGACATGAAGATTCTGTTCACTCTTGTACTTCTGGTCCGTCTGACTTGGTTCTGAGTCACAGAAGCTGGTTTGAAGCAAACTGGAGCCTTTGTAAGAAGTCGGTTCTGTTGGATTTTTGGACTAAGAATAGGCTCTGGTAAATGTTCTGATATGTTTGAACTGAAAATGCTTCAGCTCTAGAAGACTAGTTCTGGTGTAGAAGATCCAGACCACCGGGACACAGAACCTTGTTCCCATTGGGTTTAACGAGTCGAGGAGATGAACAGGTTCTTTTTTCGGAACACAAACCATTACAACACTGCTTCTAGAATCAGTTACCCCTGACAGACGTCTGGTTCTGGGCTCATTTTTGACCCATCAGAACCCCCCCACCCCCACTGTAACAGGCACACACCGGTGTGATAATGAAGAAACCTCCCTTTCAGTGTTTATCACTAATTGGCATGCTGACCCGGTCCACTTTCTGTCCTGAAGCCCATTGGGTGGGATGGAGGGGGCGGGGTGGAGTGTCTCTGCACCCCAGAGTCAGGTGACCCGTGTTGTACACCAACCACTGACACAGTCCGACGATACGATGCAAACAAACAACATTTATACAGATTGGCAACTTGAGGGCGCCGGGTGGCGCCAGCAGGAGTCCGTTTAATAATCATGACAACGTCACTTCTTTTGGTCCAAACTGCTGACAAGAGCTGGCAAACAATGTTGAGAGGGTTCTGAGGTTTTGCTGTTGTTGCTGATCTCCTCCTGGTTCTGGTTCTTCTCTGCTGCCATCTCTGCAGGGTTAAGAGCAGCCATTTTGTTCTCCGAGTTGGATGAACAGCTTCCTGTGGGACTGCGCTCTAGCCCTGGAGCCTGGGGCCCCACCAACTGTGGCCCCGCTGGCTCAGATGTACCGTTGGTGGCGGCAGCAGGAACATCGACCAATGGAGTTGCCCCAGACTTGGACCCCGCATGGAGATCAGTCTCTGTCTGACCCATGACCCCCACCCCCCCACCAGGGCACTTTGTCAGAACTGTACTGTTGGGCTGAACACTGTCGTCTCCTTCTGCTGCTCCTCCTGTTTGCTGCTCCTCCTGTTTACTGCTGACTGAGTTCTCCAGCTTCTGCTTCTCCACAGGGTTGGATCCAGGTGAAGCTGCAGATCCAGGGGTGACTGCAGTCAGAGTGGCGTCCTGGACCCGGAGATCCCTCGCTTCTGTCTCTAACAGAGCCTGGTTGAAGTTGAAGGCCTGGATGAGGCGAATCAGGTGTTTGACTTTGTCCAGGGAAAGCTGCATCTCCTTCTGATGAGCCAAGATGGTGTTCTTGGTCTCCATGCATTTCTGATCCAAGAAGACATCAAAGTGAGATGAGAACCAGAACAGCTGAAGTCAGACTTTACATCATTTGATAATCAGCACCAAACCAACAGTACATAATTTCTCTCGTGTGAATCCCAAAAATCTGGTTCTGAATCAAACTGGTCCTGTGTGAACCCGGCGGGTCTGGATCCGGGTCTTACAAGAATCAGGAGCGGTTCCAGATTAAAGGAATCTCAGCTGGGTTCAGCTAACGGTTTTGGTTTAACTGTTGTTCTCTGGCAGATACGGCACTTGTCACGTTTACATGAACACAATTAATCTGATCGAACGCCCAATCAGATAAAACATTCTGCATGTAAACACGTCAGTCGGAATGTTCTGATCTGAGTCGGTCCGATTGGGATGAAATTTCAATCCGACAGAGAGAGGTGGCTTAGTCCTATCATCATTCCGATAGACGTGCGCGTACACAGTCGATCTGATTGTTGCAGTGAAACAACGCCCACCGCTCATGTGTGCAGCAGCCAGCGAGCCTCGCCGCCTCATTCAGACTACCCGACTGTAAACGATGCCTGACTAATGAGCGCCGGCTTTTACACACGATGGCGAGTCGTCCCCGTTTCTGTCATTTCTAATCCATCTAAAATAAAAATCTGATTATTGCACAAATCATTCTACTAACGTGTTCACGTCTGTACCGGAAACACGCAGGCTCATGCTGGGTTTGCAGCACAGATCCGTTTCAGCAGCAGGTGGACGGAGACGTGAAGAAGACGGTCAACATCGGTTAAACGCACCTGGTTTGAGTTTAAGGAGGCTGATGAGTAGAAAAACATCCTCAGCTAAATATTCTGGGCGACTATCTGTGTAAAACACGTTAACGCAGATGAGATGCGGTTCGTTTATGAACACATGATGAACACATGAACATCTCCTGTTAATTAGTTTGAACCAGGTTTTCTCAACAGTTTCAGCTGATTGTCACATTTATTAATAATAAACCACAACAGAGCTCAGTGATAAAGCGAGTCTGAACCCCCCCCCAATTTAATATCGTCAACAATAAAAGCAGAGGAGCGTAAACCTGCAGTTATTCGCTGAAGAAAACATAACTTCTGTGAGCAAAATAAAAACATTAAATTGCAATAAATTGAGTGAAGAGAGGAGCGGAGCTGTCAACTGATCACCACATGGTGGTGAGTTGGATCAGATGGCAGGGGAAGATGCCGCGTAGACCTGGCAGACCCAAACGCATAGTGAGGGTCTGCTGGCAACGCCTGGCAGAAGAACCTGTCAAGACGGTCTTCAACTCCCACCTCCGGCAGAGCTTTGACCGCGTCCCGAGAGCAGTGGGGGACATTGACTCCGAGTGGGCCTTGTTCCACTCTGCGATTGTTGAGGTGGCTGTTGCTAGCTGTGGTCGCAAGGTGGCCGCTGCCAGTTGCAGTGGCAACCCCCGTACCCGCTGGTGGACACCAGAGGTTCAGGGAGCTGTCAGGCTGAAGAAGGAGGCCTACAGGGCGTGGCTGGTCTGTGGGTCTCCGAAGGCAGCAGACAGGTACTGGATAGCCAAGCGGGGTGCAGCAGTGGCAGCTGCCGACGCAAAATCTCGGGCATGGGAGGAGTTTGGTGAGGCCATGGAGAAAGACTATCGATCGGCTCCAAAGAGGTTCTGGCAAACTGTCCAGTGCCTCAGGAGAGGAAGGCAGCAACTCGCTCACACTGTTTACAGTGGGGATGGGGAGCTGCTGACCTCAACTGGGGCTATAGTCGGATGGTGGAAGGAATACTTTGAGGAGCTCCTCAATCCCACCTATGCGCATTCCGAGGAGGAACCAGAGATGGGAGACCTGGGGATGGACTGTCCAATCTTGGGGGCAGAAGTTGCTGAGGTAGTCAAACAACTACACAGCGGCGGAGCCCAGGGGGCGGATGAGATTCGTCCTGGGTATCTCAAGGCTATGGATGTTGTAGGGCTGTCGTGGTTGACACGTCTCTGTAACATTGCGTGGTCATCGGGAGCAGTTCCTGTGGAGTGGCAGACCGGGGTGGTGGTCCCTATCTTTAAGAAGGGTGACCTGAGGGTGTGTTCCAACTATAGGGGGATCACACTCCTCAGCCTCCCTGGAAAGGTCTACTCCAAGGTACTGGAGAGGAGGGTCCGATCGATAGTTGAATCTCAGATTGAGGAGGAGCAATGTGGTTTTCGTCCTGGCCGTGGAACTGTGGACCAGCTCTATACCCTTGCAAGGTTGATGGAGGAGGCATGGGAGTTTGCCCAACCAATCCACATGTGTTTTGTGGATTTGGAGAAGGCTTATGACCGTGTCCCCAGGGGCACCCTGTGGGGGACGCTCCAGGAGTATGGGGTGGGTGGCTTTCTGTTAACTCATTCACTGCCATTGACGACTAAAGTCGTCATTTTAGATCCAACCGTTCACTGCCAATGACGACTAAAGTCGTCATTTGCATTTTTTTTACTGTTTGAGCATTGGAACGAGCCCCCGCGCTGAGAGAACAAACATCTCAGCCCTGAAGCCGATCTTCATCCGCATACATCACAGATCACATGATCAGGAAGCAGACCATCCATGTGTTTGGAGATCGTTTTGGGCCGTTCCTGTAAAAAAAAGTGAGGCGCGAACCGGAAAAGTGTCTGCCGATCACAATTCAACAACGGATTATGAAAGAACGGATAACGCTCGAAACACGCGGCTTCTTCCTGATGTAAGAGGTGAGTCTCCTCTTTGTTTAGGTTGTTTTGGCATCGACATCATGCTAGCGCGCAACGTTCTGTGACTCTTAAAAAAACAGTAAAAACGGTGAGAAACGCTGGCAGCGAAGGCCGTTAGCGATCAGGAAACGGCTGGCAGTGAATGAGTTAAGGGCCATTCAGTCCCTTTACCAGAGGAATGTGAGTTTAGTCCGCATAGCCGGTAGTAAGTCGGACCTGCTCCCGGTGAGGATTGGACTCGGCCAGGGCTGCCCTTTGTCACCGGTTCTGTTCATTACCTTTATGGACAGAATTTCTAGGCGCAGCCGTGGTGTGGAGTGTGTCGAGTTTGGTGGCAGGAGAATCTCGTCTCTGCTGTTTACGGATGATGTGGTCCTCCTAGCTTCATCCAGCTCTGACCTTCAGCTCTTGCTGGGTAGGTTCGAGGGCCGAGTGTGAAGCGGCTGGGATGAGGATCAGCACCTCCAAATCTGAGACCATGGTTCTCCACCGGAAAAGGGTGGCTTGCCAACTCCGGGTCGGGGGAGAAGTCCTACCTCAAGTGGAGGAGTTTAAGTATCTCGGGGTCTTGTTCACGAGTGAGGGTAGGAGGGATCGGGAGATCGACAGGCGGATTGGTTCAGCGTCTGCAGTGATGTGGACGCTGAGCCGATCTGTCGTGGTGAAGAGGGAGCTGAGCCAGAAAGCCAGGCTCTCGATTTACCGGTCGATCTACGTCCCAATCCTCACCTATGGTCATGAGCTTTGGGTAATGACCGAAAGAACGAGATCACGGATACAAGCGGCCGAAATGAGTTTCCTCCGTAGGGTGGCCGGGCTCAGCCTTAGAGATAGGGTGAGGAGCTCGGACATTCGGGACGGACTCTGAGTAGAACCGCTGCTCCTCCGGATCGAAAGGAGTCAGTTGAGGTGGTTTGGGCATCTGGTCAGGAAGCCTCCTGGACACCTCCCTGGGGAGGTGTTTTGGGCATGTCCTGCCGGCAGGAGGCCCCCGGGTTGACCCAGGACACGTTGGAGAGGTTACATCTCCAATCTGGTCCGAGAACGCCTTGGGGTCCTGCCGGAGGAGCTGGTGGAGGTGGCCGGGGAGAGGACGGTCTGGAGCTCCCTAGTTGAGATGCTGCCCCCGCGACCCGGACCCGGATAAGCGGAGGAAGACGACGACGAATTGAATAAATGAATCAGGAAAGCAGGAAGAATCATTTCTTCTCTTCTTACATTTTTCATTTTGTTTCATGACGTTTGTTTAAAAGTTTATTTTTGGTAAAGAAAACTCTCATGCTCAACCTGTTCAATCTGATTTAATACTCACGGCATGATCAATCATTTCACTTAGGGTCCACGTAAACAGAGGTTCGGGATTTCTGATCAGGATTTGAATGGGACTGAGGAAATTTGGCGCATGTAAACGTGGCTAGTGAGGCACTTCAGATTGTTGTTAGAACCGTGATCAGCAGAACATCTAAAGCCTAATTTCACCGTCAGCTCCACCAGGGAGAGACAGGGTTAGGTGCAGGATAGTGTGTTCATATTGTGTTTGTATTTAAGAGACGCGCCACCTCTAAACCCATGTTTCCTGTCATTTCTGTCCACGAATAAAACGCTTGCTGCGTATCTTTTCACTCCTCCGGTCACGGGGAATTAAACGTTCATACTTTTAGAGTTTTTCCACAAGGTATTCTTTAAAGGTGGGAAAAATGATCGATTCTAAGATGCATCGCGATTCAGCCGTGCATGATTCTGCATCGATGCAGCAAACATAATGAGATTTTCTCCCTATGTCTATGTCGGGGGTCGGCAACCCGCGGCTCTGGAGCCGCATGCAGCTCTTCCATCCATCTGATGCGGCTCTCTGTACTTGTAAAATAATGAATGGATATTTAAATAAAATTCTTTATATTTTACTGCATTAATTTTACATCTGTATGCCAATTCTAAATGTGAAGATTGTCTGAGTAAACCTGAACAGGTCCAACCCGGTCTTACTGTGAGACCGGGTTGACGGGTCTCGCTTGTGCGTAATCATAAGCGCTTTCTGAGCTGACGAGGATGTCAGATTCTGGGACTCTCCTCAGACAGGCTCCTGGATGTGTCGCCACATTGGAGATAGGAACAAGCGCTATTCAGCCAAAGTTTCATAATCAGGGAACATTTTCTAAGTGACAAGTCTCGCTTCAGTCGGAGGAATCTTCCTGCATGCGCTCTGGTTCTGCGACGCGCTCCAAGCCCCTCTCCACATCTTCAGCTCGCTGTGGACCTTATGTAGTACACGCTGACAGTGAGCTGCGCTGAGCAGTGTCCAGCTCAGATGTTCAGATGGGAATCATTTATTGAGTGACTTAGCTACATCTGCGATGTGCATAGAATAAAATGTCAGTTCGTCTGCATGCGTCGGGGTAATTCTTTCTATTCTTTCTCCGTCAAAATAAATGGTCAAATACGGAAACTGTCCGGTCAACACAACACAAGCCCTGCTTTTAACTGTTCTGTTTTCTTGTGAAAATTGTTGCAAAGAGATATAATTTAACTTGATTAACACCAGAGCCAGGCGCACTGCACTGTTGTCTCCGTCACTGTAAATGAGGGAAAAACAAAATGATCGGATCCATTTCTGACCTTCCTCACCTACAAAGTTTAATTACAACAATCAAACGTGACAGAGCCTGGATTTGTATTCTGAACAGTCTAAACATGTTTTAAAAAGAAACGTATGACAAAAGTGGCACCTGCTCAGCTCTCTTTACGTTTTTGAGGCGCAAAGACAGCGCTGTAGACGACAGCGGCGTCCTGACCAATCACAGGCTTGCGTTCTCTGTCTCGACGAACAGATGTTTAGAAAAGAGCTCAACTCTGTCCGTCCTTGTGAGCTTGCTGGAGATCCATCGAAAGGACAGATAATGGCGTTGCGTGCATCCCGACACAGATGTATAAATGAGGCTTAAGGAGATCTACCAAGTTACAGCTGGAAACGACCCAGTCTGGTTACGTCCTTCCATCCATTTTCAGCCGCTTATCCGGAGTCGGGTAGTGGGGGCAGCAGCCCAAGCCGGGACGCCCAGACTTCCCTCTCCACAGCTACTTGGACCAGCTCCTCTGGAGGATTCGTAAGGCGTTCCCTTGCCAGCCGAGAGACATAGTCCCTCCAGCGTGTCCTGGGTCTTCCTTTAGGTCTCCTCCCAGTTGGACGTGCCCGGAAAACTTCACCAGGGAGCGGCCAGGAGGCATTCTGACCAGATGCCCGAGCCACCTGAACTGGCTCCTCTTGACGTGGAGGAGCAGCAGTTCGGCAGTGATTTGGTTCAAACTAAATGAAATTACTTCAGAGTGTAAGGATGTCTGAAACGGGAAATTACTTCAGAGTGTAAGGATGTCTGAAACGGGACTGTGATCCAGCCTCAGCAGACCGCTGCTGGGTTCTGACTCGTGTGTGGTTCTGGTTCTCACCGTGATGGAGTTGCTGAGCTGTTTGACTCTTTGCTCCAGCTGCTCGCGCTCCACCTTCAGCTCAGAGCTCCACTTCATCAGCTTCTGCTTTTCCTCTTCTTTAGCTGAAAGACAGAACCGAACCAAAGTGAGCAGGTTCTGGTGCCAGACCCAGGACAGGACAACAGCCTCACCTTCTTTGTAGGCGATGTAGGAATGGACAATAGCCAGCGTTCCGGGCCAGGGAATGGCTTCTTCTTTTTTCAGGATCTGAAGAGAGAAGCTCAGAAGTGTCACACGGGCCAAGACCCAGAAAGGGTCAAAAGAGACTGGTCCGGTCTCCACGCTGAGGTGGGACCGCTAGGGGACAGGTGATGGGTGGATGGATGTGAGATGTGAGTCTTAACCGACACAATGAGTGAGACAGAAGCACAAAAACAAAATCAATCCTGCGTGATGTGTTCTTACAAAGACCGAACAGTCAGGTCAGAGTGGCACATGGCCACCAGAACTTTCTACAGTTACTAACAGCCAGAGCTTCCCCCTGACTCCAGATCAGTCTCAGTGGCTGCGTTACCTGATCTTGACATTTTGGACAGATCCACATGCCTTTAGGAATGGTTTTCAGGGGGGGGTCCAGGCAGTCCAGGTGATAAACACGAGAACACGTGTCGCACATGAGCAACTGGCCACTGCGTCTGCACACTGTGCAGAAGTCCTCGTGGATGTCTCCCTGCGAGGAAGAATTGGACCAATCAGTTCCCTGTCCACCTGAGCCTCGCCCACCCTGCATGAGGCGGGCGGAGGTGGACGGGGCAGGACCGTCATCAGGTTTAGTTACAGCTGGCTTTGTCTAGAAAGCTAAGGTGTGTGTGTGTTAAGAGTGAGTGAGTGTTAAGCCTAGCTTATGCTGACGGAGACGTTTCTTTACTTCTTCGTTGGTGTCAGTGTTGCAATTCTGCACCAGGACAGCAGAGGGCGTAGCACTTTTCTGGGGTGTCCTGCTATTATTGCAGTCACCTCTCGACGTATTTCAGAGTCACCACCTCTAAACTCTACTGACACAAATATGCAGTGGCGGATTTAGCAATTTGGGGGCCCAAGGCGAACACAGACATGGGGCCCCCTTACACTAAATTTTCAACAATCTTACCTTTAACTGGATTTGTGAAACTCTTCCCTCTTCTGACATGAGTTATTTTCACTTTGTATTAGTCCTCCTCTTTTTCTCTGTCTTTCTCTTTCTGCTTCCTTTTGATGTTTACGTAGAAAAACGACGCCATTTTTGGAAGTGAAGATAAAAGCTTTTTTAAAGCAAGCTGCTTCTTTCTCTTATTGGAGCCCCATTTCATGCTTAATGTTTTCACTACCGCTTCGAGTTTTACAAACGCTCCCGCCTCTCTTCCTCTTATTTGTGGTCTTGTGGCACCTGGCCAACAACGATTTGGTGCATTGCCGCCACCAACTGGATTGCAGTGGAATGACTACCAATGACTTCCTGTTTGTGCATCGGCATCTTAAAGGAATAGTCCATTGTGGCATTAACAGAGGGGTGCCAGCAGTCAGGGCTAGGAGGCCCCCCAACATAAGGGAGCCCCAGGGGGCCGCTGACCTATGCCTAATAGTCAAACCGCCACTGCAAATATGCAGTTTTGAACTCCTCCTGTCACAGGTGTATAAAGGTTTTCACTGCGAGATGTTCCTCAGTCTGCTCTGACTGTTGCCAGATATGTTCTGCTTCCTTTAAAGTTGTCAGCAGCACCGCCAAAGATATTTCAATGGCAGACATGGAAAAAGTCTGAAAATATGACCGTTTATTCACCCGTGACTGAAAGAGTACAAAGATATGCAGCAAGTGTCTTATTCATGGACAGAAATGAGAAAAACGTGGCTTTAGCGCATGGTGACCGCACGAAGAGGTGGAGAATAGGGGACACATTTATCCGTGTTAAAATACATTAAAACAATATTAACACTACAGGATACCACAGAACAGTGCTACACCCTCTGGTGTCCTGGCAGGGAACTGCTATGCAACATTCCCCAGGTAACGGAGAAGTCTGGAGAGAAAACGTCTCTGTCGATGTGTGTGAGTTCAAACTTACTGATGAAGGCGTATAAATCAGGCTTCATAGTGAGTGTTGGCGTGTGTGTGGGTTAGAGTGTGTGTTACTGATGAGGCTCGGTTCTACAGAACACTGTTCACTTTGTAAGGTCAGGACAAACACATGGACACAACATGGTCGTGTGTGTGATGGGTGACAGCGCTGCAGGGCCAGTAGGACTACCCGTCTCCCCCATCGTTACTTACATCCCCAGAGCTGGGGCTGGGCAGGGGGAGGGGACGGGCGGGGCTGGAGGGGGAGGTCGGGGTGAGGCTGCCCAGCTCCGACACGCTGCTGTATTTGGGTGGGCGACCTGGGTGAAATGAGAGACGACAAAGACGGAAAAACAAAGAAAAAAAAAAGAAAAGAAAGAAAGATGGAGGGGGAGAAGACAAGAACAGACCATCTGTATGACATACCTTTGAGAGGGAGTCTTCATTGGCTAGCGTGAGTCAAGGGGGGAGTCAGAAGCACAGACATCAGCGTTAGTGACCCTCAGGCTGCAGGAGGTCAGAGGTCAACACACCAAGTATCTGATCAGCTGATGCTACTGGAGTACTGGTTCTGAGTCTGACCCATTTTATTTCTGCATATTATACATACAGTGGGGCAAAACCATATTAGGCAGCCACCTACTGTGCAGGTATCCCACGTAAAAGGAGAGGTCTGCAAATCCCATCACTTCACCATGAGAGGAGACAGAAGGTAGCATAACTCCAGGAACTGATGAATTTGTGTGATGGTGAAGAACTATGGATCAGTTCTCCCGTCGCCCCAAAGCATGTTTCCATCCTGTGCCTCAGTGGGTGTGGTGTGTGGACAGGTGTTACGTACACCTTTAGTTTGAAAAGGAACGAGACAGGAGAGGAAATCACCATTTGACCCCTCGCTGATTTAGTAAGTTTGTCATGAACTTAAGTCTCAGAACGTTATCATTTTAATGGTAGGTGCGTTTACCTGTGATGGATGGCACATCAAAAGGAAAAATCAAAAATACATTTGAACCCTCACCAAGCAATGAGAGTTCTGGCTCCCAGAGTGGTTAGACTCTCCTACTCAATTTGTTACCTGTATAAAACACGCCTGTTTTCACTAGTTACCCTCATTAAAGACTGCCGTCTTCACTAGTCACCTGTATAAAATAATACATCAAACTTACTGTATATGGCGCTTGTTTAGGACACTCAAAGACACTTTCACACACTGCTAGTGATGGTAAGCTACTTTGTAGCCACAGCCACCCTGGGGCGGTCACAGAGGCAAGGCTGCCATTTGGCGCCATCAGCCCCACTGACCACCACCAACACAGGCAAGTTGGGTGACGTGTCTTGCCCAAGGACACAACAGCAAAATACCCCTGGTGGGAGCTGGAATCAAACCCATGACCCTCCAATCATGAGACAACCCGCTCTACCTCCTGAGCTACTGCTGCCTCAGACCCCTGTCTTCACTAGTCACCTGTATAAAAGACACCTGTCTTCACTAGTCACCTGTATAAAAGACACCTGTCTTCACTAGTCACCTGTATAAAAGACACCTGTCTTCACTAGTCACCTGTATAAGACACCTGTCTTCACTAGTCACCTGTATAAAAGACACCTGTCTTCACTAGTCACCTGTACAAAAGACACCTGTCTTCACTAGTCACCTGTATAAAAGACACCTGTCTTCACTAGTCACCTGTATAAAAGACACCTGTCTTCACTAGTCACCTGTACAAAAGACACCTGTCTTCACTAGTCACCTGTATAAAAGACACCTGTCTTCACTAGTCACCTGTATAAAAGACACCTGTCTTCACTAGTCACCTGTACAAAAGACACCTGTCTTCACTAGTCACCTGTATAAAAGACACCTGTCTTCACTAGTCACCTGTATAAGACACCTGTCTTCACTAGTCACCTGTATAAAAGACACCTGTCTTCACTAGTCACCTGTATAAAAGACACCTGTCTTCACTAATCACCTGTATAAAAGACACCTGTCTTCACTAGTCACCTGTATAAGACACCTGTCTTCACTAGTCACCTGTATAAAAGACACCTGTCTTCACTAGTCACCTGTACAAAAGACACCTGTCTTCACTAGTCACCTGTATAAAAGACACCTGTCTTCACTAGTCACCTGTACAAAAGACACCTGTCTTCACTAGTCACCTGTACAAAAGACACCTGTCTTCACTAGTCACCTGTATAAAAGACACCTGTCTTCACTAGTCACCTGTATAAAAGACACCTGTCTTCACTAGTCACCTGTACAAAAGACACCTGTCTTCACTAGTCACCTGTATAAAAGACACCTGTCTTCACTAGTCACCTGTATAAGACACCTGTCTTCACTAGTCATCTGTATAAAAGACACCTGTCTTCACTAGTCACCTGTATAAAAGACACCTGTCTTCACTAGTCACCTGTATAAAAGACACCTGTCTTCACTAATCACCTGTATAAAAGACACCTGTCTTCACTAGTCACCTGTATAAGACACCTGTCTTCACTAGTCACCTGTATAAAAGACACCTGTCTTCACTAGTCACCTGTACAAAAGACACCTGTCTTCACTAGTCACCTGTACAAAAGACACCTGTCTTCACTAGTCACCTGTACAAAAGACACCTGTCTTCACTAGTCACCTGTATAAAAGACACCTGTCTTCACTAGTCACCTGTATAAAAGACACCTGTCTTCACTAGTCACCTGTATAAAAGACACCTGTCTTCACTAGTCACCTGTATAAAAGACACCTGTCTTCACTAGTCACCTGTATAAGACACCTGTCTTCACTAGTCACCTGTATAAAAGACACCTGTCTTCACTAGTCACCTGTACAAAAGACACCTGTCTTCACTAGTCACCTGTACAAAAGACACCTGTCTTCACTAGTCACCTGTATAAAAGACACCTGTCTTCACTAGTCACCTGTACAAAAGACACCTGTCTTCACTAGTCACCTGTATAAAAGACACCTGTCTTCACTAGTCACCTGTATAAAAGACACCTGTCTTCACTAGTCACCTGTATAAAAGACACCTGTCTTCACTAGTCACCTGTATAAAAGACACCTGTCTTCACTAGTCACCTGTATAAAAGACACCTTTATTCACTAGTCACCTGTATAAAAGACACCTGTCTTCACTAGTCACCTGTATAAAAGACACCTGTCCACTTAATCAAGCAAACTCCAAACTCTCCAACATGGGGAAGACCAAAGAGCTGTCCAAGGATGTCGGAGACAAGACTGTAGACCTGCACGAGGCTGGAATGGGTTACAAAACCATTAGCAAGACTCTGGGAGAGAAGGTGACAACTGTTGATACAACTGTTTGGAAATGGAAGGGGCACAAAATGACCACCAATCAACCTCGGTCTGGGGCACCTTGCAAGATATCCCCTCGTGGGTTGTCAATGATTCCTAGAGAGGTGAGAGATCATTCTAAAACTGCACGAGAGGAGTTAGTTAATGACCTCAAAGTAGCTGGGACCACAGTCACCAAGAAAACCATTGGAAACACATTACACCACAATGGATCTTGCAGTGCTCACAAGGTGCCCCTGCTCAACAAGGCACATGTGCAAGCCCGTCTGAAGTTTGGCAACTCTCCGTGTTTGGAGGATGAAAAATGCTGCCTATGACCTCCTAAACACCATATCCACCACCATGCACGGAGGTGGAAACATTTTGCTTTGGGCGTGTTTTTCTGCTAAGGGCACAGGACAACTTCACTGGAACAACAGGAAAATGGACGGGGCCGTGTATCGTCCAACCTCCTTCCCTCTGCCAGGAAACTGAAAATGAGTTCTGGACCGGTGTTCCAGCACGACAATGACCTAAAGCATACAGGAAAGGCAACAAAGAAGTGGCTCAAGAAGCAGCACATTAAGGTCATGGAGTGGCGAAGTCAGTCTCCACACCATTTTCCAATAGAAAACCTATGGTGGGAGCTGAAGCTCAGAGTTGCACAGAGACAACCTGGAAACCTTAATGATATAGAGATGGTCTGCAAAGAGGGGTGGACTAAATTACCTCCTAAAATGTGCGCAAACTTGGTCAACATTTACAAGAAACCTCTGTGCTTGCAAATGGGGCAAGGTGGAGAAATGAGGGCCCGGGCGAGATCCGATCCCCAGAATCCCGGGCGAGAGTCACGAGCGCTAACCAGTCAGCCAAAGGGACATCCCCATGGCCAGGTAGCTAGGGCGCATGATCAATCGGGTCACAGTGACAGGACGCTTACCCTGTCATACAAACAAGGGTTTTGAGACACACACACACACACACGCACACACACAAATTCCAAGAGGTCTGGGAGCTTGAGGGTTCTGTAGTATCGTATGTTTTTTCTGGGATCTGCTTTAGCCACTCCTCCAGTCTGGGGGTTACTGCCCAGGTACCCTGATGACCACTGGCACCACCGATATCCTACCATTGGTAGGATTTCTAGATACCAGCCACTTCAGTTATCTGTCTGTCCCATCCCATGTAGGGGTTTGTCGTCCAACAATGGTATCTCCAGCGTGTCCTTCTCTGCTCGCCATTGTCATGGCATTCACTGAGCATATCATCTGTTGGGGCCTTATCCTTGATGTACTTATGGATCTTGGATGTTTCATCCTGGACGGTGGCTCTCACACTCACAAGTCCTTGGCCTCCTTCCTTACAGCTAGTGTACATTCTCAGGACGCATGCTTAGGAGCTTCCTCGTCTTAACATCTGTGGTCTGTATTACTTCTTTTGGCCAGATAACCATTTTTTCATCATTCTCTGCATGTAACCCCTCTGACTAGGATTCTCCCCTCTGGGGGAGAATCGGACTTATGTTAAGAAGAAGAAGAAAATATCATATGCTTAAGCATAATTCTGCGCACATGAAGACGCATAAGAGACCTGGATGATGAAGCTCAATGGTTAAAGGAATCACTGAAGTGGTGTGAAGCGCTCCGTCGCGCGTCTAGGCTGTACCGTAGGAGGCGAGCTGCCGTGGTTCGCCGCATGCTACAGAAAGCGGGTTATATAAGTGCGCACAGCGTCCCCCGGTCCCCTCCTCCTCCCCCTCCCCCTTGTCCGGAACTTTACCTCACCAGTCTGAAGCAGCCACCCTGTCTGTAACAAGTCCGGACCTGTTACTAGGGGTTTTGTCCGGATAAATTCCGGAACACGTTATCCGGATGTTTGTATTCAGACAGAAAGGTCTTACGGACAGATTCCAGAACATTTCCGTTTTTCATGGCCTGTCTGAAGGGGGCTAAGTGATGTTTTCCACCTTCTGCCTCTCAGCTGAAGAGTACCCATGATGAAAATGACAGACCTCTTGTCTTTTTAAGGTGGACGACCTGCACTAGCAGTGGCTGCCAAATACTGAACAGACCCACAGAAACCAGTTCTACCAGAACCAGGGTGGACAGCTGAAGGTGTGCTGAACTCTGAGTCCAAGTTATTAAACAT